AGCTGAAATCCTCCCCCCGAGCCCTCCAGTAACACGCTGAGAGGATTCAGGGACAGGCAAAACCATATTGGACTCAAACAATCGCCCTGGAAAATACCCCGTCGTATCCTTATCCGGTATTCCGCAGCCGTCATCCGCTCGCCTAGATGACAAAGGATCGTACTCCATTGCCCCATACAGTGCCCGAGGAAGTCTCTTACTGTACAGTCTACTTTGTACAGTTCGAGGACCCTCTTTAGCCATGTATGGGGCACCGAGTCGAATGCCTTTTTATAGTCTATCCAGGCGGCGGAGAAGTTCCGACGGTTGCGGAAGTTTGTTCTTGATCTATTACACTAACGATATCAAGAATTACTTGTACTTCACGACATGCGAGCTCCAACATGTTGTAATTTAAAATGATTACGAAAGAAACCATGCAAAAAGTAAGAAGATCGAGTTTAAAGTTTAAACACGATTATCTTATCTAAGTTAAGAAAGTCTCAATCTTCCTTTAAAATATTTTCTGCGTATGTTTTTTTTTTTAAATGTAATCATAAAAACTCTTTGTACAGAGCGATCTCCCTCAAAATACATTTCGCAAATATTTTTAACATTTGCGGTTCATGCCCTTTGATGTAGGCACGCAAAACAAACCTGCTTAGTGTTGGCAAATACGCATTTTTTGTGAAATAATGGAATGTTTATGCCAATGTATTTGCAATTTGCCCCTCGCACATGGTTTTTGCGAACTTTGGGTAGACATCCGAGGGACGACTTTGCAGATTCCAAAAATTCTCAAAATCAAAAGCAATTACAAGTCAATATTTTTATTAACGAAAAACAAAACCGTCTTCAAATATCTGTATTAATTTTATAATTGATTTTTAGGATATTGTTTTCTTGATTTCACGCGAATATTGTACACATTAAATGAAACGAGTTTACGGATTTTATCGCGTTTTTTATTTTGATTTGAACTCCCGAGGTTTCGAACCCTCTCCAGCGTCCATGGTCACGGGACAGACTAAGTTGTCAACAACTCTCCGAGAGAGTGACTTATCACGTTCTAGCGTCATGAATGAAAGTGGCACTTCATAATCATTCTGTTCAGTAATTATATAGTATGTAAATTTTAGGTTCCATATACTGACTTAATCAGAATTATTTATCAATAACTTTATTTGCTTTCATTCTATACTCACAATATATTTATTACTCACTAGCTGACTCGAGAAACGTTGTTTTGCCATATAAATTATTTCTAGAGGAATCGGAACGCACGCATGCATTATGTGCACGAACGCACGCGGGCAGACTAAGTTGTCATTGTAATCATGCCACTGAAGAAGATGATTGAAACTGATTTTTATATGTTTTCTAATTTATTTTAAAATCGTTCATTACGTAATGCAAACCCCTCCACTCCAATACAAATAGGAAACAAATCGAAAATATTAATGCGAGAGGGCCTTCTCATCTCTAGAACTTCTCACCTACTCACAGTTAACAACTTGCCGCGGAAGTTACCTAAATCGGCACTAAACCTAACAACCCGAGATAATCAGGCCTTTATTAACCATATTGCATATTCCCCGCTTTCTATTCAACATCAGCCGATACTTTATTGCCGCGATTCACGCGTGTTGAATACTATAAGCAAGTGTTATTAATCACCTGGGCGACGCTAAATCACGTAATGCGTAAATAGAAAGTGTTTAGTGTCCAACACTTTCTATCATATTATTATCTTTTAGATGATTTCCAAACTGCATCAAACTCACACATGAAGATAAGTGGCAAACATTTCCAAAAAATACTTCCAAGTCCTATTATCCTAAATTTATTATTATTTCAAGTTTTAAATAAAAGAATGTCGGCATATTGCTAGTAGGTAACGCTTTTGAATTTATTTTTTGATTATAACAATTACCATGTATATTAAACCATTGGATTAGAAACACTGTTAGGGAGAAATTTATTACTAGAAAAGCAAGTTTTAAGCTGCAATCTGGTTCATGATCACAAGTTAACCAGAATTTAAGCCACGCAGTGTTGTCACTGCGTGGCTTAAATTCTGGACAGAGTCAGGTGCATGCTGGGTTTTAAGTGGTTACCTGTCCCCATCTTTCTGGGACTCCCACTTACGCTCGCCGCTCCCCCGATCTGGTGGCAGGGAGCCCATAAAAGGTTTTCCCAGATTTAAAAAAGGTATAGTCACAAATGAAACAAATCGACCCTCGGCTAAACACTGAGCGTAAAGCTTCGATCGCACATACGGAAGCACCGCCGGACGTGACATTCCTCGCTCCTCGCACAACCTGCCCTAGACGGCTGATGAGGAAACGTGGCAGCTCTCCAACCAATTAGCCCTGGCCATGGAGCCTGATCTTGCACGGCGCAGTAATTAAAATGCATCGTAGTTTCCGTAATCACGCTTTGAGATAGTCTTCTATAATAACTTTTAATTGAATGTTGTTCAAATGCCTTTTAAATGTAATTGATATCCTGTTAATATGAATGTTATTCGTAAAAACATTTCTCAGCGGTATCTGAGAAATGTATTGGATTCCATAAAATTGTGTACAACTGCAATTAACTGACTGCATGAGACAATACAGCTTGAAATAATTTGCAGTTGAGTTTTTTTAGATCACGGAGTTCTCATTCTTATCCGTCCAATTTTTTATTTCTATGGATTTTATAAGAGGCAAGTCGACGAAAACTCGAAATTTAACTAAGTAACCGATTCTGACATTCGTCTCGCTATTTCTGGCGGAGGACAAAAACTAAGTTATAAGTCTTAAGCAATTATAGAATTGATGCCGCACTTAGGCGCATCACAAAATGAACTATCAACGGGATCAGCCGACTGTTCCAATTTATAATTCTCCACGCCCGCCGAATACCGTTTCGCCAGCGACCAGGCGATATCACAGGACGCCGATGCAATTATTTATATTACACATCGTAAAAAGCAAACTTGCAGCTTTGGAGCTTTGGCCTATCAATAATAGGCGAGGTTCGTCGACCCGGACGGATCAAATCAACGAATCTATCCGACGGTAACGGTCACGACGTAATGTATATGTTATTGTTTAATGTTTTGCTCGATTAATTTCGCGCCGTCCGGCCCGGTCACGTCGAGGCCGTAAACGTCGATAGCGCATGAACGGTAAAAATAGCCATTACGCCCGCGTCGTTAACAGTTTTATTGCAGTTTATCGGTTACAAAAATTTGTGTGTCGGACAGTTGGCGCCGCGCTAAGCGCCGTTTTATCTCGCCTCAATTGGCCCCCTTATCGTTCAATATCTGTTATCGGGTTTAGAAAGCTCTTGCTTGGGCGAATGTGAATGGGATCGCCATGCAAGCTCGGCAAGCGCTAGTCAAAAAGTTGAGAGAGGAAATTCAAAAAAATTTTAACCATCCAGCTAAATTTAGTTATATGCTTCTGGACTAGTTTTTTTTTTATTTCGTCACGACTGAAGTTGCAAATTTGATCGGAGAGATGGATCACTAGTTCGATTCCGACGCTTATATACAGTAGGCAAACTAACTGCATTGTTGCACTTATAGTATTCGATGAACAGGTTTCACGCATACGTCTAACTTATTCAAACTCCTTTGTGTTTTTTGGCATGGCATATCCCAAGGGATGCCACTTGCCCCGATTTTATTGCACATCCAAATTTGGCTCTAAATTATCTTAATTGAGACGCAGGCCACGCAACTTCTATGAAAAAATTGAGTTCATTTTCACTTCATTTCAATCAGTCGAAAGTCTTTGCCGATTACTATATATTGATCAAGTTGCAAATGCTTTTTGGATAAACCACAAACAAAATCCGGACAACTTTATCGGATAGTGCGGTGGAAACGAGCTTTATGAGTTATCATCGCTAGATTTTTGCCGCGATGCGTCACACTTCGTCACACAATTAAAACGACATACTCGTATAATGGGAGAGAGCGCGTCCAGCATTTTTCGTGGAAGTGAGAGTTTTAGACGGCATTTGCTCTCTTCGCTCGAGAGCGGACCACTCGATCATTCATTGGTACGAGCTTCGTGATTCATGTGAGAATATTACACAACTTTGCTGATTTAGAATATTACAGGCCTCGGCAGGGTTTTTCAATTCGGATATTCTGCGTTTTACACACTGTTTCTTCAGTCCGTGACATTATATGAAATATTATTTCTATATCTTTGTGTTTGTCTATGTAATATCCTTTTTAATTTCTCCCTTCTTTGAGAAAGCGTCTGGATGTTCTTTTTTCTAAATGAGCATTACAAATGTTATTTGACGGACGCTATATGAACCCGCAGACCGGCGGTCGCGGTCCGTCGATGACGTCAACCAATCCATTAGGGCCGTATCTACCGCACGCTAACGAGTTATGTGCTTTCGAACAATTAAACGCGTGGGTTTCTAATCGCGATTTTCACATCGCCACTTACACCGCGGCGCTTAACTGTCCAAATTGTACTCTGTCATTTAGGAAATAAGAGCGGTATTCAATTGGGTTACCGGTCGGTTGCCGGCATTGGTATCTGCATACCTCCATCGGTGTCTGCGCCTTTAATTGCGCCGTACGCACGTGTCGTTGAACGGTAATACTCTGTAATTTTGCGATACGTCTCAGATACGATTGTACGAGAATCGATCATCGTGATCTTGTTACCAGCTGGTGTTGGAAGTCATCCACGTATCATTGTAAAACGTTACTGACCAGAACCGATATGATCAGTTTTACTGTGGTGTGCAGACTCACTAGGAATACTTGGGAAACTAAATATTCGCACCGTACAGGATAGAATCTCTAAGTATGTATTGTCACAGGAGATTGCCTTTAAGGATTAGGATCCATCATTCCATTGAACCTACAAACGCCATAGAGGTCATATTGAATTGAAAACTCCTCATACCTATTTGATTTTAACAAATAGAACCATTAAGCATAGTAAAGAACTTTCGAAGACTAGTAAGTAATTAATGTTTTACGTTTTGTTTTGTTATAGGGCCGGCACAAACGCAACGCCACTTTCCCCGGAGGGCAGACGGGAAGTCTGCTTCAATCTTCGACAACCAGAAGTAAGTATTTGATAAAGAAAATAAAGTTCTATTTCTTCAGAATCTTACGCTTATATTTATGAAGTATCTGTATCGAAACCACTCTAAATCACAACTTTACGATTATACAATTTATATGAGGCGTATTTAAGCAAAATCATTTTAGCCGACTGTCTCAATCTGTCGTTTCTAAAATATAATCCATATGCATATGTCCAATCGAATCAGTCGTAAAACAATGCTCATAAATCAACAACAAAACAATTTATAAAGCTTAAATAAATTATACAATGAAAATCATTACTTTCTTCCGTTATCACTATATTATGTCTTTTCACTGCGTAATCGCTTATGGGCATTATATATAGTCAATAGCCAATAGTGTCGCTTCTCATATTAGTCAATAGTGTCGCTTCTAGACGAGTCGGTGGCGCTGTTGCTAAGCTATTGGCTTCGATCGCGGGTCGTGGTCGATTCCCACACGGGACGGGTATTTGTGACCCACAGAAAAATGTTCCGCATCTGGGTGTTCGAGTATCAAGGAGGGTAGACGTCGGGCACAGCCAAAACCGCTTACAACATAATTCGCAAGTCGTACCGACCCCACCTAGGCGGGATAAGGGCGGGAGGATGATGATGAGTGTCTCTTCTAGAATATTCCGCGGACGCGTCGACGCTCCGCGACGCGGCGGACGGCTGCTCCAGCGCCAGACCGCGGTTCTGCACCGGCGGCACCACCACCTGGCCCGGGCCCAGGGTGCAGCCGCCGCAGCCCGAGATCGCCAGCATAGCGGCCCCGGCAAGCGTCGACACCAAAGGTGAGCACCAAAGGTGTTTGCGCTTAGCAGCCATTATCTTTTTTTTATGTCAGAAGATAACCGCACGAAGGGTTGCAGATGCGTTGCCCACCTTTCAAGCACAGACTTCAGACATGTATGGTAGCATTTATATTTTTGACCTATGTTCAACGAGCGAATGACCGCTTTTTTAAAGGTTTATAATGCACCAACGTATAAGTGTGGTATATTGATGACAGTAATCTCTTACCATTGGGCGCGAAACGCCCAATGGTAAGAGATTACTGTCATCAATACTGTCATAATGTTGAAACGAAAAGAAAAGGAAAGAAACCAAAAGGTAACAATTGTGAATGAAAGGAAGAGCTATTAGATTAGAGTCATATGTTAAACCGTATCATTAGACAGAATTCAAATTGGCTAAAATCTTTTCCAGCGTTATGGCATGTTAAGAAATGTCTTTTTTGTTTTATTTATTAATTTGCGTATTTAGCTACGCGCTACTACTCACGACACGGACCTACTTCCACGGAAGAAGCTTAGGCCATAAATTCATTCGGCGAACCTGAACGGTGCTTGTGAACGGTTAACTCTAGAACACCTGGGACGAACTTACACAGCCCTCGTGGCTAAGCGACGCTAATGCCTGACGTCACCCCATATTTCAAACGGGCATGCATCAGATAGGGCGCGCTTTCGACACGCGAGCGCGCCAACCTTCCCACGTCGCGTGGCGCCTTTGTATAATTTGCATTTCAAATTTCAATACACAACTTATTTCTGCACATCGGCGTGATTGCACTAAATTAAGCCACAGCGCTGTGCAAACACGGGCGGTTATCGCGCGAAGTTCACCAAGATGCCGTCGGTTATCGTCATCTATTCTATAATTCTAAGAGGATTTATACTCGTCAACCTTGGTCCACTTTAGCCGTAAGGAGAAACCATACACTACTGCTATGGCTATTCATAAAGCCCCGTGCCTACACGCGTTGTATAAGGGCGGAGGGGGCCCGAATGAAAGCTGTACAATCGTTAAGTAATGTAGAACACATTTACGTCTACTTGTATTGCTTTTGTAATTTTTGTGTTAAACTGGTTGGGTACTAAATCCCGATCACGATCTAAAAGATCTATTGCAGTCTTACCTTCGGAAATATTGCCCCTTACTGTAAGACATCTTTATTCTGTGTTGTAAGGACGCTTTAAGTAAATAAATTTCACGTGGACAATCACCGAAACAACTATCTGTGGGTCATACAAATAGTTGTCCCGTGTGGGAATCGAAACCACGACCTCGGAGCCGAAGCCAATACCTTTTCAACTGTGCCACGGTTTCATGAACATCTACTTAGTAGTATGGGATAGCATTTTCAAGTGATAATGTCAAAAATAACGTATTCAACTAGTGGAATATAATTTAAAAACTATAAAATTGACTGTGTTTCGGTGTAATTTTTTATTTTGATATACCCAGCGTCACTCACAGTAAATACGAATCTAACTATACCTCTCAAGCTAAAATCCATCAAGCCGTTCAGGCTGTAGAGCGTGCCAATCAATTATAGATACATACATAAATATTTTCGAAAAACATAACCCTCCTTCTGGCGCAATCAGGTAAAAATACATCAAATGTTCAAATTTGACAGCGTATACGCGCAATGCCGTATACGCTGTCAAATTTGTGTGTGCCCAAACTTTAACCTTACTCTATTGATTTTGATTGCTTGAACCTAAGACAAAATTGTGTCATAGAAAAATGATAACTGCACGCATAATTATGACTATTATACGCAATAATGACTGAGTTAATCATTACTGGTGCAAGAAATCACCGCCTGCCTGCACGCACAGATCCTATACAATAAATATCGAATCGCGTACCAGCAATTCGCAGTTGCAACGCTCAGGAATGCACGGCCTTGCTATCTAGGCCTGAGGTCCGATGAATTAGCCGTTTACGCGACCCCAGCCGTCGGGCGGCAGGCGAACGGACTGGAATTTAGGTTCAAATCCGGCGTGTAATGTATATCACGCGCCATTAAACTGCGATTTTCGCATCACCCCCTTCACCAGCTGCCCTCGCACGAACACCCTTCGCTCTTGCGAGTCGACGGCCACCCTCGTTGACCGACGTAATCGTTCTGCAATAAAGGTCAATAAGTTACACGCGCGCAAGATTAAGCGATAAACGATTCCGCCCGAGCGTATCTTGATGCGGCTTAAGCCCGTATGAATGCCGTCTTGTCTTAGTACGTTCACGGTCGTACGTCAACGCAGGTAATGCTGTAGTGTCGATTACGCAACGCCACTCCGTCTCAATTCCCCGCTCGCTTTAGAGTATTTCATTAGAGTAATGGGTGGCCGTGATAGCTCAGTGTCCGGGCACTCGCCTTTAATGCGAATACTCGAACAACCTGAGTTCGATCCCCGGTGCCGGCACCAGTGAAATCGTAAATTTTAAGTGCTAACTTATCAAATGCTCAGCGGCGAAGGAAAACATCGGGAGCTGCATATTTTCGAAATGATAACAAAAAAAAATTTTGAAGATATGTGAAGTCCGCCACTCCGCAGTGGGGCCGTGTGGTGCACATTGCCCTGATACCCTCTGTACAAAGGAGTCCTTTGCCCAGCTGTGGGACATGTACAGGTTGTTAATTACTTTTATGGAGAGCTAACAAAAATAAAGAAAGTCGTTATTTTAGGTGTGAACAGGATAAATAACCTTATCGTATCTGTTAATGCCCTGAATGAGCCTTGATGATTACAACTTCAAGTGAGGTTCTGACATTGCGAGGAGATAGAGAAAAACATACATAACTATCACATAAAACACGAACGATATCTCTGCAAACAACGTGGCCATTACAAACCGAATGCACAGACGCATCGTGTCCCATCCTTTAAAACTAAAAATATGTATCAGCAGAAATCTTCCGCCGCAACCACAAGCAGTAAAAACCAATCGAACTCGTGATTATCATGACCCAATGGCACTAAATACAATTGCGAAGTCAGATAACGCCCACCAATGCGGCACTTTCGTGTCGGCGCGACAAAAACTGCACAATACACGCGCAATGTATGCACCGGATTGCTATAATGCAAAACAATCGCCCGCTCGGTAACGACTGTCCCAATTGAAGCAAACAGCTTAGCGCATTCTAGATCTGGAGCAATAGAACGACTCGACCCGCAGATGTTCAACTTGATTAACCAACATATCAAAATGCTTAGAGGAAATTTACTGGTCAATCTTCTACTTTCACAGCAAACTCCTTTCCTGATTGGTAACTGTCCTGACACATAGAATAAGTATACTTAATGGTATACCCGTATTTTTTATATAGTTACAACCTGTTAATGATTGAACTAATTGTTTTAGGGGAGTTACGGGATGGATTTACGAACCACTAAATTGGAATCAGTGACTTTTAACCAAAGTCACTGATTCACAATTTAGCACGTTTATTGCACTTTAACCACTTTTTATTTAAATATTTATACAGAGCACATATTGAACTTTCGATGCCTGGGCGAAGAGAGAGAGAGTGAACGAGAAGAACATATTCATTATGAATGAGATGAACGAATAATAAACACAACCTTCATATGTTGCCCACTGCTTGCACAGTCTCCTCAGTACTGGTGGGCATATTCCACCACACGTCTATTGCGAACCGGCAGACCTCATCAAGAAGTATGTTTTTAATATTGTTTCGAAAATATTCAGATTTCCTTATTATATTTTCCTTCACCACAAAGTACGTGATAAATCAACGGTTAAAATTGCAGTAAACTATCCGGTTACTCGAGTACACAAACTAAAAAGTGGACTCGGTGCTTTCACGGCTCTAATCTTATTTAAAAACGTGACAAAAATATGAAGTTACACACATTTTTTTCTATATTCTAACTGTGAACTAGATTACCCATTAACCTAAAATTACCCGTATGTTGATTTGTGAGTTTTTATTAGTTCATATAAAGTTTTTGGACTTCCATACGACGGTGTAGATCGACCCCCCGCTAGATGGAGTGACGACCTGTGCAAACGTGCGGGAAGTCGATGGATGCAGGTGGCTCAGGATCGTACTTCGTGGCAGTCTATGGGGGTTGCCTATGTTCATCAGTGGACTCAAACGGGCTGAAATGATGATGATGGTGATAAAGTTTTTTACGATCTATATAAAGACTACGCAACTTCATGGTCACTTCAAATACATGGATTATATCTCGTTGAATTTCACTCGTTACTCCAAAGGCTTAATCTTTCACGTGCACCGCAATCGATTCGCGAGCCAAACGGGTGTGCCGTTCACATGATTTAGTGTGTACCTTCGCCCAATAATTGGTGCATATCGCAGCCAACGTTCCCCATCGAATTGGTGCCCGAAAAACGAGCCAAGTAATAATAAGGTACGCCGCAGCACTAACGAAGTAATTGCGGAATATGAGTGTATTTAGTGCTTAGTACAGCCATATCGAGTGCTGTGCAGTGTACAGAAAAAATCTAAAGCACCTCAAGAACTACAAGAGATGTGCTACCACTCTTCATGACAGTTTAATACACTCCGGCTCTGTTTAGAGTCAAGCTATTTAAGCACATATTACACGATAATTTCTGTCTTAATCAGTAAATCGACGGTTGGCACAGAATCTATCAGCAGTAGACATGATACAAAAACAATTCAATTTTATCGCCTCATCGGGGCTTTTATCGATATTGAGTTGCACGTAAACCCGTGAGGAGTTAGGCCCGACTTGTAATTGAATCGCCCAGTTTACCGTCGGCGCCATAACCGACGTTAACGGCGCATTCACGAATCCATCAATCTATCAAGGAACCGTAAATTACGCTCCACATGTTCAGTTTCGTTTCAGTGCGCTTGCACCGACACTTGACACAGAGCGTACGACAGCTATAAACAAGACGGCAATTAATAACTATACATATTTCAGGCCAAATTTTGCGTTCTATGTACAACGTATATACAACATTGTCTAGTCTTCAATGATGTTTCAATAACGATGACGCATGTCCATACTGCGCGGCGTTTCAATTATTCCGCTTTATATTAAATGACATATACTAAGCGAATGTGACAGATATAAAAAGAGATAGCAGTCTGTTGGATTACACCAATTAGTGTACTTTGAGTGCCTCAATTTCGCTAATGTCATTATTTTCATTCATCTTTGATATTATTTTCGGATTGTCATATATTTACCTCTAATTTGTATATAATATCGTGGCTAATCTTTATTTAGGAATAGGCAAAGCTATAAGTGACCAATGAACACACTTAAATGCACTTTTCCTCTGTAAATAAATACATGTAACATCTGTTATGTATCTACACAAACACACTCGGACACTAGAAAGCCTCTATGTTCATAGAGGGGATCGATCCCAACTTCTAACGCAACGGAAGATTTGCTCTACACTAAGCTAATGTTTGTATAATATTTATAACCGACTTCAAAAAAGGAGGAGGTTTCTCAAATCGACCGTATATTTTTTTTTTATTACTCAAGCCATTTGCGCATGATCAACCACATTTCTATTTAAGTGAATCTCTAACGTGGAGCGAAAATAAATAGTTCTAATGAAGTCGTCGGGGAAAGCCGCCGTCATGAAGCGATTGTGTATGAGTAATGACCGAGGTTATTGAACTCCGTTGTGTTCACTTAACGCAAAATTTCTATTAACTGTTATCTGAGTGTGCCAAGTATCCTCATTTTGTTGACACCTTAATGTAACAATATGAGACGTCTGATTCAATCTGTCGGGCGGACGTATCTATTTAATAACCTATGTTTAAAATTTTTGTCTACGGCGTTATTGAACTATGAAACATATTCATTTTTACCGTTCGCGATTTGAAATAAATTCATAATATTTACTTTTATATAATGCACTTAGCTGTTTCTTTCAGATTTACCTGTTTCTAACTTACGATTACCTAAGGGCAATGATATTATATACAAATACGAGGTAGATATGTCACTAGCGCAACGAAACTGGGGCATTCAAATTACGCCAATTGGTGTAATTAGATAGCAATTCTATAGACTGATAACTCTTTACGTATCATACGTTCTATATATCTGCCACATTCACTTATATAAAGTAAAACGGAACAATTTTAAACGCCGCCCATTATAGACGTCACCTTTATGTTATCTTTATTAAAACATCATTGCCTAAGGGACACCTTTATATGATTGAATATTTAAATTACATTACCGCGATATCGTTGATATGCGAACAAAATTTGCATATAATTAATGGTGAACAGTGAGTCTGTTAGATAAATAACAATTAATCGTTAAGCTATTGTTATCGATGCATACATGCAAGACACCAAACATTATTACTTGAAATATCATCATGTCTATGGATATTGGCTTATATTTTATGTCGTACGCGGTTTTAAAGGAGGACGTATTGAGGCGGCGGAGGGCGCTCTGCCCTCGCAGTGGGTGTCGATGATTTACAGCCGGCAGCGCGCAACTATAATATGAATTATTTATATACCATTGCGGTTTTTTCATCTGTAAATCTTGGAACTGTCCTCTGCGACGACGCAATACGCTGCGTTTTTATTAATTCTGTTGTGGCAGGCCCCTGGGCCTGTAGGGCCTTATGTACTAGTGAATATTTATTATGAGCATTGTCAAACACGGGACGCCGCGATGGATTTTATGACAGCCATAAACATGTGATCGCCGTAAATCATATTCTTCGCTTGTTCTCAATCTACATTGGTTTTATTTGTATTTATATAGACCCCACAAAAAGAGTTAGTGTAGGTACATACTGTCAATTTTATTTGATTAAAATATTCATTAATAAATCTTTAAGCAACACTAGCGATTTATAATTAAGGTATTCGGAAGAGAAATGTTTATGTTATAGGAAATATTTATATTTATTAGCTATCATAGACACCGACAGCGGAATTATCTCTACACAGGAGATATTACCCGATTAAAGACCCTATAGGCCTTGTGAAACCTCTTGAACTAGACGGTGTAGGTTTAATCCTCATTACTTGAAAAAATGATGAACGAAGTGTGGTGAACATAGTGACTTTCCAGTGTCTGGGAGTTTATACGTTTATAACATGTATTCATTTACAAAAGATCTTTAAGTATGTTTAATAGTTATCTAGTACCCTTAGTAAAAGCGTTGCTCAGTTAGGGGATATAGTAAGCACGTGAAACAAAAGAACATCTATAATAAAATAAAACAATATTTTAATCGGTAAAGATTACTAATAACTTATTGAACGTAGTACCTCATCTATCACTGAAAGTCGTCGCTAGACCCCGTCATAATACATCATCGACCGCTATCTCTTGGACCGACCAGCGAATTTCCGATAGATCCTCCACAAACGGCCCGCCACAATAAAACCAAGCACGCGACATTGTGAAATCACGCCCGCGCCGCCTCCAATTTCACCGCAACTCAATATATCATAGACACCGACAGCGGCATTCCATCTAGAAAGCGATAGACGGCCATGTTTTAATTATAAATAAAGAGTGAATACGCGAAGGCTGTAATTATTTTATTCAACCGCCTCTATAAACGCGCCCGCAATGTTAATTTACAAGCGTCGAGCCAATAATGTGGCCTCACAAACGCGCGTCTGACACGCGCCGCCAAAGCGCGCTCCCCTTTGACGCCATCTTGTTTGTTTTGTCGATTAAAACGTCACCCGAGCGCGATAATAAATTTCGACGCACATGACGTTTCTTTGATTGTCTCCTCGCATAACTGAATTAATGCGTGTACCCGGTCAGAAGGGATAAATCTCGACAAATTATCTCAACGCTTGTAACGCGTCGCGGATTGATAAACGACGAAATACTGCGTCCATTCTAATTCGAGATGTCTTGATTCGATTCGACTTCTTCGTTGAAACTTCACCGTATGCCGAGATTGAGTCAAAAATTATTCAAAATTTAACTTGCTTAATATAAATAATAATATAAATAATTCCTTCGCACATTTACATTATCACATGATGACATTATGATATATTTATGATTAATTTTATTTTTAGTGCTAGTCTCTGCACTCAAGTTAGAAGTTATATTGAATCGAAAATCTCGACATCTATTTACTTACTTTCTTTTCATTATTATATTTTGGCATTGCAATAAAGAAGAATATCATAATACAATGTAAAATGCAGATTTGAGCTTTCCGCGGAGCACGGGTTAAGTAAGCATTTCGTTTCTAATCTATATTTTTCTACACTACTCACTTAAATATTTTTGATATGTGAACTGAACGTAATTCACGGCGCCCATCTTTCGAATCGTTTCGCATGAAAAATCATTTCGGACGTATGAGGCGTAGAACCGAATGCGGCGTACACGATAAGGTCCGCGCGGAATCCCGATGCCAATCATCCTCTATAAACAATGGCATCGCGTGGCTCACGTCCCTCGTGTGTTTAAGAAACGAGCGTGTTTGGAATTATGACGGGTGCGTTTATATCGTTTGACCGCGAGACGGCGGAGATGCGCGCTCCGATATAGCAACGGCGGCTCGTAAATACTAAACGACCAAAAGGGCGTGCTCATTTTTATGCGAGTTTCGCTCTCGTTCGCGTCCTTGGCACACGCGATCCCTCCATTAGGGGACGGGTTACCGTGTCTATCGAAAAATACGGATATTCTCAGTTGCAAAATTTTATTCACTGCTAAGAAATTTCGAGTATTTATTCCAGTAGACTGAAACTGCTGTCATTAAAAGCTTTGTGAGTGCAACACCGGGATTGCAAGTGAAACCACAGGTCATTGCCATCTCCAGCACTTGAGGAGTTGCAGATGCGTTGCCAACCTTTAAAATAGCGGACTCCTGTTGCCTCTTCCGCTACTAGAAGCGCAAAAGTACACCACTTCTACCTCATTCTGCTAGAAGTGTATTCTTGAGACCGCGGCCACAAAAAGCTAGAAATCTTCCCCGATCTCCCCCGGTCGATCCAGCGGTGTCTTTCGAACCGGACCAATTGTTCCAGTGTACGCTGACCAGCCGGTGTCCTCTGCGTCCCCTCCGACCCGGGACAAGATCAATGGCGAGGAGAAGGCACGCACGCGGCGCAGGGAATGGGCAGAGTCAGGCGCCACTTCCACCGTCGACGAAGACGGTAATGTATTTATTTATTTATGTATTTTACACAAAAAAAAATAAAAATGTAAGTTATGTACAAAAGGTAAGCTTAACTCAATGCATGAGTTCTGTGCCAGCTAACCTGGTGATAGAAATATGTGATTGAAGGCAAAGTAATGCATTGGGACAAACACCTCACTTCTAATAAACAGTATTGAACGAAATATAACGATATACACACATATATCGTTATATATGCTTTTTTAATGTGAAAAGTTGTTAAGCGAGCAGGCAGTTCACCTGATGTTAAGTGAGTACCGCCGCCATACAACACCCGATGGTTTGCACATGCGTTGACAACTTTGAAAATGGGCCCCGGCTATCTCACTCACCGGGCGAAACGCAGAAGTATAATACTACCACATCACGCCGGTCTTCTCTTAGGTCGTGGTACTTACCCGGACGGACCAGCCAATTCGTGCAACAGTGGATACTCTTGCGTGGCCATGCCAGTGTATACATATTATACAGCTCATATATTATTAGTAGGTGTCGTATTGGATACATATGTTAGGTTAGTGTCAAAACCCTTGCACCTTGAAAATAAATTGTTTTGTTTCATTAACAATCGTGTTACGACTTTTGTCCGCAAAGTTGATTTGCAATGGACAAACACTCCCTAGCTGCTAGATCACCGCTGAAGATTAAAATTTACGAAATCCCAAAATATCCAATAAATGCAGTAATTGATTGGTTTTGCTTTGTTTTACTTAATAAAGTGCGCACCAGTATAGAGTGCGAGAAGACATTATGCTGGCTTATAGAAATATGTACATAAGTCCGTACCCCGTTATGGCTTCTAAGTTCATTATCTATGCAAATTTCTAATCCGTTGCGTAAGAATCACTTACTGCAATCGTAAGACAATAACTATTTTTTGAATTAACAAAGCACATACAATTGAAATTATTGTTCAACCATTCCTTTTTGTAACAGCAGATTTTTCAACCATTCCTTTTTGTAACAGGAGATTTTTCTATATTTGGAAATTAATACTGCTTTTGTGCATTTATATACATTACCTGTATTAAAATATAGTATCGACTGGGAACTCAACGATCGCGGGCGCCAAAGAACAGCCGTGTTACTCCCCAAATTCGATTCGAATTTGTTTTTGTTTTCGATTCGAACACACTCTTGATTCGAAGTTGATTTGAAAAGCTTACTCCCGAACCGAATCGAAACTAGAAATAAGATCGTGCTTTATCGAATCCGTTAGCTGTATCCGGCCTATTACGTCACAGACAAATGTTCCATGTTCACCGTTATAACGTCTTTTTTTAGATAAAATGTTAATAGGTTATTTTTTTCCCAAAAATTATTCAATTTTAGGTAATTCCAATTAGAGCCACCACTCGATTGTGCGCTGGCGTCAGATTCAGTGGTACGAACTGTCATGAATTCGAGTCAAACTCGATTGATTCAGAACTCGAATCTGTCGGGAGTAGGCCTGCAGGCTCCTGTTTAGGGAACTTAGTGAAACGGGAACTAGCCTCCTTACGATTAAATAAAGACACAGAGCATGGGTTTTGCTTTTGCTTTCAGTCCGCAGACTATTAAAGCTTCATCTAACGCGGAACTTCTGGGTTAGCCAGAACCCATGATTACATCAATCGGTGCTGCTGACTAGAATCGGTGACCACGGTTTTACAACGCGTGTGGAACATTTGTGTACGCATTGTGTTTGTTTGATTATGTGTTGGTGCTATGTGTGGATGTATACAGGGTGGCTTCTCTAAGTGTATGTTTTTTTTATAAAATTCTAGACATAAATAATGTTATAATAATGATAAACATTTAAAATCACTCTTAAGTAATTAATTACATTTATTTGAACCTATCTCAAAAAGTGCGTGATTTATACGCAACTCATTTATTTTACGCGCGATCATTCATACCTAACACGCACACAAGATCGTGCACAGTAAAATTTAGGCATTTATGAATGACTACCGCATTGTTAACACGTTCTGTTTTTTAGGGAACAGAATGACTTTTTTTTTGGAAAAAAAAAAAACTTATCCATTATACTACCGAGTCTGAACGTCCTGTGTAAATTTGGGCACTTCTCAAAAAATCTCCCTGTATATGCTGTTATCACCCGGTGTGTCTGACGTGACATTTGCCCACCTATCTGAGGAGTTGTACGGCGGAACCTCTGCCGCTAACTAAACGCTAACATATCGCTTCAGTGAGCGTGGCGCGGTCCCCGCTGCTTCAGCAACAGAACCAGCAGTACGACGAGCAGCTGAGGGACATCGCCGCGTCCCTCACTCGGCCGCGGTCCCGTCGCGCCCTGCCGCCGACCCTGGAGCGCCCCACCAGGCTGCCGCCCCCGGACCGTCTACCGGTACGACCGTTAACAACACTGCCCTAATTATTATTTATTTATTTATTTATACTTTATTGTACACCAAAAATAAAAATATAATATAAAAGGAAGTATATATAGGCGGTCTTATCGCTCAGAAAGCGATTTCTTCCAGACAACCATTGTGAAAAGAATATTTGCTAATGAGACATAAAGAAGAGAGCAGAGGGAGGTGTACGTGAATCACTTATGAACGTCGGATGAAGGAATTTTTTATGTGAGAAGGTGGCAAACGAGCTGGCGGTTCACCTGATGTTAACTGATCACCGTCGCCTATTAACATTGGCAACACCCATAGAGTTTTTTTTAATGAAGTGGGCCCCGGCTACCTCACTCACCAGACGAAACGCGGAAAAACACTTCCATTTCACGCCGCTCTTCTGTGAGGTCGCGGTACTTACCTAGACGGAACTACCCATTCTTGCAACAGCTAAGACTGTTCCGTGGCCCTGTCATAGTTACGTGTAATTCATAACTAACTGTTATGTTTCACAGCTTTAGTAAAATGAAACGGACACTATCAACCTCCTGTTCCATATCAGTTGACAGTAACTTATATGTATAAAACATGTGAAATATGAATTGTCAATTTTTTTATTATTCACTATCGAAGTGCGGAATGGAATTTATATTAGACAAATGGTACTGACAGACAGTTATGATTAGTTATGTATATTGCCCATAAAACAAATTATAACTGTTGTCTGGCCCCAAAGTAAGTAAAGATGCGTATTTATTACAAGCTTTTATTTATACAAAACGCTTTAATCAATCAAATAAAAGCTTTCAAAGACTATTACATTATTACATTATTGATCACAACGGTGGTAACTTACGAACGTATTAATTTTGATGTAAAAATTTGAAATTTCATAAGAACGCACAAGCGTCTATGTCAGTGATTCTCAACCACTGTGCCGCGGCACTTTTGTGTGCCGCCAAATTTCAAAAGTGTGCCGCCAAATTTTGCAAATATATAATAATGTTAATATTATTAAATTATATCATTTAAAAAGAAAACTATTTTTTGGCATTAGCCAACATTAAAACTAAAAAAAGATCAAGATTGTTAAATGTAGAAGACGATATGAGAGTAGCATTGTCATTTTTACGACCAAATATAAATGAAATTATCAAAAAACATCAAGCTCAAATTTCGCATTAAAAATATTTTTATTATTAGCTTGTAATTAATCCCTTAATAAACGTTTAGTTATTATTGTAATATATATTAGTTTATTTCGTATATTTAAAATTTTTATCATAAACTATTTATGCAGTGTGTTGTAGTAAGTAAATAATTTTTATCTTTTTCTTTGTGTGCCGCCAAATTTTGAAATCGTTTAATATGTGCCGCAACAAAAAAAAGGTTGAGAATCACTGGTCTATGTAAATAAATATATTTTTGATTTTAATTTCTGACATTTCGACTTCGGAAAATGTCTTATTTTTATTATAGTTTTAAAGAGCAGCCGTAACCGTCGAATGAGCAACGATGCCTTTGTGCTTTCTTGCAGGCAAGAGGTTCACCAGATGGAGGTGCCCCACCCGAGGAAGGAAACTCGAGCTCCGCGAGTGAGGGTAGTGAGCCAACCGACCCAGTGGAAGCTTCGGAGAATGGGGAGAGCGGGAGGGTGGAACTGCCAGCCGAAAGATTGCTCCACGCCAGGGCGGGGTGGCTCCAAAGGCGAGGGCCTGCAGGGTGGTCCCGACACTGGTTCGTGCTGCGCGGCGCCGCCCTGCTCTACTTTAGAGACCCACAAGCCGAGCATCGCGGTTTGCTGGACGGCGTTATCGACCTAAGCGGGGTAGCCAACGTGGTGGAATTGCCGACTTCCGCCTCCACTAATGGATACGCCTTCGAAACAGAGGTAAGGAATAACCTTACCACTTACGATTTCAAGCTTTCATGTGTTTATTTGTCATATATGAACATTTAGTCTCAGCTTTGTTGCTAACATTGATTGCAGTACCCGAAATAAAAATAATAATGATGTCATATTAGTTCTCATCATTGCAGACGTGGGACGGAAAGCACATCGTCTTGTCTGCTGTGACGGCTGGCATCCGATCCAACTGGGTTTCGGCTATCCGCAGAACAGCCGGCTTGCCTGATACCGCACCTCTATCTTTGATATTACGAGAAGACAGTGTGGACCAAGCGTCGGAATCGTCCACTTCCCCCGTGACCCCTATCACCCCAAACACCGCCAAATCAGCACCATTCTCTTCGGACGAGGAGTATAGAACTGCTTCCGAGGGTGGCAGAAGAGACAGTGCGGATTGGGGAGACATGACGTCACAACCGCCACCGTCACCCATACTGAATCGTACTCCCATCTCCAAAGTCAAGGAAAGGGTTCGCGCCCGATCCTGTCACCAGCCAACAATACGAACAGATCTGAAGGACGAGAAGGACGAAATCGATTCCGCCAAGGAACGCTCCGTGGACGAAGTTGATGAAAACGAAAAACCTAACGAGCCTAGGAAACGCAGCTACATTTCGACTATCGACAAGCAGGCGATAGAAATTGATGACCTTCGAAAACAGCTGAAGTTGGCGCTGAGCGACGTGAACGCAGCGGAATCAGAACTTGCAAGGCTGCGAAAGCTCAAATCCGAAACTGCATTGCGAGAGAAGAAAATGGAGGAACTCGTCACTGCCTTACAGAAGAAGGAAGAGGAGTTGTCCATGCGTACTAAAGATGCCGAAAACTTAGACGCTATAAAGCAGCTCTATAATCATGATAAAACGACGTGGGAATCGAAACTAACGGAAACGCAAAATTTTTTGAAAGAATCAACTGAGCACTGCGAATTGCTCACCAGGCAACTTGCATCGGCTCAAGAGAACATAAAACAATTGCAGCGAGAATTAAACGACCTCAATGAGAAACTAGTAAAAAGTGTTAAAGAAAACGACGGTCTCTACTCCAGGATCAGGGAGTTAGAAGGCCGTGCAGCTTCAGAATCGCCATCTAAAGAAAAGAGAAAAAGTATTGGTTCATTAAGCGACTTAACAAATCTAAATAAAGACCTGCACTTGGAATCTTTGGAAAAGAATAGACTTATCGAAGAATACGTTGAACTAAGGGGGCGATTCCTGAAAGCTATCCAAGAAATTAAGGCTATGAAAAAGGAGCTCCGAGAATCACACAACATGTATGACGAACTCGAAATTACGAATATGAAATTAAGAAACGAAATGAAATTAAGAGAACAATGCAGCAGATCCGAAATCAATCTTATGGCAGCGAAGATTTTGGATTTGACACAAAAATTAACAGCGTCGGACAAACAAGTTCGGACGTTGAAACATAAGATCCAAAAAACTGAATCGAGGGAAAAGAGGCGAAGTCTGTCACTTAAAGGTAGAGAATCGTTTTCATTGGGAAAGGAGTTAGAGGAAAAGTTAACAGAATTAGAAAACAAGATATCTCTCCTTGAATCTGGAGAACCTGTCCCTACCATTAACTCTCCATCTAAAAGTGGATCCCCAGCCAAAGAAAAACCTACCAAAAGTGACAATGTTACAGATGAAAAACGCCTGAAAAGGCTAGCGGCGCGTCTAAGGCGAAAGTCTTTAGATAGTGCCACAAGCTCAGAACCCATGAAAATGCTAGTCCGACTAAGTTCGTTAGAAACCAAAATCACTTCAGCTATTGACGGCCGGCGTGATTTAACCAATTCTTGCGAATCTTTAAGCATAGCGACGGCCTCTCCAGATAGTCCCTCGATGAACGACAGCCAAGATAGCTCCTCAATCGGTACACAATCCCAAAGGCATCTTCTCGACCGTCTACAGAGCCTCGAAAATGTAGTGATACATTCGAGGAATAAAGTAAACGAATGCCTGTGCCAAATGAGCGCCATGCGTGCAGCGAAGTCACGCCGATCGCCATCACCAAGCCTCGAGAAAAAATACAGCATCAAATCAATGGAGAAATGCTTGATGGATGTCAGTAAGCGATTGCAAGAGTGTTTCGATAAATGCGTGGTGGACTCTCAAGACAGTTGTAAAGATGAAGAAATTAATGACAGCGTAGCACAGGTCGTCGTGCAACTCGAAGAGCAGTTGAGAACGAAGTTATTAGAAATATCCAATAAAAAGGCAGCCTTGTATGAAGCCGGCGAACTGACGCAACAAAAGAGCTTGGAAATACTCGCAGAAAAGCTAGCATATGAGGCTGTACTCATCAGCAGGATACAAGAGGCTTTAGAATCTTCCAACGGAAGTAGATTCTTCGCTAGATTAATAAAGTCTGAAATAAACGAAACTAGTCAACTAATCGATAGCCTTAAATGTAAGATAAATGGAGACAGTTGCAAAAATATCAGTAGCACGAAGAGCTCACTCGACTACCTCGCGAGGATATTGTCGCGCAAAATTGACATAATGAATAATAAAGAGACCAAGGAACTTAGGAAATCCGAGTTGATCATACAAAGCGCCGACCTCGAGGCGCTCAAAGCTTCCCAGAAGGAGGTCGCCGAAGCGGTCGACAAGTACAAGAGCGAGAAGCTGGCCGAGCTTTGCTCCGCGCTAGCGTGCGAGACGCTCAGCCACGCGGCTCCGAGCGACGGCGACCTCGAGCGGCTACGGGCGAACGTGGAGGCGGCGCGGGTGCGCGAGGCGTGGGCGGCGGCGAGGGACGCGCTCGGCGGCGAGCTGGTGCAGGCCGAGGTGGCCCGCGCCCTGGGCCGCGCCGCGCAGGTGTGCGAGGAGCAGCTGGACGAGGCGCGGCGCGGCCGGCTCACGCTCTCGGCGCAGGAGCGCGCCGACCTCGAGCTGTGGTGGCAGGCGGCGCACGACCACCTGCGCTGCGAGATGGACGCGGCCGTGCGCGACATCGCGGCGCGCTACCGCGAGTGCCTCGCCGCCGAGCGGCGCGCCAGCGGGGGCGCCGCGCCGGGACTCGACAGCCGCGCGCTGCTGCTGCAGCTGGCCGACGTCCTGGCGCGGAAGGCCCTCGTGGACGCGCGCGTCGCCGTGGTGGAGGGCACCTACCGCGCCTCCGAGCGGCCCGACGCGGCCGCGCACCGCGCCGAGGACGCCATCTCCTCGCTGGAGACGGACCCCTCCCGCGAGGCGGAGTTCGTCTACCTCTTCCAGCACTTCTCGAACGAGTGCCGAGCGCTCTTCTCCAGTGACTGTTCGGGCAACAGTGAAGACTCGATGAAGATCGGCGAAAGCCTCGAGCGGGTGGAGGCGGCGGTGGCGGCGGTGCACCGGCGGCTGGGCGGAGACGAGCCCGCGCCCGACTCGCCCGCAGAGGGCGGCGTACTGGGGCGCGTCGAGGCGCTGCGGCGGCGCGTGGAGGCGCTGCAGGCGCTGGCGCCCTGCCAGCACTGCAAGCGGCTGCAGGAGGCGCTGGACCGGCTAACGGCCGAGCGGGCGCGCGGCGAGTGCGCGCTGGCGCAGCAGGCGGGCGCGCTGGCCGCCGCGCGGAGGGCGCGCGCGCAGCTGCAGGCGCAGCACGAGCGCGAGCGCGCCGTGCTGCGCGAGAGGGCGCGCACGCTGCAGCGCCGCCTCGCCGCCCTCGACTCCGAGTACTCCGCGCAGCTGGACAGCCTCCGTGCCGCTTACCAGGTACGACTGATCCCTCGCTTCGTTCACCTTGGCCCACTGTTTGTTCCGCAAGAGTCTTTAAACGCACGCCGCTCTCGCATAAGCGATGTACGATTGCGCGTGCGGTACACGTAGCGATTCCCGTACTGACGCGCGACTGGTGGCGGCCAGGTGGTCACTGTGACTGAGCAGTCGACGTGTGGTACGCAGAGCGCGGTGGCGGCGGACACGCACGGCGACGGGCTGCGCGCGCGCTACCAGCAGGAGATCGAGCAGCTGCGCGCGCTCTGCGAGAAGGGCCTGCTGGCCATGGAGAGCTCGCACCGCCGCATCGTGCGCGAGATGGAGGAGAAGCACCGCGCCGAGCGCGAGCAGCTCAGGTACCTCCCCTCCCTCCCCGACAGAACCCCTCAATTCCTATTTTGATTATAACCTTAAAAATCGATTTGATTACTGTACCGAATTTTAATTTACTAAAATAATAATTGTAATAATTTCATATATACTTCATATTTCATTCCTTCATGCCCTCATACCCTCTGTACCGAGGAGGCATTTGCTCAGCAGTGGGACATGTATAGGCTTATACTCCACTTTTACTTTACTGTGCAAAATTCTGACAACTTGCATCTGACACCACGATTATTAAACTAGCATAGACTTCGTTCTGAATTTGAAAAAAGCGAAAGCAATGTTCACGAACCAGGACCATAGGCTTGACCGCACATGTATAAGACCAGTGATTTGAACGTCCGCAATGAGGGAATAAGAGTGGCCCGAGGCGCTGCCCTGCGGCAGCCCCGGTGGCGGGGTTTCGTGACGCCGTCCCTGTCCGCAGGCTGGACAAGGAGCAGGCGCTGGCGGAGGAGACGCGCGCCACGCTGGCCGCGCTGGACGCCATGCGCAAGGCGCACGAGAGCGAGGTGCGCCGCGAAGTGGACAAGTTCAAGGCGGAATTCCTCGCGAGGGCCGCGCACCCCGACCTGGGACAGCTCAGCTCGCGCCACCAGTTAGTGCCCGCTCCGTTCTGTTATATCCTAAGACTAGTGTTTGTTTTTAATGTCACAAAGTGGGCCCCGGCTACCTCACTCCCCAGACGAAGCGCAGACGTGTAACACGACACGTCGGGCTTCTGCTAGGTATATGACGGGTGCATTGATCCATTGATCCAACGAGTCTATACCGCATAAAATATAACAAAATACTATGAAAATCTAAGTCGATACAATATGTGCGCGAATACTAAGAAGCGGGGCGTGTGCCGCAGGCAAGAGATGGAGGAGATCAAGCGGGAGATCCTGTCCCTGTCGGAGAAGTACTCCGTGAAGTGCGTGGAGTCCGCCGCGCTGGAGGAGCGGCTGGCCACCGCCACGGCGCAGCTGGCGCAGGCCCACAACCACATCATGCAGCTCGACGCCAGGTGACGCCCCACGAGTGCCTTACTTACCCCGTCGGTCCCCATTAGGCATGGCCAAAAAGTATCGATATATCGAAATATCGATTTTTTTTCCCTGCATCATCGATGTATGTCGTCGATATTTTAAGCGCGATATATCGATGACTATGATTAATAATAGAGATAAAAAATTAACGCTACTCTGGTCTCGTGTTTAATGTTACTAGATACTCTGCATGCGCCTCGCTTATGATAAAAATCCCATCACAATATTTATGCATTCAACATAAAAGTAATACTATCGGCTGCGTGCATGGAAATACTAATGCTATTAAACCATCAATGTGAGAGGTGTACGGCCCTGAAGTTAACAGGCAGTTAACAATTTTTGGATTTTTTTTATCAACTATGAATGTTTGATTTGGTATCAACAGTTTTCTTCATACCCATTATTTTTTACGAATATTGAACGGTTAAACATTTGAGATTTGCAACATCCACACACACACACACACACCAGACGAAATGCAGAAGTATGACACTTCCAATTCACGCCGGTATCACGAACTATCAGAATATAGTTCGTGATACTTCCTCGGACGGACATGCCCATTCGTGCGACAGCGAGTTGTCTCGCGGCCATTCTACAGTTTCGAAATAAAATAAAACATACAAAAAATATCAAATAACGAATAAATAACAAATAAAATATTTTTTAAACATTGCGAAGTCCGCCAATCGGTAGTAGGGTTCGCGTGGTGGTTTACACAGTCCGAAAGTATTGTTCTGACTTTGTTTAAATAAAATTGTTTGTGTGTGTGTTTCATAGAAACTAAATAGTAATTTCGCTTGCGTTATTTTCAGAAATAAGCAGCTCCGAGCCCACATTATATCTGAGGCGAACGAGATGAAAAACTCCGAGGCGGCCTCCCTGTCGCAGCTGATAGAAGAAACGGCACCGGTACGCCCTCTGGTTCAGTAATTAGGAGTAGGCTCGCTCTGAAGGCCCCGGCTTCGGTACATCGCCAGAGTAAACTTACAGAGGGCTCGAAGCTTGCACGCCTTCATAACTAAAATCATTCCTAACAACTAAAATCATTTCTTCAATTTTCACAATTAAAAACTGGTGAGCGTGCTATTTATACTTTGACTTTATTGGGAAAGCTTTCTCTACGATTTGCACAAGTTTTTTTTAGTTCTCTTCGATAACTTCATCGCACCCATCGTGTAGTATGTAATCCTTACTGTTGATTATATAACGAGCATCGCCATACGCGTCTATTGAGCGCGACATGACGAGTCGCAATAGTGCTACCGAAGTACCGACCTTATTGCCATGTAGTATATATTAAAATCGCAACATAACCTGTGACGTCAGCCATACGCGGAGGCAAAGGTCCGTACGAAAGGTAGTTCGTAGCACTAGCAGCTCAGTAGGCGCGTAGCGAGCCCGTAGCCCGCGTAACCGTGCGTGCGTGCAGCGGCGCCGGCGCTGGCCCCGGCCGCTACGCGCCGCCCCCGCCGCCCGCGCCCCTCGCCCCGCAGGTACGGAGCCGCCCCTTCGTGCCGTCTTGATACACTGTTTCCCCTCAAAGATCCACTTTCTGTGTATAAATGTCCTCTTAATTTACATACTGCCTATGAGTAATTATTTAGTGACAATACCTCCTTACTAACCGTGGTGGATGGTGTAATACTTTGCATTATTAATGGGTGTCGCTTTGTGTGTAATATCTTGCCGGGTGTAATTAATGTAACATTTTATTGCTTTATGAATAATTTTGCTCATCTGAATTACGATCATTCTATATGTATGTGTACTAATTGTCTCGTGATGTGTGCATGACAATTGTTTTTTTTTTTCAATATGATATTAACGACGTATAGATCATTACTTGAGACCTTAAGAATCCCAGATACCCGAAGGCATTCCTGCATATCTGGCATGCGAAACCCCTATAGTATCCAATGTTAATTAAAGATATAAATAAAACTTTGAATGCTAGCTCTATCTCCCTCTCTGTGTCGCGTTTACCCCTATAAATATATTAAACTGAAAGGCGACTTGAATCACTCCCACGTCCGACAAAACGGGCCATACTTAGCGCCATTGCGAACGTTCGAACCCCATACCCGCCTTACGAACCGCCCGTGTCGCAGCAGACGAAGGCGCCGAAGAGCGGCGCGGAGGGGCGTCCCCGCCACCTGCAGTTCGCCGCCAGCGACGCCCGCAGCCTGCAGCTGTCGCCGGTGCAGGTACGCTCACATGCACACCTCGAGGGCCGAGGCTTCGAAACGCCATCGCTCCTGGCTGATGAAACAACTATTAAAGCGTCCTCCGCGATCTCGTTAGGAACACGCTGGTAGCCGTGGCGCACACCACACTTTTTCCGATATTTTGGATTTATACAGCGAGCCTTTTCTAAGTGTATCCATTTTTTTAATTAAATTCTAGACATAAATAATGTTATATAAAAAATGGTTAAGTATTTATAATCATTAGTAAATAAATAATTACATTTATTTTAACTTATCTCAAAAAGTGCGTGATTTTTGGGCAATTTATTTATTTTACGCGCGATCATTCATAACTAACACGCACACAAGTTCGTTTAAAAAGAATACGACGCATTTATGAATGAATGGCATTGTTAAACAAGTTCTGTTTTTTAGGGAATATAATGGCAAATTTTTGAAAAAAAAAATGTTTGTTTTTACTTCAATAAACGATTATACTACCGAGTCTGAACCTCCGGTGTGAATTTGGGCACCTTTAGAAAAGCCACCCTGTATATCCTGCCTTCAGAGCAGAAGACAGAACATGTGAGACTCCTACTCGCGAAAACACTCGATCTTCTCTATACGTCGGCAGCGGACCGTTACATCTTATGAAATAAAGACAAATAACGTTCCAATTCTGTGACAGCAGTAAAACTTGCAGTCATTGGTATAATTAATTTCCGTTGTTCGCAGAACTAAAGTCGCCACTCGCCGGCGTTGTCGCCGAGCGGAAGAAGCGCTTCGAGAAGTGAGCTCTGTCCACCCCGCGACCGAAACTTCGCAAAACTTACCATTTGTGACGACTTCGTTGGAAAACCGACTCTAGCTACTCGATTGAAAGGCGATTTCTGTTTACATGGCTAAACGGCCTTGACGGCATGGATTATTAAGTTTATACATAGTAATAATGTAGAGTTTTCAATGTAAGGTTTGTCAACGAGCCAAACGCATACGTCAACTTGACACACCCACCATGCTAGCACCTGGCCACTTTGCTTGATTATGTATTCCTGCATTATATTACGCGAACCGTTATTTAACGTAATTAATATTTACATTTAATATGTTGACTTTAGTTAATTATACAACACAAAGCGTTATTGATCATATACAAAGAACTAAACAAGTCTTTGTAAATGTATTCTACAAAGATGTCTTTTTATTTCAAAATGAATGAAGAAAAATCGTTCATTACTACTATCCATTCAAAGAACTATGTGAACAATAGCCGAAATCAATGATGTGCAGTAGACAGTCATATTTTATATGTAATTCACATTTAGTTAAGATTTCACTCAGACCAAAAATTACTTTTTCTACGAGAAGTGGCCAGATCTTTAACTCCCACCCACCACAAAAATGTATATAACTTTTGTTTGCATTGTTTTTATATTTACTTAATTCACTAAGTGTATAATACTTTTTTTATCGTTTAATTTTAATATAGAACATATATTTAATGACATGTGTGCAAGCAATGTTATCACTACATCAATATTTATCCCTATATTGATTCTTGTAGGTCCTTTGTTCGTTATGGAGTAAGAGATTAAAGGAACATATAAGAATTTCGTTAGTTTACCTCTTTCATCTTCTGTAACTATCCTAAGTTAGATGTAGACAAATCAGGTTAGTGATGTGTTTACAATATGTAAAGTGAAAGGAACGTGTAACATTGTGTAAATACTAACGTCTCGTCTATTGTACTATTGTAACCAGTCGTGTTCTAGTGAGTACCCCTCTGGTTGTTTATCTTTTAAGGAGTTCGTTACCAAATATATCTTATTTATGAGTTCTATTGACATTACAAGTTGACACGGCACCGTCCCGCCGGCACGCACACATCGCCCGCGATATATAGCTAACGTGAGGTATCCATGTGTGCGTGTCGGCTGGATAGAATCGAGTGTCAATTTCTAGTTTTTAATCAACCTTGTTTATTTTTGTAGATTTATACATAGATTTACACATATTATTCGCATTTGGGTGTAGTAGACGTGTAGAATGAATTTTTTTAAAGGATTTTTACGGCACGTTTTTTTTTATAGTGCAGGTTGTTATAAAACATTTGAACGAGGTTACTTCAAATCGTAGTATGATATGGGAGAAATTATATTCGGTCCTTTTCTTTACAGAAAAATTATATTCTGTTATTTGTTGTAGTAAAACACAATGATTTCTTATTCAGGGATGCATTTTATGCAAAACATATGAGAATCGTTTTATGGATTCTGTAAAATTTTGTCACCTCCGAAATATGTTTTGTAACACCCTGTACGATATATATAGAGGCATATTTTGTTTTAAATCATTAACACTGTTTGTAATGTTAAGGTTTGACATAAATCACTTAACCCTTTGTATCTGTGTTGACTCGTTCGTTACCATGTTTATTTTCCAAACTGGGCATTTTTAAAACTCTCGTCTTCCGTCTTATTGTGTTTGCATATTGGTCTCACGTCGGTGTTTATTCTCACCACGTTATGAACGTCGAGAAGAGATTAGCATGAACGTCGCTGGGACTATTTTGGGGGAGGCAGGGGGGTTGATGAGTCAACATTGAGGCAGAATATACAACTCGTACTCTTTTGAACTATTAGGGCAGTTGTTTTAAATGTGTTTCACCAAACGTAACACTTTGTGGGTATGATTAAACCAACAGTATACCGCCACTACTGCCGTCCCCTCCCACGCCGTCCGCCGGGGTGCGCCACACCTTACGTTGTTGCGATTTGCTCAATTATTTAATTCGCGCCAATTCGAAAACACCAAAAGGACCGCTTCGTTGTGCTTACTTCGACGTGTTACGGTTTATTTGCGACTACTATCAGGTCACCATTGCAGCAGTGGCATCTCATTTCTCTCATTCTTCTAAACTTTAACTATCATTTGTTTCTTTAAAAGATAACTTAATCAGTTAGACTAAACATAAGGCTAAATTTCGTTACAAAATTCGGCCACTGTTGCAACGGAGCCAGTATTAACTTATACACATTTATTATCACTGTATTAATATAGTTGGTTGCATTGTAAAGTGTTGGTCTATATAACAAAGATTTTTAAAAATAAACTACTTAATACAAAACCATGGTTTCATTTATTTATCCCCTGTATCAAAGGGCGCCTATATAAATAAACTTGATAAGCACATTTAAAAGTTACTATAGCTCGAGATTTTTACGTAAATTTTATATTATTCTAAACTACTGCATGCTTAAAATATGACTAGTACTAAATTTAAGAACTAAATGACTGTATACTTCCTATTGAAGTTTAAATAAAACTTCTTATTATAATGTTTACGATTCTCATGATATTTACTCTGATGAAGGCATATTATGACATTAATCGCACTGAAAGATGTTACAAATATTTTATTTTACATAACAATATAAAAAAAATATTATTAATATAATAATTAATATAAAATATTAGATAGCAAATATGTAACATTGTCGCCGTACGTCGGGCAGTCATGTCATATGAATTATTCAATACAATGTTAAAGAATTATAATATTTCATAATATCTGCACTGACTTTTGAAAACTTAAAAACATTCAATTTAAAGAAGTACATATAAACTGGCATAATAAATTAAACAATAATGATATATAAATAGCTATATGTTTCAGCATGAAACAAAAAAATAAAACCTATTTAATCTAAAGAGAGAAAAAAAGAAAACTATTCAATTGATATATCCATCAACTTAGCTAATGTATTCAGCTGTATACTGCACACACTTCACAATACTCTCGAGTATTCTAATTATTTCACAGTCATCTCTGTGTTATATTGCTAAGGGTTTCAGATATCTCTTAAAGGGCTATCTTGGCTTAGCCCGAGCGTTGATTCCCTATCATAGTCGTGCTCAGAGTTGTATTAGCGGCTTTTCGGGTGGTCTCTGCGGGGTTCGCAGCCGAGCGCGCCACTCGCTGCGGTGCGCGAGGATTTTGCGACCGTGCGCCGTGTGGATGTCGCGAAAGGGCACTTTCTTGCGTGGCATATCTGTGCGGACATTCTCCTTGTCTGCAATGATATCATATATATTTTAAAGCCCACTGTTGAAACATTAGTTGCCTGTAATGAAGTCATTGCATAAGTAAAATAATCTAAAATACATATACAGATTACAATCTACCAAAAGTGAATATTAAATACTTAAAAAGTGACATGTTTTAATTGATAATTAACAATGGTTGCGGTGGTCAAATTTTTTTTGTCCTTGTTTACAATTGAAGAAGCCAAAGAAAAGCTGATATCAAAATATACTATAACATATTATCTTACAAAGGAATAATTTGCAAAAGTAGAAAATTTTCTTTTAAATAAAAAATTATAAACAGATTTTAAAGTTTCATAATATATGTATATATTGAATAATATACACATGCAATAAATTACTTTTCATAATAAATCATATTTTATTGAAGTCAGCTGTTTTATAACTTGGAAAGAACCAATAGGTTATACATTTGAATATGTATTGTTAAAATGTAAGTAAATATATACTAACGATGCCTGCTTCCTGGCACTGTTTTACTTTGACCCTCTCCATCTGGTACACGATTGAAGGGGTTGTAGCGCTGACCTCGTGGGGGCACCTTAGGCTCGGTCTCAGGTGGAGAAATAGTGACTAACGCTGCTACATCAGCTGCTTCCTCAGCTATAAATAGTAGAATTACACATAAAATATATCCTTGTATGGAATTAAAAATGGATTGACAACATAATTATTGTTATATGTGGGTGATGGGGGTAATCACATACAGAAATCATCCTAAATTTCAGTTTTTAATTACAAGGTATATCTTCACTATATGATCCATAACATGGGTGAAACATACATTTTTAAGCAAATAATTCACATATTTTATGTATTGAGTGCCGGTCATCGGTGATCGGTGTCCGGGCGCTCACCTTTAATTCAATATACTCGAGCAACCTGAGTTCGATCCCCGGTGCCGGCACTGATACCACGTACATAGGAGGCCTTGCCCAGCAGTGGGACATGAAAACGACAATGAAAAATTTTTTAATCCACAGAGGGGCCACGTGGTGGACAATACCCTGATACCCTCTGTACAGAGGAGGCCTTTGCCCAGCAGTGGGACATTAAGTGCTGAATTATCACGTGCTCCGCGGTGAAGGAAAACATCGTGAGAAAAAAACCTGCATATTTTCGAAATAATATAACAAAAAAATATATTTCGAAGATATGTGAAGTCCGCCAATCCGCAGTGGGGCCGCGTGGTGGACTATGCCCTGATACCCTCTGTATAGAGGAGGCCTTTGCCCAGCAATGGGACATGTATAGGCTGTTACTTTAATCTATCTGAAGATATACAAAGAATTTTAGAAGACCCTTACCTATAAAAGCGTAATGTAAAGTTCATTTGTAAAGGTCACAAATCATATGAATGGGTTGAATGAATTTAAAAGAGACAAAACGTACTGTTAGAAGGAGAGGCTTGTAATACGACGCTGTGGCGCGAGTTGTATAGGATGTTACAAATTTTGTTTCTTTTTTACTTAATTAGTTTGTTTGAAAAATATTTTTTTTTTAAGTATGGATTTTGTTTAACGTTAATATTTTTTATGATTATTGGCAAGTAGCGTTAGACATGTGTTCATTTATTGTCGCGATGGTAACGACACGCTGTATATTAAAAAGCTAATAAATATCTTTACTTAGGATATTTTCAATTACTACATTTTTGTTCTGAAGCCAAAATAATGGTGCCATTATTTTTTCTGCTGCCATGAAGGTATTGTTATCTGCAAACTTATGCCTTAGTTTAGCTTATGTTTTAATTATTATTTTTTTAATTCTTACTTTGTATTTCTCTGATTTATACTTTTTAGTCATAATGTCAGTAGTTTTTCTCCAAATTAATAATTAAATATCACTATTCTAGAACATTCCCTCTCTTTAACCAGGGCCATCACTTCATCTTCGGAGTTATATAGTAATAATTTATAACAGAAAAAAACTTGCCTTGAACCTCATCAAGCTGCCTTTGCAACTCAGCACCATTAGCTTCATATAGTCATAACTTGCACATGCCAGTGCTTTCATCCATGCTTCCATGGAAGCCTGTGAATTTGTGCACAAGTAGTATGTTCGACCACCTTCACATTGAAACACTATTTTAAAACTGTATGATTCCTCTTCTGTTAGCTCTGCAATATATAAAATTATTTAATTTTTTTGTAGGAAATGAGACAGACAAAGCATGGTGGAATCATTTTTACTGTTGTCAAGTTTATCATTTCTAACATTATCATGTTATTACTTATAAAGTTATTATGACTATTTATAAATAGTATGATTACAATAAGGATAGAACAGTTTTAACGATAAATAATTTACTTGCACCGTTATAAAACAAGCTCCATGAGTCCTTTTTTTAAGTTATTTACATTTACCCTTTTTTTACCCCATAATGATCTTGCCACTTACCAATAGTACATCCCTCCAGGATTATAACACCAACGGGTTCCTTATCAGCTTTCTTGTCGAAGTAAAAAAGCAGGTTCCCTTTTAGTGTAAACCATCGCCGTTGATAGCTTTTACCTACTTCGGCTCGCATGTCCAACCAGCCTTCTCGATCGACTGGCGTAGCCGATGAAGCGAATGCGCAAAGATTCTTTTCATTGATTTTCATCTTCGAATACTCTTATTATCGTCTTTTCTTATTAGTATGGTACATGGACACTTTTAAACATAATTAATGTTCTATTCATCTCCACTTGAATAATACAAATACAGATTAGTTAGATTAGAGAGAATATGAATTGTTTATTAATAATTTTGTGCAACACAGATTATTATAAAGTGTCTAACTGTATATGAACTACTTTACGTAATGTTTATACAGTTACGAAATTTTTAATTTATTTTTGATCTGAAAAAAATTAAATAAATAATTTCAGACTATTCAGACACATAGACGTTGTTTTTGTTTCTGTTTGTCAAAAGTCAAAACCATTAGGCATTAGCTAAGGTAAATACATTATTTTATACAAAAGATTTATTTTTAATTTATTTTAGGACCATGGATACTAAGTCCTTCAGTCGGAATGTTAAAAATTCAAAACAACATATTATCAAACAGCCCCACAGAAGAGCGAGTAGAAATGGATTAGCCCCGATTTTTCCGTATAAACGAGATTGAATTTATTATGACGAACAAGCGGCAAATGTTCAATGATGTCTCTGTTGTCACAGATAAATACCGACTGTGATCACTGAATTAATAAGAGACACGTTGAATATTAAATTTGAAGGAAATTAAGATTGAAGGATCTTATCCGATGAGTTCACACTCTAACCATCTCGTGTCCATATGCAAAACTCCGAAAGCTTTCATTGCTTTCAATGCCTTGAAAATTTCAGCACATTGAACGATATTAACGCTGAGCTCTTAACAATTGTCAATGCAACATCCTTAAATTTTATAAAACCCGCCGCACAAATAAAACCCAAAAACTCAAAACCTCTTTAAAAAAAAGACGTGAAATGTGATTCCATTATTTAACTGACATGTCAAACTACAGGGGTGGCTTAATTGGCAGAATTCCAAATATATGTAGCGACTCTTACGCAACTTCAATACTATGCTCTATAAAAGTTATGTAGCGGAACCTATGTCATAAGAACCTCAAGAGTTCACCAGAGGTGTCTATCGGTCAAAGAAAATTGACTAAATTGGAGACTGACGGCAGGGTCATCATCTACAGTCGAACAGTGGTTTTGAATGAGATTGAGATGTTCTACGCACACAAACAAGGTAATGATCCAAGGGCGAAGCTTGTCCGACTCTATTCCAAGAATATTCCAGACGACAGTCTGAGTGAGATCATAATGGATCTTAACCACCCTAAGAATGGCAAAGAATCAGAAGGGGACGGAATTACAGCAGAGCTTCTGAAAGTAGGTGAAAAACCTGTACTTGTGGTCCTTAAAAAGCTCGTTTAATTTAATTACGTCTTTTTGGATGGTGCACCAGAGGTGTGGATCAGAAGTGTGGTGGTGTTATTCTTAAAGAAAGGGTATAACGCTCTGTTGTAAAACTATAGAGCGATATCTCTTCTGAGCCGCTTCTATGTACTGTTTTCGAGAGGCATTTTGAACGTCTCGACGACTTCCAGCCTCACAAATAAGATGGATTAAAGTTAGTATAATAGACCACATACACACTGCTCCAGATTATAAAGAAGACCGAAGAATATTATCTGCTTTATGCCTAGCGTATGTGGACTAATGAACTTCGATATGCAGACGACATAATCATCATGGCAGAATCGCTGGAGGATCTTGGTACTGTGTTCAATGACCTCCAGTCCTTTCAACGGGGACTCCCCTAAAGATTAACATGGACAAGACAAATATTAGGTTGTTATTAGAAGGACTGTGCTGTTGCTATCGAGTATGTTTACCTACTAACAGTTAGTCCGGTTACGTAAATCCAACTTCGACGCAGAGGTAAAATGACGAATATACACTCGAAATATAAATTGAAATAAATAAAAGAAGGCTTAAATATGTAATATTTTATTCATAATTGTTATTACCTATTTTCACAGTTATTTATAAAGTTATATTAATATCAAGTATTACGCTAGTTTTGTTTACGATTTTCTAATGATTGCTCCATTTAGAAAATTTGATTTCCACATCAATCATCAGATTTGACTGCTTACGGCTATATATGACAAAATGGTGGTTTATGTACAGTATAATCCCAATTCCCTAAAAAAATGACAAATTCACAATAACAAAAAGGGTCAAAAACGAAATCTTAAAAATAATTCATTCAACTACGAATCGCGCTTAACAACTGTACAAAATATTACGAGTGGTTTCTTTAAAACGTGCTCCATTATTCGTCGGCAAAGTGGGCAAATAACTAACGGTACTCCACACTACGTCCTTCCTATATATGTACAAAATGTCCTTTTACAAAAACAAAATATAAACTATATACAACATCATTAAATATTCTCAAATGCTGTAACACATTTAAAACATTTCCATTTTCAACTAGGCATAATTCAGTTAAGTAGCGGACTGGCCGCTGCCACCGTTCAATAATTTATGTATACCGTCGCCGCTTTATCATACAAAACTGTACAATTTTCCTACGATCACCTCTCGCCACTCATATAAATACATAGAAACGAAAGAACATTAATATTCTATTATTAAGCAACAAAAACTCAATAGTCTGTATACGATGTGATATTGTTTCAAAAGCGAATAACGGGATTAAACGTTAGACAGCTAGCTCTGCATCGGCCCGACAGGGGACACTACCAAAATGGAATTAATTTCGAAGCCACGCGACCGTTCGCACTGGCCAGAACACGCACTCGGACATATTTACATGTATATTTATTTACTTACTCTTTAATATATGTATATATTAAAATAGAAAATTCAATATAACTACCAAACTGTCAAGAGATTCGACGAACCAACATCGCACGTGTTGTTTCAAAGGGTTCGATCTATATCTTTATAAAACGACGTCTAATAATACAAATGCTAATTGAAACACGGTTTATTGGTTTGTTCTTTTCCTAATTTACTTTGTTGACTATTGATGTATAATTTTCATTGCTAGAAAACACCAGTAAAACGGATTTTATTTCTTTTCCTAAGTTTACCCAGAGTAGTTCACGCGTGGCCGCAATTTACTTAAGGTTACGTTATGCAAAGATTCACACTATATTAATGTTTGTGTCGCGCCGGTGACGGCCGTGTAAACCGATTTATAGCTTGATCCCTGGATATTTAACCGTACACGAGGACTCTGACGCTAAGATAATGGTCAATTCACCTAAGGTAAAAATTTCCTATAAATGTTAATCTACGACATCTAAGCCGAGTTTGGATACAAACATTAAAAAATAATTTCATGGTGTACCAACGTAAAATATAAAAACCTATAAAAATAAAATTTAATTCAAATGAGTACTCAAGCGTAAATTTCGACATTCATATAATATTACATCGATTAAAAAACGAAGAACCCTGTGAAACGAATTCTGTATAGAGAAATAAGGTTGGTAAAAAATATCTAAAACACTACTCAAATACCTAATTCCTTTGGTAATTCATACCGGTTTGCAACATAAAATAAAAGTTATATATTACATTCTACACAGCTCAACAACGTAATAACATCATTTATTACAACTGTCATACTAAACTTGTGACAATGTACAGAAAGATATAAATTGAAAGCGTATTATTTTTGGAGTTAAAAAGGGACAAATTTTTTACAAAATAAAATGTTTCGTAAAAATTTGCAGAAAATATCTGTGTTGGACATTGTGAATAATTTATAAACATAATTTAGAACAGGTTCTATTTAAAATTTAATGTTTCTTTTGTCGTTAATAACTTTAGCAAAGTATATTGTATGATTCATTATATGATTATTAGATTTGCAGTATAAAACATATATAAAAGTTAAATATGGAAACAAAATAAATTAGATTGTATTATAAAATGGCCGCAATACATACCATAGTAAAAATATAATAAAGAAGAGTGTAAAAGTTAAACTTAAGAAGGAAAATGTAGACAATATAACATATTTCACATAAGTTATTATATACTAAAAATATTGCATGTTGCTCTAAGGCAATATGTTAAGGGTAATGTTATGTCATAATACTAAACAAAATGAGGTTCATATAAAAATTATGGAGAGAGAGAGATCACGGAAGAATGAAATATAGCGAGAGACATCAATGGAAGTGCTGTACTTTATTATGCAAGAGGTATAGATAAGAAATGAAGTGACCTAAACTCCACTAAGTTTCAATATAACGGTAGTAACAAACTTCAAAAACTCGTCCTCTAAGTTGAATTGGACCATTGTAAGATTTTGTTATACTATAACAAAGCGACTCCCATCTTAACTAGATTTTTTTTTAACTTTTCTATTATATTTTATAACATTTCAATATTTAAAGGAGTTTGTGCGGGGCAACATTTACTCCGGAAAATGGCCAGTTTATATTCCTAGAAAGTTGGAATTACATTCAATTATATGCACAACAAATTGTTTGAAACACCTTTCAAGCAAAAACTGTATGAGTCTAATGATGTAATCACAACTTACAAGAAACATTCCAATAAAAATCCACACACCACCATTAGATAGACTATATATTACTCTGAAATAATCATCTCCTGCAAGTGCCCTTATAAAGGCTTTATACAACAATATCTTTAGCTTAAATGTCCTTTTTAAATACAATCCTTATCAATAGTAGCTAATCTAAGTACTGTCATTCTGGAGTTTGACTCTTGCTGGAGGTATATTTTGTATATAAAATGTCCATGAATATGTTTAATTTCATTGTCAATAAAATTGTCAAAACCAGTTAAGTGTCTTATTTAAAAAATATAAAAAAGAGTTCTGGTTAAATGAATTCTATAAAGAAAATACTAATTGGGTCAAACTTCAATCATCAGTAATAAATATTGATATTATTACAATAGTATTGGAAATATTAATTAATCACATAATACTGTTATATAAATATCCAGATTATGTAGTGTGTATTATCAGGCATTCCAGTATTTCAGCAAAATACTCAAGATTTACATCAAAATGATCTTTCAACTGTAAAATTTCATTCAACAATTTTTGGTGTCACCTAAATTGCACCAAATATATAAATAACAATCTCATTCAAGTCTCGACCACCCAATGGACCATAAACCATCGTATTACGGTAGAAATACATTTTACTTATATGATTCCCGACTTTTCACTTGTCATCAAAACAAGAAATATCACCGCTTAATTTGAAAACGACATTAGCTTGCATATGAGTTCTCCTTACATTTCACAATTTAAATTAGAATTTCTTTACCTAACACTTCAAGTATCGAAAAATTACACTAAAAACAATTGCACAACATAGGTGCGGAATTTATAATAATCGCGTCCAAATAAGTATAAGCAAAGTGGTTTTGGCTAACATTTATAATTATGAAATTCAAACTGTAACATCCACAATGCCTAATAGTGTATCAACACAAGTGTAAACACGACTCTAGGTTTTTATAAAAATATGCAGTACATTTTTTTAATACCCGGAACATCTCAATATGCTTTTTGTTTCTAACAGCTCAATTATGGATTTAGTAATTTGATGCATTACTTATTGTACTTCGCAGACAGAACGCGAAAACGATGAAATGGTCATATTGATGGGAACAGTGGTGGGGTGGCTATATTCAGGCTACTGGGGCTAGCCGAGCGCTGCGGCCGTGTGGTAGAGCTGCATTAACGCCTGCACGTGGAGCGGTAGGCAGGAGCGGCGGTCGTGAGTAGTCCCGTCCAGTGCCAGCCACGACAGCGCATTGTAACCCTCCAGCACATACCTGGATGTAAACGACGCAGTTACGCATGTGTACGCCTAGTTCAAAACTATACTACAACCAAATTCATAATTAGTGCCTGGCAGTGGTAATTTTCAAACCGTGTCTGTATGTTCTATTGGGCTTCTTGTGTGTAAAAATCGCAGTTAACCCCGTCTATGATGACTCTATGGCGCAGCTGCCAAGGCATTGGCTTCGTCGCCGGGGGTCGTGGGTTCGATCTCCACACAAGACAAATACTTCTGTGACCAATAATCGTTTAGGATCTCAGTATTTGTCCACTTGAAGTTTTTGTAAGTAAAACATTCTTACAACACGGAATATTGTACCCTACAGTAAGGGAGCTATATTTTCGAAGAGAAGACTACAACAGATCTTTCTAGGTCGAAGTAGTGGTTGGGACAAATCATCATCATCATTATTTCAGTCTGTTTGATTCCACTGGTGAACATAGGCCTCCCTGATAGATTGTCACGAAGTATGATCCTGAGCCACCAGAACCCATTGACTTTCCATTTACACAGGTCTTATGAACCTAGTGGGTTGGGACAAATAACAAAATATAAAACCCCATCCTTCACCGAAGAGGCGAATTCGAAAAATGAGGTCGCCGCGGCCAAGAACAATACTAGTGCTGAAGGCAAAGAGACGCTGTTCGCACCTGAGCACATCGGTGGTGGTTTGTGAGTCGAGCGGGTGCGAGTTGTTGTCTCGACGCTGCGTGAGCGACGTGAAGTCGTCCGAGGTCTGCGCGCTGCCCGAGTGCAGGTGGAGGGCGTTCTTGAGGAAGGCGGGGCAGGCGTCGCGCAGGTGGGCGCAGCCCGCCCACCACCAGGCCGGCATCGCGCCCAGCGGCGCCGTCGACACCAGGTACCCGAGCGCCAGCGGCTGCTGCAGCATCGTGCCGATCTGCTCCTGCACAGTCACCGGTCACACCGCTCAGTGTCAAGTTGGCCCGCCAGCCGGGGAACGTACCGTGACTCCAAGCGGGGGGCGCACCTCGCGCTCTCCCGCATGCGGTAGACGATGATGCAATCAAATAGACGGTTAGAATTTTTTATTATAACACATACATAAATACAATACTATGTTATTTGATTTACCAATGCAGCATGAGAAAAACTGTTTATTTATGATTGGATGAAAATGGCAATACAATAATAAAATCACAGGTTGCTCTGGAAGCAAACTTAATGATTTAAATTGTTTTATGGTGCAAAACTCTGCACTTAAGGTGAAACATTACAATGTGTAGAAAAAAAATACGAAAACTTTTTCGCTGCATATCAAATGCAAAAAAAACAATGTATGTAAAAAACGTCTGTGTAGCAATCAGGCAATTAACTTAGTGGTTAAAGCGTATGGGCGCGAATCCCGAAGACGTGGCTTCTCACAGCGGCTAAAAAGTTTCCGTCCTTTTTTCTACACATCTGAATGTGATCGAGTTTAAATGACTGGTGAAGAAAAGCGGTCGCACCGGCTGGTGGTCGTCGGCGTGGTGGTAGCCGCCGGCGGCGTGGAGCGCGGCGTGGCGCGCGGGGCTGCCGTCGCGGCTGCCGGCGGCGTCGTCGTCGTGGCGGCGCGGCGAGGCGCGCGGGCTGCTCTGCGCCCACATGTGGTTGAACATGTCGCCGATCAGCAGGTCGGCCATGTTGTCCTCGCCGATGTCCTCGTCGCCCATGTCCACGCCCAGGAACATGATGTCGTTGTCCTCGCCGTTCGCCATCGGCGGCTCGAACGGCATCTGGTTCGACTGGCGGCCGGAAGGGGTCGGGTTAGTAGGAGTCGCTACGCTGGCTCTAATATCGCATATGATGATGATTCTGTAGATAGATGACCCAGTACCTGGGTGGTGGCGGAGGTGGGGAAGACGAGGATGTGCGTGGCGGTGACGTCGCGCGGCGTGTGCAGGTGCGACTGGATGGAGGCCTGCGAGAAGCGCTCGTCGGGCGTGAAGCGGTCGGCCATGAGGCGCAGGCAGGGGTCAGGCTCGGTGGAGACCAGGCAGGCGGAGAGCACGCACGGCGCGCCGCCCGGGTACAGCGCCGAGCAGCTGCCGCAGATCTCGCGCAGCACGCCCGACGCGCGCACCAGGTTCTTGCGCGACAGCAGGTAGCTCCAGCCTGCCCACCCAACACTCTTAGTGCCCGCCTCATCCTCATGCTAATGCTAGTGCTCAAATCTAAAACGACTCTATTACCCATGTTTTTAAACCACCATAGATACTAGCCGTTCGGTAATTACAGAACACATAGAAATAAGACATGTATCCAACCACAGACTTATCTCTATCTGTTTTTTATTTTAACACTAAATATAATAACTTTGTTTTAATTAAAGCTATATAGTATAACTATATAGCTTTAATGTTTGGCCAGCTTCTATAATGGTGTAACTTATGTATGACATTTAAATAATAAAATTTTAACTATTTAAATTAAATGCCTTGAGACAGACTGTGCATAAGCACGTACTGGCGTGCGAAAGTGTGCAGCGTACGAATGCACCGTACACACAAGCATACTGACGGACTAAGCGGGATTCTAAGGATGGCGAGCGGTTGTGCTCACAACTTTAACCTTTCTGACTCTTACATCTAATATTCGCTAAAGCGCAGCATATTTCAACTTCAAAGTCACATATTTTTAAGGTAAAAATAATTCATTATTTAATTAACTGTTTGATTTTTAAATTATTTCATTTTGCTATTGTTTGTCTATCGAATTGAGAAACAGTAACAGATATAAAAACGTGACGGAAGTAAGACATGTGTAGAAAACAAGTTCTTTTTATAACGAAAACCAAAACCGACTGCAGATCTCGCTCTGTATTGATTTTATAATTGAATTTTACGAGTTCCGTAAGTATCTCCGGTGCTCAATACCAATGCAATTAATACGGGACCACACGGGAAGCACCAGATTTCAAATAACCATCAAAATCGGTTCACCCAGTCGACAGTTATGAGGTAACGAACATAAAAAAAAATACGGTCGAGTTAAAAATCTCCTCCTCTTTTGTTGATAATTTCTGTTGTTGGAGTGTTGATAAAAAAACTAGTTTGTCATGTTTAACAGTGGACATATCACATACCTTTGAGTTCGCCGTGACCGATGCGACCAACGCGTCCGACGACCAGCCGCCAGGGCTGCGCGGCCTGCGACATGACGCCCAACGTGAAGTCCATCAGCTTGGTGAGACCGAGCCGTCGCGCCGGTGCCGACCGCCTCCTTCGAGACCTAAGGATATAATACATGCATTCAGAAAGAAGAAGAAGAAGAAGAAGAGAAGGTGGCAAACCGGTTGGCGGTTCACCTGATATTAAGTGATATCCACCGCCCATTGACAATTGCAACATCTGTAGGGTTACAAATGCGAGCCCATTTCAATAAAAGATGCTATCATTTATTAAAATGGGCCCCCGCTACCTCACTCACCAGACGAAACGCAGAAGTATAATAACGCTTCTATTTCAAGCTGGGCTTTGTAAGGTCATACTTTCCGAACGAACGTCGTGCAACAGATAATAAATTTTTAGCATCCTCACTATTTTTCGCTAGGAATAGGCGAAGACGAAAGCGCAGTTACCTCGCGGGCACGTGGATGTTGATGGCGGCGGTGTCGAGCAGCTCGCCGCGCGCGTCGGTGGCGGCCGCCAGCAGCCAGCGCTGGTCGTGCGACAGGCAGTAGGCCACGAAGAGCACGGAGCACTGCTCGCCGCACGCCTGGCCCCACGTCTCGGCCACCTCCTTGAGCGCGCGCGGCGGCGCCAGCACCCACGCCGGCGAGAACAGCCGGTACGGCGCGCGGTTCTTCTCCTGCGCGCGCACACGACACCACTTCAGCACACGGAACGGGGCGAGCTACCTCCCGCTTCACGCATTGCACTCACGTCTTTGGAATTGAGGAACAGGTTGGCGTTGGCCGCGGTGCCAAAGCCGGTGAGCGATTTCCCGTTGGGCTGGTGCTGCAGCAGTCGCCGGGCGCCGCTGAACACGCTGAAGGCCAGCGTGCGCAGCTCCACGCCGCAGCCGCCACGGCCGCCCCACAGTTCGTACACGCCGTCGAGAGAAACGATCTGGAAATGAGCACCGGTCTCGTTGACAATTCGCACCCCCAAAAACTTGTACCTGAACAGCGACATAGCATCGGAAGCGCGTTCCCGACCTTGATGAAGGGGTTGTGGTGGTGCAGGTGGTGGTGCGCCTGGGCGGCGAGGCGCAGCAGCGCGTGCAGGGCGTGCGCGTGGTGCGCGTGCGCGGCGGGCGGCTCCACGAGGTAGATGACGAGGGCGGGCGGGCCCGCCTCGTCCTCCTCCCAGGGCGCGTGCGCGGCGCCGGGCGCGCCCGCCTCCGCCTCGAGCTCGCCGGCGGCGGGCGGCGCGCCCGGCGTGGGCGGCTGCTCGGGCGCCGCCGGCGGCCGCATGCCCGTCGGCCGCTCGCCCTCGAACAGCGCGCGGTCGATGCCGAGCGGCGACAGCTGCGACACCAGCTCGCGCAACGTCTCCGCGTAGGCGCGGATGTACTCGCCGAGCCGGCCCGGGGGCAGCTCCCCGGCCCATTCGTCCGAATCGCAGCGCTCGGCCGGCGACGTCCGGACGATCCCGTCCCGCGCTATCCTCGCGATCGGCTGATGCCTGCCCAGCCGGCACGCCTCGTAAGCGGTCGAGAGCTCGCGAAAGAAAGCGCGCAGCGGATCGGTGAGCGCCTCGCCCTCCGCCGCGAGCGCCACGTACGCCACGTCCCGGGCGTACGAGTACGGCTCCAGGGAGAGCCTCTCCCAGTGGCGCAGGGCGTACGGGGACAACGAGATCCAGTCGCGGTCGTGGCCCACCAGCAGCGGCGGCACCGGCTGCGGCTCGCACAGGTCCTCGTTGCCTCGTCCCGCCAGGCGATGGAACTGTCGCCAAGTGAGCGGGCCGGTGACGCCGTCCCACATCCGCGCTCCACAACACCGTTTCTGGATGGCATCTTGCAGCAGAGGTCGAAGGCGGCGCATTAATCTGCAATAATTTCGTATGTTTCCTTTTTAGAACCAACACGCTACCTATATGAAATAATTTAATCGTCGAGACATATTGAGTTAAAAGAATGAAGGAAACACGAAATTGAATTTGCTTATAACTTATTTATAGAGCGACCGTACGCTGCTCCTCATGTACCTGACGACATCGCGCGATGATCGCGGCGCCCGTGCCCCAATGAAGGGCCACCGGTGCACGGCAGAGGGGGCGGCGGGAGCGGGCGCGGGCGCGGGGGGAAGAGCGGGCGGGGCAGGGGGCGCGGGAGGGGGGCCCACTGCCGCCTCGCGGAGCGCGCACGCGGCCGCAGCGCCTCCGTCGCTGTACCTGCACGTCAATAGAACAATTGATAAATAAATGAAAGATGTCTTCTAAAGAGGCACGTATATATGTAACTAGCTAATTCGACAAATGTTGTTTTGTGGAATTTCGTAAAATCCACTTAGCTGACCTCTACTCGGCGAAAGGAATAATCCCACCAAAATTTTCAAACCCACTACTACAATTATCGGTGGAAATCTCTTATACAGCGTGTCTTTAGCATCGCGACAATAAATGAACACACATATAGAGGATAACTTTTTAAAATTGTATTAATGATTTACATTCTCTTAACATCAATATTTAGCGAGTTATCAAATTTTCCAAAACAAAGAATTTTAGAACACCCCCTTACGTATAAAACTTTAATGTAAAGTTCATTTGTAAATGCCACAAAGCATATGAATGGGTTGAATGAATTTAAAAGAAACAAAACATACTGTTAGAAGGAGGGGCTTGTAATGCGGCGCTGTGGCAACGAATGAAAAAGTCTCTGAATGTATGAATCAGTCAGTTGTACAGGATGTTACAAATTTTGTTTAACGTTAATATTTTTTTATGATTATTGGCAAGCAGCGTTAGACGCGTGTTCATTTATTGTCGCGGTGGTATGTATGTGTAGATAAAAAGGCTATGTAATGTACTGACTCGAGCAGGTTGAGGCGCAGGTGGTCGTGCGCGGGCGGCGTGGCGGCGGCGGCGCGCGCCAGCGCCGAGGCGGGCCCGCCGGCGGGCGCGGCGCACTGCGCGGCCAGCACGCCCGCCACGTCCGCCAGCGACGCGCCGCGCACGCCGCCCCGCCCGCGCCCGCCCGGCTCCTCCGCCAGGCCCGTGATCTCCATCTCGTCCTGCCGCCGCACGAAACGTTTTTAATTACACTCCTTTTAAACCGAACAAACGATTAGTTACACGACGACCGATAACTTTTTGGCGTTAATTCCCAATTATTTAATTAAACCAAACAAACGATTAGTACTGGCATACGGGGTACATTGTTCGTTATTTTACATTTTTTACGCTAAAGAAGTGTAGCATCTTACTTGTGTACATAAATAGACACACAGGTTTTTTTGCTTTAAAAAAATAAATAATAGATCTTGTTGAATATGCTTATACATTAACTAACTCCTTGCTAAGGTCACGGATCGTGCATAATGACTCCCACGTTCAATCCTCTCCATTTATAAAGCGCTATAGACTGACACCCACCTCGTAGAAGAGTCCGGCGCGGTGCGCCAGGCGGCGGTTGACGATGGCGCTGAAGCCGCAGGAGCAGCGCACGCTCTCGTGGTCGCCGGGCGCCTGCTCGCCGTGCGTCAGGTACGTGACCGCGTCGGCGCCGCGGATGTTGCCCACCTGCACGGTCAGAACCCGCTTACGTCTTCCTCCTCAACTAGGCCTCACACGAGGCCGCCCGCCAGTTCTGGACCGACCGTTGACCGAGTACGCTCTTATTTATGTTTCTCTCTCCATTTAATAATGATTCAAGAAAATAACTAATTTAAGCAATATTTTAACCTTTTACATCCCCACCTGGGACCTCATGAACTATATGTAACTCGTACCGTATATGTATGTTTTTTCACAATGAATCGTAAGGGAAGTAAAGAGCGGATACATACCGACGTTTCAGTGTCGCAGACGCACAGCGTGCAGCTGTCGAAGTTGTGGTCGCGGAAGACGTTGAGCACGGTGTCCGCCAGCAGCACGTTGAGGAGCAGCGGACAGGCGGCGGAGGGCGGCTGTGGCGAGGCGGCGGGCGCGAGCGCGGAGGCGGGCGCGGGCGCGGGCGCGGGGGCGGGGGCGGATGCGGGCGTGAGCGGGCTGCGGCGCGGCGAGGGGGCCGCCGCGGAGGCTGCGCTCGGCGCGCCCGCCTCCGCGGCCGCTCTTGGCGCCACCGAGCCCGGCGCGCTCGGCGCCCGCGCCTCCACGCTCGGCGACGCGGGCCTCTTCACGCCGCCGCCGCTGCTGCCGCTGTTTGTACTATTGGTCGAGCCTGGAGAGAACATCGTAGATGGTTTTAGACATTTGTTTTCTCAAATTCTCGTATTTACAAAATATCACTCAGAGTAAATAAAAAAAAGTACAGTAAGTACAACAAAACTTTCCGACTTGTCGTAGTTAGTGGACTTTTTATGAATATATGGTGTGGCAGTGTGGCAGTGGCAGTTTGAATTAAATTGTTTAACCAAGTAATAAATAATGGAAAAATGTTTTTTAATTTGTTAATTAAGTTATGATGATAAAATTTCAAGGCTATAACGACTTTTAAATATTTTTTTTAATGAGAGAGTGGCAAGCGAGATGGTGGTTCTCCTGATGTTAAGCGATAACCGCCGTCCATGGACATTTGCAACACCCGTAGGGTTGCAGATGTGTTGCCGACTTTTAATAAAGTGGGCCCCGGCAACCTCACTCACCACAAGAAACGCAGAAGTATAACACTACCACTTCACAACGGTCTTCTGTGAGATCATGGTACTTTTTCAGATAACCTGCCAATTTGGGCAACCGCCGAAGCTATTTCGTGAACCTACCACCTACAAAAATTAATACAAGCTACCTACCAACTCCATTATCAGATCAGCACCATGCCATCATAATATTGCATTGTCACTCGATTTACACATATGTGCAAAATTTCAGCTTAATACAAGTTTCGCCCATTGGGCAGTTGGAACAGCGAACGCTTACCGTTACGTTGCGTATCGGCATCGGGGTCGGGTTCCCGCTTGGAGTCGAGCTGCCAACGCGGCAGGTACACGGCGTGCGGCGGCAGCGCAACGCTTGGCAGCAGCTGGCTGGGCAGCGCCGTCAGCGGCGAGTATTTCGACGAGCCCACGTATTTGCACACCGTCGGCGCCTTGAACACGTACGACCAGTCCTGCAACGCGACGGAGTACGTAGAAATGGATGATAAATTGTTGCACAGACGAACGAAGCTTTCGCTTCATGATTTTATAGCTATATGGTGATTCTGAGTTTGTTTGGAATTTACCTTATCCGATAATATGATAGAACATCAAATGAAGCGTTAAATCTATCAGTTGTTATTAATCAGGCAGTATATGATTGTGGCAATTGGCCGGTTCCCCGGAACGAAAGTTCTCGAGTGGCGTCTCGCATTGACCATCTTAGTTTACGACGACCCCACCACACTAGATGGAGTGACTATTTGTGCAAATGTGTGGGAAGTTTATGGATGCAGGTAGCTCAGGATTGTGCTTCGTGGTGGCCTGTTGATGATGATAAAGTAACACCATTCGATACAAAGGAGCTTTGAATGAAGGCTTCATTGTGGTCGAAAGGTCGTTGGAAAATAATGAATGAAAAAGCAACGTACCTCGATGGGGTCCGGCGGCGGCGAGCCGGGCAGCAGATGGCGGTGCGGCTGCGGCGTGGCGTCGTCGGGCAGCGAGAAGCCGGGCGAGGGCTGCGCGTGCGCCTCCATGCTGGGCGGCGTGGGGAACATCTTGCTCAGCTCCTCGGCGCGCACGCAACGGCCGCCGCAGCGCGCCTCCTCGCAGCGGCCCGCCTCGCCGCCCGCCGCCGCCGCCAGCTGCGCCCAAACGCCCACTCTCGTCACTGCCCGCTCTCGGCCTCTGCCGTCTCTCCCCTGCCCCCCGCCCCTCGCGAGCCTCACCGTTTCGTCGCCGCTCGCCGCGTCGTCCGAGTTGTCGAATATCTGGTCGAGGTCCTTCAGCGTGGGGCACAGGCCGTCGGACGTGAACAGGTTCTTGTACTCCTTGGAGTCGTCCTGCGGAGGTGAACCGTCAACTAATATAGCGAAACGTATGCGTTGCCAGGATTCGAAGCTTCGTCTTCTGGGTAAAACTCTCTAGCCAACTGAGCTAAGTGGCCGTAATGCTACGAAAGTCTCGACAACATTTCGTCTTCTTACTTTAGTGCTAATTTTGACTAAAGACGACCACAAGTGGTCTATCGAAGTGACATCATTCATAATTCTAGCAGAATCGGTAACTCAGCGAGGTGCACTGACGTCGTGGCGCTCCTGCTTGAGGTCGGCGAGCAGCGGGCGCGGCGCGGGCGGCGGCGAGTGGGCCGCGCCGGCGTACAAGTCGACGGCGCCGTGGGCCGCACCCCCACACAGCGCCAGCTCCTCGCTCCACTCGCGCGCCTCCGCCTTGAACCGCTTCACGGGGTGCTCCAGCCTGCGACCGAACACAGTCACTTTTAGCTTTCAATTTCATAGCTGCGCAATGTTTGACTTACGTGGTGGTACTATGAAAGTGCACGAGCGGACCAAGAGGTTTAAAAGTCACATACATGCTAGTACTTTAAAAGAAAATTGTGTAAGAATTCAAAACCAACTTAAGTGCCTCATATTAAATCCAAGCAATTAAATAAATTATGCAATTTGCATACCTGTTCACCAGTTGACGGCAAAAAATAACGTTATTGAGATTAGACACATAAATTAATTTTCAAAAACTTCTCAAATTCCTTTTAACCTAAATGATTATAAACTAATGTAATACCGAAGGAAGATGACGTTTATGATCCAACCATACATGAAAATAAAGTGATTAAGTAGACACGGTAAGTATTACCCAAACGGGTAATAATTTGATTTCTTCAGCAACTAGCTGACCCGGCAAACGTTGTCTTGCCGTATAAATTATTTCTAAGGAATTTGTAGGGTAGAAAAAAATATTTGGGGTGGACCACCCTTAATATTTCGGGGGATGAAAAATAAATGTCCGATTCTCCACCCTGGCCGATATGCACACAAAATTTCACGAAAATCGGTCGAGCCGTTTCGGAGGAGTTCAATTACAAACACCGTGACACGAGAATTTTATATATTAGATAAGTCATTTTAGTGTTAATATATTACGATATATTTACAGCTCCTAACCGCACTCGGCTAAATATTTACACGGACACTACATTTACGGCCGGTTTTAATATTCTACCTACAGATAGATCTGGTTACTAGCGATAGGTATTTGACACTATAACACTTACGTCGAAAATTTTATCTCGAGTAACCAATCTCTAGTATCTGCAGATTGAGTATTGAAACCAGCCGTTGGTAAAAGAAAAATAGGTAAAAAGTTTTTTTTTTGAAAAAAAAAAATCCATATAAAAACGAGTTTTTATATCCTTTGCGAAGCGTACTTTGCGAATGAACGCATGTACTTTGTGAAGTTCCTTCGGCCACCTACCAGCTCAATCATCAGATCAGCACCGTGTCATCATAATATTGCATTGTCACGCGATTCACACGTGTGTGAAAAATTTCAGCTCAGTCGGTAAACCAAATCAGAAAGTGGATCAAATCAAAATTTGAAAGATTTGATGACAAACATACGGACAGGTGAAACTAAATGAAAGCTTTTAGAAATTTAAATTGTTTATAGTGCCAATCTCTGCACTTAAGATTGAACATCACAATATGTAGAAAAAGTACGAAAAGATTGTTATATCGAAACTAAATATATCGACTGAAAATACCGATACACAGAATCCAAAATATCGTTATATTGAATCTTTTTCTACATCCGTATGTAAAAGTGCTTATGAATATGCTCTTGAATATTGTACACTATTAAATTAAGCTAATCTTATAATAAAATTAATAAAGAAATGAAAGTGAATTGTTAATAAATAAAAAGCCATATCTCCAAATAAAGGTTAATTCCTAAAATAAATATTATATCCTTTTCATATTGATAAACATGAAAATAATGTTAAAACTTAAAAATAAAAACAAACATCTGGCAAGCCAAAACATTAGTAGACACTGTGGTTAAAAAGAGGGATGTGAATAATTAACGGATGTAATATAAGATATATTGTGGAATTGATGTAACCATTGTATTGTGTAACTCTTGTAATAATAAATAAGTGGAATTAAATAAATATATTTAAATATCTATCAAGAAGACTTTAATTAAATTCTAACGCGTAACAGTCACTCACACGCTCCGAGATGAGCGCGCCACACGGATACGACCGCTTATGGATATGATTAGTAACTGGTCAATTGATGAATCACGGAAGGTAAAGTTTTGCATACATCAACTGTAACATCGCCTACTTCTAACTCATACTAATCGTTTCATTCAAGTTATACTTCTTATGGCGTGTTTGTAAAAAATGCTGAGGGTTAATTCTTACGATGCGTGAGACCAAATTAATTGTATTTCAATAGCAACCAGTAATTTTTTTTATATTTCCAGCACTTCTACTACAATTTAATTAAACAAAAAAAATTGACAAATAAAACAGTATAAGCACACGAGATAAAACTTTCAGTTATTACACTTTTGTGTATTTTTACACGTTACCGCAAAAGGAGTATAACTTCTTACGTGCGTATACATATAAAAAGTACACACGTACATATTTTTATGAATGTTTCAAGTTCGGATTGCGTTAAGAAGTTTGTTCACTGTCACCGTGTAACATTGCAGTGGGCCGGGTGTACCTGCGCGTAGTGCTTGTGCGGCGGCGCGGAGGGGGGCGCGGGGGTGGGGGGCGCGTGCGGGTCGGGCGTCGGCGCCGGCGTGTGCAGCGTCGTCGGCACCGCGCCACCCGCCTACGGACACACGCCACACGTCAGCCGCTTACGTCGTTCGAAACCGCACCTCACTCCATAACACGACGACGCGTCGAATGTCACGTTCGAATGTGCATAGCACGGATCAAGCACTTCACAAATTTTTCACATCAATCACTCCTCTCTCCGACATCATACACACCGGTTACAATTTCTAGCCGACACGAGCGTGAGCGAATAGAGCTGTGATCACATGTCATGTGCAGGAGGCGTTCCATGCTAGTCCGCTGCAGACACACAATATTGTCTCGACTGGGGCGCCGCGACATGCAAGCGGGGAGCTTACGAGTTTGTTTTAGTGCGACAAAGGTGGAAGGGAGGCGGGGTGGGGGCTACCGACCTGGTGGGGCGGCAGCGCGGTGTGGTGCGGCGAGGGGGGCGGCGCGCCGGCCGAGGGGGGCGCCGAGACGGCGGGCGCCGGCGACGCGCCGCCACAGCTGCCCGGCGAGCAGCCGCCGCCGGACGCCCTGCGCGGACACAACACGTTTTAGCGACGGACTGCGGCCGGCCCCACTCCCCGCGCGGACACTCGCACTGACAGACTCGGCTCGGACGCACTATACGGAACCGCAACTTGGCCCGATCCGTGCGGGTCGCTAAATACGGATGGGCCATCTTTTGTTTGTATAGTTTTCTTGTGGTTGTTTCATTAAACAGGCGCCCAGTTAGGTCATATTTTGTCTACATAATTTTAGTCGTTGTAAACGTTAACAGGCGCCCAATAAGAGAATTATGAGAGAATTTTGAGAACTGTTCATTAGATTAAATACTTTTGATTTATCATCTTATGAACTTGTGTGTAAATATTAGCATTATCATTCGACAAAAAAATATTTAACCAACATATTATATAGAAGGGAATGACACTCATACAACACAAAAGATATGGTGCTGGACAGAGAAAAATCTTGTTATTACTGCTTAGGTTACCGATACAACAACAAGATTTGTACACAAATGACCGCGGCCGATTCCATAAGTAGGACTTTTTACATACCACAGCTGTGATTGTGATTTCTTGTATTACTAAGATGCAATTGTTTAATGGTGTCAGTGCATTGGGGTCGCCGGTAGTGGTTAGCGGGCGTCTCGTGACCCAGCTGCCATGTCGAAGTGTAGTTCGTCGTTATGATTACATATTCGTGATACAGATGCGTTGCACTTTATAAAGGCAATCGATCGCGTGAGACCCACACTGGCCGATGAACGATGTATCGAATGACATGACCAACGGTACAAAACGAATAACGCAGCTCCAAGATGAGAGGTAGATGTTATAATGTATGTAAATAAATGATTACGCTGATATCCATTCGTGATGTAGTGTAAACTAGGGTTGTCACAGTAGTATTTTTTTATTAATATGTTATAACACATTTATTGACACTCATGCAACAGTTATTAAAATAGAAAGAGTAGATGTGTGAACGATATAAAACACCATCTCGATACTCGAAAGATGCCGCATTGTGTTCGTCGTTATGATATAGGAAGAAACAAAAGTTTATTTGGGAACAATATCATACTTAAATATTTATCCCCAAATATAACTTCCACATAAAGGAAAAGTCTAGTAGAAAATAATAAACCATAAAAACACGTTTGTGATTTCTGATATTTATTCCGTTGTCAAAATTACGTTATTTTATATTTATATTTTTAAAACGTAATCTCGTTATGGTAGGAATAAAAATTTTTCGCAAAGGCCGTCTAGCGTTACTAACTAGGCGGTATTTTTACAAGGGTATTAAATACAATACCAATTCCAATAAAAATAATCTCTCGTGATCTTAGACAGTTAAATGAAATGTGGTTACATGATCAGGATGGAAGTGAATAGGACCGTCTCATAAATAACCCATCAATCGTAAAGACACAAAGCATGCAATGTACGATAATAATAACGGGTCATGCAATACAATAGAATGCAATAGATATAAATATACAAATAGCTCTATGTAGGCAATGTAACATGCGTACAAGCGGTATTGCATCGTTTGTGGCCTGCCGTCTTAAATTAGACAAGTTAGGAAAAATTCTCACCGCTTACGAGTATTCCGCTGCAATGCCGGTGCGATTTTACTGACCTTCATTTCGAAGATTCGTTGTCTAAATTCGTCCATCCAGCTATCTGCCGCTTCTTTGAGCAATGTGATAACGCGAGAGCGATTCGGCTACGCCACGCTCTAAATTAATCTTGTAGGTATACTTACCGTATGCGCAAGTACTCCGGGGAGGGTACGACGCGTGCTGCAACACATCCGGTACGTACCGCGGGCGCCGTGCGCGTGCGACAACGGGGGCGGTGTGTGGCGGGGGGGGGGGGGGGGGGGGGGCAGGGGCGGTGAGCGGCGTGCGTGGCTGTACTCACGTGCGGGGTTCGCGCGGGGTGCGCGGGGCGGGGGGGGGGGGGGGGCGGGCGGGGGGGGGGGGGGGGGGGGGGGCGGTGGCGGGCGCGCGCGCCGCGCGGGGGGCGCGCCGGTGGAAGGGCGGCGGGCGGGGGGCGCGCCGCCGCCGCCACCTGCACAACACAACGCTACTGCCGCGGTCGCGCACTACCCCGACCCGCCGGGCCCGTGTGACCCTCCGCCGAACCCTACCGCCGCACGAGCCACCGGCCTTACCGCCGACCCTAAACGACGCTAGCCCCGCCTACCAACGCTACCGCGCCGCGACGGCCTTGCCCCGCCGCGGCCCGAGGCGCACCCCTGGCGCGGACAATCGGAACGGTTGCAACCACCACGTTAGTAAGCGAATCGCAAACTCTCTGTCTACAATCGCACTACGTATGCGTCTAAATAGTATATTGCAAGTACATACGTGTATAGAACTGAAAGCATTTGATAAATATTTATATAATATTATGCATATCATATTCTTATTTAATATACAACTTACTACTCAATAAAAATATTTACTATGGAACTTTATACGACAAATCAAGCATGCTTCTGCTGAGATTATAATAAAATGTCAGTTTGTTGTCATTAACATGAGGATAATCATAACTTTTAAATGTCAAAGGAACAATTGTACACTTGAAAGATTTTACAAAAAGGGAAACATTTGTGTAAAAGTAACAAGTATAAAACAGTTTGAAGATAATTTATGAAATGTTGTCAAATATCGTGCGGAGAAATAACAAAAATCACGTCGGCGGTTTAGATTCGGGATGGGTCACACAGACTCGCGGAACTATCGACGCACACCGTCATACTGATAATTGAAGTCTTACATATCAACAGGAGTATAAATGCAAAAAAAACAACAAAAAGTATTTGATGAATATGATGCGTTGACAATTCCGACATGCTCTTACGAATAGGACCAAGGAGACGCGCCCGCGGACGCGTCCCTTGGAGAAAGCTCGAATCCCTCTACAGTTTAAAATACTATACTAATATAATATTAAATAGACAGTATGTATTTACTATGTAAATATATAGAGAAAGGGAAAAAAACATTCACATAACATCTACCTATCTATCTACATGGCAGCTACATATGGTCGCCCATAGTTACACAGGGGGCCCGTCGAGAACAGTCGCATGATGCAACGCCGGCCAGACTCGACTGTTATCGACGCCTCTCTCATTCCGATGCATCACTTGCAGCGAACACATTTCAATGGACAACCTCATACATAATATTCGTATAGTATTATGAATGCATGGCACACAACGTCCGTACAACTACCGCTATATACTGGCACCTATCTACTACGTTGCATAATACAATATATGGATTACTAACGTATCGTCAGTTAACAAATGTGGGCCTGATGCTTTTGGAAACTGGCTTATAAAGGCGACGTGTTTATCAAAAATCGGATAGTGACGTCATCAAGGCGCATTTATCAGCGAGATGAAGCTCACACTTGGTTCTCTCATTCAGCATCGGTGCACGCTATGTACACACATAGAGGGCGCGCGGGCGCACATTTGCCAACGGGCGGCGTCTCGCTACTCACTTGGCGCAGGTGCAGAGAGCCTTGCGCGTCGGCTCCAGGAAGTCCTCGCACTTGTCGCCGCACTGCTCGCCGTAGCACAGCTCCGCCGCCTGAAAATGCCGACCACGGTCATCAATTAAACGTCAACTTCAACACGAATCAGTTCCCCAGTGGCCTTCATCTTGGTTAGCTTCAAATCGATTGATTGGTACGTATATTGTACGCATATCGATTGGTAGCTTAGCCGGTTGCGGGTGATATACTGCGGAGTATCGTTCAATGTTCGGAAGCGATTACATTGATTATAAAATATCTATACAATATAAACATCACTATTCGTCCGTCTAATATCGGAAGTGTACTCAGGGCGGAGCGTGGTTGCAAGCGTGCCCTGTTTCCCACTTCCCGTATGGGGCGATGGGGCCAGGGAGGGCGAACGATGCGTACCTGGTGCGGGCGCGGCGTGGTGAGCGAGCGGAGCGCGCGCTGCGGCAGCGCGTGGGGCGCGCCCGCGCCGCCCGCCGCCCCCGCGCCCCCTCCCGCCTCCATCTCCGTCAGCAGCGCGTACGGCACCGGGTAGCGCATGCGCACGCCGCCGCACTCCACCTGCGGACGCGCAGCGCACAACGCATTCATTTACTGCCAAAATGTGTCTACACGTGTGAATAGAACATGAATTGTAGTGTACATAGATTTATGCATAAATTAATGTTAAAACAAACATTAGTTAAAACAACTGGCAGTGAAAACAAATGTTCAATTTTACAGTGGTAATAGCTTCTTACCGAGGGTTGTGGCTTTGATTTCACTGGACCACTAATCGTGTGACCAACGAGGTCTTTTGCCGTCTACTCGGCCTTGAATGATAAGTCTCTCCGGGTAATGTTTTACATATAAAAAAATTCTGTAACGGTTAGTTATTTTCCGCACCTCAACCGCGCGGCAGCCGTGCTCCAGCGGGTAGAGCTGCCGCCAGGCGTCCAGGAGGCGCGCCGTGGCGGCGTCCCCGTCGCCCCACTCGCGCCCCGTCACCCGCCCCTCCAGGCCGAACGGCGCCAGGATCACTGCGGACACCGAGCCGGACACGGTTCACATACGCACAAGAATTATTGTAATCGCTCCGACCATTTCATTATTCCAACATCAACACGATGTCTTACACTAACATGCTCAACGGTGTTTCCGGGCAGTTTCCGGATTTATACTCTATGGCCATAGTATGTATGGCATAGAGTACAAATACAATCACTTAACACAGAGGCATCTTCCCAAGACTACGTGTATACTACATAAATGTATACCGTAGATATTCCCTCATTTATTTATCTCATGTTAAGAGCTCTCATCTTAAGACTGTTAGGACATATTAATATAAAAGCACTTATGATACATTCAAATTAACATTACGCTATGGGTTCATTTTTTAATTTCAAATGCAATGCATGCATTTGTACAATAGTTGAGATTGCTCATTACACTAAGAAGATTATTGAGACGCTTACAGGGAGAGGCCCGTGAGAAATTCGTTGTGTAGTCAGACAGAGGGAGATGACAGCGTCCAGATATTATGACTTTAAATTGTGTCGTGTAGGCAGACAGAGAGGGAGAGGGAGAGAGAGAGGGAGAGAGGGAGAGAGAGAGGGAGAGGGAGATGGCAGAGGGCGTACCGTTGGCGCGCTCGCCGCCGTCCCGTGCGGCGCGCGCGTCCGTCGCGTTGAGGCGCGCCAGCCGCTTGGCGGTGAGCGTGCGCACGGGCGGGTGCTGGCGCACGTCCACCGACGCGCACACGGTGCTCTCGCCGTGCAGGAAGAAAGCGAACGAGAAAGACAGGTGCCACGGGCTGCGGGCGAACGGTGCGACGCCGATGTTACAAGGCTCCAATCACGATTTTTTTTTTTATGTGGATACTGGCAAACGACCTGGCGGTCCGCCTGATGTTGGGTGATAACCGCCGCCAATGGACATATGCAACACCCGAAGGGTTGCAAATACGTTGCCAGCTTTAAGTAAAGTGGTACCCGGCTACCTCACTCACCAGACGAAACGCGGAAGCGTAAGCTCCTTCTGTGAGGTCGTGGTACTTACCCGGACGGACCTGCCCATTCGTGCAACAGAATACCGTTGCGTGACCCTACCGGACTTACCTGACAAACTTTTTTTTTTTTTAACAATAACTGTCCGAAGGGGAACGAAGTAATGCCCTAACTCTCAACGGGCACCACACAGAATCCTCCGTTCATGCTATGGGAAGTTAACTCTTGTGTTTCCACAAAGTTTCATTTGGAACAGTCCACAGGAACTGCTACAAATTTGACTTCCGTTAACTTTGCACAGCTGAATTGTAGGGTGGAGGATCCACGTACCTCTTGCCAACGTCCTCTTCGTCGCCATCGTAAGGTTGGACGAACCACTTCCCAAGCCTCACAAAGTCCCGCGATAACAAGCATCTGGAATGACGACAAATATTTCCATTTGAATAAAATAAAAAAAAAACAACAAATTGAAGCAGTGAGTACCATTCGTATTACTTATAGGTTGTGTTAAAATGAAAATGAAACGATCATTCTTATCAATTCAGAGTTTAACCATGCTTTTGGTAACTCAAATAACATTTGAAAAGCCATTTACAGCTGATCAGTACTTTAGACCCCGGGCGAGTCTTTGAATAATATTAAAGTAAACTACAACCACGTACAGAAGAAGAACGAACGAGTGGTAATCTAAGATCCATCCGTTGATCATTCTCATTCCTTCTCAAGGCACAAAATATACATGGGATACTGACTTGGATTTGATTCAAAAACTCTATGCTACATATAACTTTTAAGTTATAACAAAGTTCCAGAGTTATTTCAACACATCTAAACGTATTATATTCCGCACGAGAATCGTAGTAGTAAAGTGTTCGATGGACTGTCGGCAAAATGTTCAACAACACACAACGGTGTCACCCTGTACCATAGTCCCGGTAGGTCAGCATCCGGGCTCCTACCTTCAACCCTGTACACCACACGAAATACAAAAACCAGTTTAACGAAATCGTTTCTCAAATGCAATTCAAGCGATTTAAGCCCAAGCCGCTCTGTTCGGTGGGGCATGTATGCGTGTTACTCTCATAATCTTTAGACAATTTGTTACTTTTACGATACTTTCCACACTAGCCGCTTACGAGGGCCGGTAATACGGCGCATCGGTACAGAACGATGGCCGGTCGGTACCGAGCGGTGTCGCAACACACCCGTACTGGGTATCAATTAATACCGCCATAGCGAATGCGCAAATCCTACCATTACGCCGAGGCGCTGTGTTGGGTGTTGTAACGCGCGGGGCGAAACGGTCTCAAACGGTTGCGACGTCCGTTAATGGGTATAACGGTTAAACAATCGAGCTATATCGCCGCCGCGACAACGGCAATAGACACAATGCTATTATTGCTACTGGGTATGTGGGTCTGTATTTGTAATTTATTTGGGTGGTTAATTGTCAAAGGCGTTCATTAGCTTTTATATTTCCGGTGTGTAAGATTTTTGTTTTAGCACTTTGCACAACGTAATTTTTATTTGTATGTATAATTAAATCTTTAAAAACATTCAATTAACGTTGTCTTATTATAAAAATATTTTTTTTACGTATATTATTATTTTGCTGAAGCAGATGAATCAAACCAGTGTTAAATAAATTTATATCTAAATGTTTTATTCGTTTTCTTTGATTAACAATCACAGACATATACATATAAGATTAATGCATTAAATAATTTAAAAAAATATTGAATGAACAATTTTATATTTCTGGACCCGCTGTCAGCTGGTTTTATACGGTTTTCGAAAATATTATTTATACAATACATACATGCTTTTTTTCTTTGATTTCTCTGTTGTGTATCCAATTAAGAATAATCGAAGAAAATCTTTCAAATTTCCTTTTCTACTTATAAAGGACCGATCGTTAAACCGACAATGAATTCCAGAGCAATTAATTTGATTACCAACCCTTTATAGTGAAGACCGTATCTCGATTACGTCGAAACAATTATTAAGTAATGCATCATTAATAATTATTAATCGATGTGGCCCGCGTTAATTGCCACTTAACTGTTTTCAAAGTAAAACGATGTTGTTGTAGGTTATTACAATTAACACACTATGAGAATTAATGTAAAACTATGTATTTACGATCTTCAATTAGTAATACAAATCATAGGCGTAATTATTAACTTTTACCACTTATAATTTCTTATATTTACGCGATTACGCATTACAAATTAAACAAATTTTACGGATTTATCGCGTTTATTTTAAATTTTAAATCCCGACGTTTCATGATCACGAATGTCATAGTAAGGAAGTTCTACAAACATACATTTACATGTAGACAAACACCCAGGCCCGAAACAATTATCTGTGGGTCACATAAACAGTGGTCCCGTGTGGGAACTCGAACCCACGGCCCATTGGAGCCAAAGCCAATAATGGCAACAGCGCCGCGGAGTCATCAGATTAAAATTACATATAATATTTAATGTGATACATTCGGTTTCGTACGTAACTACTGTAATCGGTCTGTCCGGTAAGCTTTCAATAACAACAAACGGATCCGAGGATAAATTTAATTTCAACAACGCGATTATTCCACCTTTCCCTCCGATTTGCAATTGTTTTTCAATACGGCTCATCGGACAGTGTGCTCTAGTGGCGAGGTCTCTGGGTCGATATCTGTGTTTTCGGACGTTCGGACTCGTTTCGTTTCGGACTGGGGTAACGGCACTAGCGAATCGGTAAGTTCACAGTCGCCACAGTATGTGTACTCGGTGTCGCAACGGAGGTCTTTATGCCACTGGCCGATCGGCAACGAATAAGAATAATTGCCCGTTTACTATTCAGCTGGCGCGGCTCGCGAGACGGGCAGCACGCGCCGCCACCGCGGCGTTTTGCTTTGCAACGTATCGTCGTCAAACAAAAGTGTATACAAAATTACGTACTGTTCAAATCAATAAGATCTAATTATAATAATGTTAATATTTACAAGGCGGTCAACACTCAAAGCTTGGCCACCAGTAAAGTCTCCAATATGTAGTCCCGCTTGTATTTGAAGTAAAACAATGAAATATTACAAATACCAGTGAAGTATGCCAATTAACAATCGAGCTGCGCTAAACAAAATGATAATTTGACGCTTTTGCCCAATGGCTGTACATATTTAATGAGCCTTCGTACGTCTCAATATTCTTAAACGATACGATACGTGCTCTTCGCTTGTAATTACTTCGAAGATGGATTCGCGAAAGACATGCACAGAAGCGTGAGTCGCGCGAATCAGCGTACGCCGCGACGGTTTTGTCGCGCGGACAAACTGGAACGATGAGTTGGTCGCGGCGGTGTACTTGTCGCGACATAAAAACGTCCGCCGTTGCGGTCGCGGGCGCCGCGCCGTACGCCGGCCGCGCTGCATTGTCTTTGACGCGCCGCCGGGGTCGACGACCCGGTCGCGTTTCGTCCGCAGCCGAGATTCCGTCCGCGGGCCCGCCCCCGTAATAATAGCAGCACCCACATGTAGTCCGGTGCAACGGCACAACAACGCCTCAAAAATGTAACAATTACGCGCGCACGGTGCACTGACGCGATCGCGCCGCACCGCCGACACGCCGGAGGTTGGTAACCCTAGCGCGGTTATAATTAAAACGCCCATCGCGATCCGAACACTATGCGCTGCCAAAATCTCCACTGCAATTGCCTTGCTCAAGTGCGTTAATTGCGAGAATAATATCAGAAACAAAAACGAGTGATGCATCGAAGTAACGAGTTGGAGTGTGTCTCAGGTGCCAAAAGACCTAACGTCTTCCAAGAAAAAAATGTTATCACTGCATTAAAATATACTAAAGAACGAGACATTTCAGATGAGACGAAACTCAGAAACAGTATAACAACGGCAAGTTGTGTCTCAGTATATAATTAAGATGTTATTGTAAAAATTAAGTAGTTAATTAATCGCCCAAGAGAAGCCGTTAATTGGCTCACCGTTAATTAAAATTAAAAAATCATCGCATGCTGATCGATTTTATTGGAATGTTCGGCCCACATTTGGTTCTGTCGTAAAGGGCGCGGTTTGATACTTTTGTCGTATACCTCTCTGTAGTACACAACCAACAGTAGGGTAGTAAAAAAGTAAGTATAGGTAAAAAAAAATTCAACATTGCAGCGCCCGCCCTGATTTAGCTGACTTTCTTGTCTATGAATCCAAGCTTGCATGTATCGGTCGTGTATCGTCGGAGTTTATCGACTATTCCGTAGCTAGATTCCATGGGTACACCACGAATCAACGATAGCATCTTCGGGATGACTCGACATTATAACGGTTTTCAGATTGCGCCCAAGACACATCCTATTGAATAAATCTACAAAATAAACCTAATAAAGAATATCTAATCCTATATCCTAAGGCTGCCTGGAAGAAATTGCTACCTTAGCAATAAGGCCGCCTGTATGTACACTATCTTTCCGGTATTTTCTTCCTTGTATTTCCTTGTGTGCAATAAAGTATATTCAATAAATTTACATTCATTATTTAAAAGCAGATTCCCGCAATTGTTACGAATGCGGTGTGGTCGAAGATGCTTGATGATTTGATAATTGTATTGTATTTTATCGCTATTGTGGGTTTTACTTTTTCAAACGTGAACTGTCCTTCAACTAAAAAGAAAAAGAAATACTAACTTCACTTTGAGTAATAAACTTAATACATGAAGCCTCGACGGTTTCGACTTCCCCGTTTTGTACGGATTGATTAATTAATTAATTAATTTATAATCATAGTATAATAGTTTTTCCAGATTATCACAACTTATTGAAAGCCGATTTCAGTTTTCCACTATATAATAAATGAGGTGTTAGAGAAACTAGAGCACTGTGTGCATTTATTATGTTTTCGTCTGTCGAAGCATAAACAGAAATTTAATATTTCGAAATAATAAGCAACGCGATTCGCCTGTTTGAAGATGTCTTAATGGTTTTTTCTGTACGCAACACGTCGTTTATTTGACAGATTGACTGTATAAAAATGAGTTCGAACTTTAGCCAATTCATCAACCGTTAAAGAGCCATTTTCGATAATTATCCTTCAGCCATTAGTATAACATCGTTGACGGTGTCATTGCAAAGAGTTACTCGATAGAGAAGCATACGCAAAAATGCCAATAACCGGACATTGTCGATTGGAGATATATTTTGAAATTAAAACAGCAATGTCACTTGAGTTCGTCACCGGAAAACGTTGCTTGTCTTAAGTCGGTCAGTAGGGCATGAATGTTAATGTCACAGTTTATACTCGTTTATAGTTGTTCCATACGATTTCATCTGTGAGAATCGTTTATGCTTCTCCCTCGTAGGTTTAATACTCTGTAACCTTCCTCAAGAATTGGGCTATCATATAGAAAAAGACTTTTCAAATCTGACTGGTAGTTCAAGAGATTATCGCGTTCATAAACTCTCATTTTATAGTATAGATTGGTTAAACGCTGATATATATTTATCTAATTGTATACTACGATATCAAATCCCAGTCTATTCCAGTGCAATAATTCCTATTTGCCTCTACATATATGGACCGGTAGAAATTGCCTCTGACCCCGTATCGAAACTTTCCTCCGGTGTTATCGCTCGAACGTTACATCACTATGGGAAAAGAACCGTCTACGTCAACGCGGCGATATGTCTCCGGCGCGGATCCTATCCAAACTTCCGCCCGCGTTATCCGTACACACAAGACGACGACGAGGTAAGCTGTGCAACGATAAGCGAACAATGGTCGCGCGCAAATAACGACAAATTGGCCGAGGGCGCGGCGTAAGCAAATCAATAGAGGCGGGCGTAACTGTGGCATCGCGATTGTATGGCCAAACTGAGAATCCTTGATGCTAATTCGCCGAGGATGGGTTTCGGGGACGAATTAGCTACGAGATAGAGTACTGGAAACATTTGAGTGTCTCAATCCGTTGTTTACCTTTCGATGAGATTATGCAGCGCCTTGAAGAGGAGGGAGCGGCACTCGTACGAGAGCCCGCTCTCCCACGAGCCCTGGTCGCCTTCTGCAAAGAAGAAAAAATAAAAACGATTAGATAACGTCTAGATATACTAAGATTTGAGCCAGCGCAGCGCTCACGGGGCCGCGTTCTGTTAGCCGTCACATAGTCGTAAACTATCGCGCTACCTTGACATTGGCGGTCGGTTCTTTTGTCATGGACCCAGCGGCCGATCGCGAGCTGGCCCAATTAGCATCCCAACGGCGAAATTAGTCGTTTCGGTGCATACCGCCCCATTGGGCTGCACCGCCATCCAAGTTCGGGACGACAGTGACACGGCAACAGTAGCGGAACGGCGTTAAAGCGATAAAATAGCGAAGCTGCAGGCGCGAGAATCGCCCGCAAATAGATGTTGCATTCGCAATCGGAAGATAAACTCGGCCTATCGCCGGCCTTACACGTAAAAACAAAACAGTCCGCGACGTTGCCGCTCCGCGAGTATAGCCGTCCTCGTCGCACCCGGGGGGGCGGGCTTTGACGTCACGCGGTCGCTCGCCGCGCACGTGCTTGTGTTTGTCGTCGCGCGCGACACACATGCGAGCCGCGGCGTTCTCGCTAACATTTTAATTGACATTGAATTCTCCACCTTAGAATATCGCAACAGAGTGCGACGTGTAAATATTTCCGCTGAGGGGCGCTAACACTCTATTGTTGCGTTAACTTCGCAGCGGAACTAAGCGAAGCACTAATAGTGTAACCACAGTTTACGTAAGTGATTAGTTAGAGGACCGGGGGGGGGGGGGGGGGGGGAGAGAAACGTTTCAAGCTCTTGGCGATTATCTGTGGAATAAACATAGAGCGGCATCTCGCGGTGCGCTGGAGCGGTTCCAATTGCAAGCGTGCAGCCTTGACATTCGTGCTCCAGGTGTCCGCGCCATTTTCCCCTCATCGAACGAGATTTTCCAGTGCATGACGGAGTTCAAACAAGATGACTTAACTTGATCGGAATTATCAGAACTCGGCATTGTTATTACAACAATAACAATGATTGTTCCTATCGCACGTAGATTTCAAATGTAATGCAATGAAGCCGTCAACATCACGTTCCAACAGATAACGAAGGAATGCATGCAACGAATCTACCGATAAAGACACCACGACGCCGATTGTATAATTAACAAAAATAAAATAAACGAGAAAAAATTCTCCTCAAATTATAGTACTAAAAATTATCATTACATTGAAACATTATTATTATTTACTAGTTAACATTGAGGAAAAGTGAACTTTATTAGTTTTAACATGTTTCAACTTCCAGCACATATTAATAATACCACAGTAATTACCTTTAATAGGGAAAAGAAAACGAAGCAAAGCATCAAAAGCAATAAAACATGAACATAGACAATATTTTACTCTTTCTAAACTTCTCTAAGTTACTTGCGATTATTACATTAAATTTACGAATCGATAAAGATTCCCGAACGTAAACAAATTGAAAATCGATTTTAACTGGAATTATTTTATATAAAAAACCTCTATAAATCTTTATTATTTAGTAGTAACATAAGGCACTTTTTGTTACATGCACAGCTGCTAGCAATTTGCATTTTATTGGTTTTCAATATTGAATTCTCGCGAAGCAAACGAGTCTGTTTTGCTCGCCGTGGCCGACGACACGCTCTCCTGACATCTAGTCTACCATGATCTGAGCCTAAACCTAAACCCGTTCTGTAATATTACTAGTGTTTCCATACGAATTCCTCCGTACAACTCGTTTCTTATGCGATTTAATTATTTCAGTGAAACCTTCAACGTATGTACTAACTATAAAATGTGAGGGCATAGTTATAGTACATTAATGATAATGACAGACAGTTTGTTCATTGATAAATACTTTCAGCTATTACACGACTATAACATTTTCATTGCTATTATGTTGGAATTCGCACATATAAAAAAATAATTATTGTCGGTTAGCCCGCCAAAACCTGACCTCGACAATAAACTGGCTCAAACCGCCTGCGGATTTTCGACTTAACCACAATCGAAAATCCGCAGACGGTCAGAATCCGCGCTTGTCGAAAGCGGTGGAGGCGCTTTCGTACCGGTTTTTTATTAGTAGAGATTTGGTAACATATTTTGTTTTCATTTTCAAATTGCACATTATGTTACATTTTATTGGCACTCCTGTTTTGTACTCTAAGTTCGTACCAGTTGCGAGCGGGCGACCCAGAGCCGCAATTAGGGCCGGGCTTGGTTCGTCGGCGGCGGTGGCGGCGGTGGCGGCGGTGAGCTCAAGGCCGCGACCGAACGGTACGCGTACCGTATGCTCCGGGTACCGGTACCGATATGCGCAAAGTCACGACTCCGCTCGCCAGGTACCGCTGTGCCCGATTGTGCATCGATCAATGGAGGCGATAGAGGCAGAGTCGTGTGGGAATAAAAAAAAAAACCCGTTCATTCAATTTTTGTATGGCTGTTTATATAATAATTTGCGGCATTCTCCTTAGCAAAATTACATTTCCATATAGTTAAAACCTTAATAAGTGTGATTTCACGGTAATTATTTAATGTACAATAGGAAGTTACAAGTAAATTAACATTTATAAAGCTAGTACACGGTTACTTTTTTCATTGTCGAACGACGCTAATCTATCATAAAATCATAATTGGTAGTTTAAAATATTATAAATTAAATCTCTCACATTGCCTTGTAACTAATTGTTACGTTTACCACATAATGTTTACACGGCGGCGTAACGGAAATCTCATAAACAATTACATCCTGCATTACCTTTTGAGATCACTCTACAGAGTGCTGCCAATGAGAACAATAGCCGGATAAAAACGACGCTATTGCGTTTTTGCCCTCAATTGTAATTACATATAAGAGGGAGTGCCGGTGGTCTGGGAGTTGCGATTCTGTGGACTCCAGGGAGGCTTAGTCGAAGTGGCCGGCCTGGTGCATCAATCGCTGTGCACAAGGTTCAAGGCCGCGTATCGGGCGGTGAGCGCGGGGATCGATCGCGTCAGGCGCGCGCCGCTAAGTAGATTTTCGCGCGACTGACGCCCCCCCCCCCCCCCCCCCCCGCCTCCTCAGGCCCCTTGCACTGCAATACTACGACGGGCGCTCAATTCGAGCCCGACAGAGGTCTCGAAAACGACGACGGTTGTACTATCAATCGCTATTTGGTGTATTAGGTTATTACAATTGTCCTAAATAAAGCGAAAAAATATATTTTAATAATTAAAAAAAAAATGGACACCGATGCAACCTAGAGCAGCGTGCTCGCGTGCATGTCAACAATTTCGTTAGGGCGAGTGAAACTTTCGGTGACAACTTTCGCTTGCAACGAGCAAGCGAGCGAGCATTCGGCGAGTATAAACACGCTCACGTAACCGGAGCGTTTCGATTCGTTCAGTCGTGCGTTTGTATGCGAGCACTTTTCGAGTGAAAAGATACAGCCAAACGCATCTCGCACGACGAGTACACACACACTCGTAAAGCGCGCACGGAGCCCCGCAGTCGGACGTGTCGGCAATAAACGTGCCGTTTAACGAGCGACTAATGGATTGTCGGGATTTATTATGAACCGTAAAGCGACAATGTCGGCCTGTGACGTAGCAGCTCGCTCTTGGACTACCCAAGCGACGGCTTTCGCTGCAAATGATACTATAGTACGTAAGAGCTTCTACGCTTTCGACGCTGATCGGGCAGCGTGTCCGATTGGTGAGGACACAAATGACACAGCGACAAGGAAAACTATTACGCGGGGCATTATCGTAAATAAGACGCGGGACCTTGGCGGGACGGTCGTAACCGCTGCGAAGTTCGCTTTGTGCATGCAAAACACGCCTGTGCCGTGTATATGCCAACAAGTCCATGATACTTGGAGACCGAATATATTCTTAGGCCAGGAGCATATTAAATGCAAATACATCCATTTTGTGTAGGAGCAAGTATTAGATTGGTAGGTGGTTTTATTTCTTTGCGAAAACTAAAAATATTAATCAAATTTTTATTTTATTTATAACAAGGTATTTGCTGACTACAACTTCGTACTAACAAAGATGCAGTATCTGATTCATGAAATAAACTAAAAATATATGATATAGATGAAATATTTTTAAATATACTCGCATATTAATATTGACTGCATAGGAAAATTACTTATAGGCTCAATTCGTCATTGGCTCTTGATCTATCTATAAGATAGGTTTGAGTCTATCACTGGTAGACTGCGAATAATTGCATCGTTATAAATGGGTCAGAATGCTCGTTAGGACACACTTTAATGCCAACTTTAATTTATTCATAGAGCGATTATAAAGATCGTTTAATATTGTAATTAAATATTTTAGGAATTTCATAACGTTGCACCGCAATAACTAATAATTGCTACTTATGCCCCACATAGTTCTACTCATTTTATTTGACAAAATTCCGAATTTCTTTATTAACTTTTATAAAACTAGGTACTTACGTCCGGTGTTTGAAACACAGTTCATCGTAGAGATTAACTAATTACTTGTGAAATGGCTTGGTCAAAATTGGTCTTTGAATTGATCATTCTGATTATTAAGAACAACTCAAATGATATTTGACAATCCATTTGACAGTTGATTACTTAGTTAATTTCTACGATGATCAGTGTTTCAGAAACCGGGCGTTAGTGTAGTAGAAGTACGCAGGAGCTTCTGTTTCTGTATGGCCAAAACAATTGAAACGAGAAATAGCCCTCGTATAAGAGAAGAATAAATTTGCTAATTATTTTGCGTCACACCGATGAGTGAGGAAAATGGACTTAAAAGTTGCCAACATAACTTGCAAAACTTGTTGCTGCAGGTGCCGCCGATTGGCAATAGTGATCCCTAACTATCAAAAGAACCGCTCGTTTGCCATTAATTAAAAACAATAAATAAATTATTATCACATCTTTTTTGTCCTAGTTGGATAATGTTTTCTCATTCGTAAAGATAGTGAATAAAGGCCCATTTACACGATGCAATTTTCTTGTACATACAAGAGCAATAATTGAATGCAATAAATTGCGCGCAATAATTGTTTAGACCATTTGTTGTTTAGACCATGCAACTCATTTATTGCTTCAATTTAATTGTATACAACAGGCAAGAAACTGGCACCATGTAAATGGGCCTTAACGCTTTATCGGAGACTCGTTCTATTTCAGTTTTTTTAAGATTAATTTTAAATATAGGCGGTAGCCTCTGCACTAAAGATGAAATTTTGTTTATATTCAAATGGCTTTGCAAGCAACACGGCTCCAAACAAGGCCAATATTATACATCAGTCGCTAAACTTAAAAATAGTGTAGTAAAATTAAATATATCCGCTTTTACTAAAACTACATAATAAGCTCTATCATTTAAGCGAAACATAAAATGCTCAATATATTTTTATCATCGATAAAAAACTCAACGAACATTAATTGAACACCATCGTATAACTAAGAATATAGTAATGGAAATTATTTAAAAATAGTAGTAATAAGTATTATATTGGCAACACAACCTGCCAATGGGTTTTATAATGAAATTAAAAAAAAAAAAAATTCTAAAATGGCCTTCTTATGGGTCCGTTCTTTGTAAGGCCAATATGTTCCTAAGAACGCCAAACTAACAATTAAAAACTAATAATTATATCCTTTTTTCAGCCAAAACTACATTTTGTTTGTGGACCGTAATGTGACACCCTTTTTAATCCATGTTATACAAGCGTTCTGGATGTGCAATAATGTCTAGCTTTTTATAGTTTCTTGACTTCTTCAAAATGGTGTTTCACAATGGGCTTATTCATTTTTTGGAGCTCTAGCTGGATTCATTCAGCTGGGGTTTTCTTTTTGATATTAATGGGTTTCGAGACAAAAACATTTTGAGCCATTTGCGTCCATCCATTCTAGTTGACATATTAAACGAGTGCTTGATTTTAAACCTCTCACAAAATAAAAAGGCTTGTTTCCTGATAAATTTAGGCGTAAGGGGTACACCCAGCTTTGCAAAACGTTTGATTCGCTGCGATAAATCTTCCTCTAATTGTTTTGTGAGAATAGTCGTCTTTCCTATAATTTTAGTACTGTTGCCGCTTAATAAATGGTTTCTAAGGGTGCATCTTGGAATATTGAACTTTAACGCTGCAGCATTTGTATTAAGTTGATTATTTTGTACTGCCTCCATGGCACGTCTTAAACTGTTTTCATCCCATGTACTACCTCTTTTTCTAGGTTAGAAATCCGACATTTTTGATATCTGAAATATTCGCATAAAATTGAATGATCTGTTTAATTACCGACTAATTGTAATAATGTTTTTTTTTTGCTAAAAGTATAGTTATAGACAGACTATCTCATGATTATCTTATGTATAACTTATCACAGACTTACTTTACCGTTTTTTACATGTAAATATTTTCATATTCGTTACTTTTCATGTAAATTAGTTTAGTAATATAAAACATTGTTTTAACTGTAACGGTACCGTATTTATAACTAAAAAGTAAGTGTTCATATGTTCATGGTTTGTAAATATTACCGTCCCATGTATCATAGCAAGGCCAACCATCAAATTTTTGATTGGCCTTATAGAACCGCCGGCTTTCCTAGGAACACCACCAATATTTTAACTTAAATTGAGGCAAAACTATGTTTTTTTTTTTATTTTAGTACCATAAGTATTCATTTTACTTTCAATTCACAATAAAAGGAATATGAGATAATAATAGGTTATTGGCAAAAAATTACGTTTTGCTGTGCGCGTGAATAACAATTGTAACGACGATGATCGAAGTCTACTAAGGGCGAGATCGCACTGCCAAAATAGCGGCGCGATCGAATCGCCGCCGTGTTCGGGGCCTTAAGTTTGATAGATCTTAGTGTGAACTAGAAGGAATACGTCTTTACGTGTCAATAACTACGACTGTTTAATAGTTGGCCTTCAAAGGAGCGTGGCCTTCCATGGTCCACCCACCTTATATAAAATTATTTTTTATAGATTTTTCGCGTCGACAAGTTATCAACCGATTAGCTTAGTTCTAGGACGCAGGTTCGAATCTCGCAGCGTCAAAAGTCGATGTCCATTTATCTACAAACAATCACATGTCAAGTAATAATTATTACACGGCGTAATTAGAGGTAGCGATAGAGCGTGGTGAAGGCGCGCGTCGTCGGCAACGCCCCAACGCGAGGTTAACCGCTGCGGCCGCCCGCTCTCTGCCTCTCCGAGCCTCCCTAGGGGTGTCGAAAGTGAAGAAATATGTGAAGTAATATCGGCCTTGAAATATTGAAGAGAAAATATTGATATATCGATTACACTTCGTTGTCCAAAAAAAAAGTATGTCAAGTATTAAATATTTGACACCTAGGGATTAGGCGCCGCATTCAAATTAGCAAAAATATCGGTTTTTGATACAATTTCGATATAGAATATTTTGTGTCGATATATCGGATTCAAATATATCGCCTAAAATTATCGATATATGGATTATTTTTTCGGCATCCCTACCTCCCCACCCCCACGATATTGAACAACCCACGTAATATGCACGGGGCCCTTTTTCGATGCGTGCGACCTCTTTGCAGTGTTTCCTCGACGAGTGCTCCTAACCGAGTTAGCCAATGACAAATTGGGTTAACTCATGGGTTTCACTTACTGGTACCAACTCATACTTCAACGTAATGCCAAACTTAGGTTAGACATATCTGTTATCCAAATCACCTCTTCACAAAGATAATATCGATGATATTCAACATAATGCAGACAAATAAAATTAATGATATTGTGTAGTTAAGCGATATAAAATTTGATTGCATAATCGTGCAGCGCAAATAAAACGACTGCATATTTTATGACTCCTTCATTGTTTTAGCCAAGAAACTAAATGTTTAAATACAGAAATGCTGATATAATGGCTGTAGTATACCTTGAATTTTTTATCGCTAATTTAAAATTTTAGTTGATTCTTTAATCAATGTTTCGTACACTTTCCCATAAATTGACATCGAGTAGACTGACTCTCATGCATGCGCAGACAATTCAATATTACTTCCATTTGTGTAACACCGGCTACACAAATTCGTTATCTACGAGAGTGGGCCAAAAAGGTTCACGGGATCAGTCCCTATACACTGCCATCTGACTGACATCTCTTCCAAAATAGTCTAAGGAGGATTTTTTTGCTTGGTAAAAAACTTTATTACTGCAAAACCGAATTTACTCCATATTGTAAATTTTCTTACAGATTGACTTCGACCTGATTGTGATGAAACCTTGTTTATACCCTTAATGAGTGTCACAACTAGAGTCGGTGAATAGTGCAAAAAAAATTGTTATCCTACCCTTCCATTCCGCGAAACTTTTCGACCCATCCTCGAGTTTAATGCTTTTACATTTGTGCTCGAATTTCGAGGACAGGCTTGGCGATCCATTCATGGTAAATCTCGTTACATTACGACAACACCACGATTGTGTTGTCAGCAGCAGCCGACGACTGTGGCAATAGTCGTGCGAGTTTGCGTTGTATCGCATATCATACATTCTAGTGAAATAGAAGCACGCTCGAGAGAATCTAAGCATAAAGCCCAACTATGTATGTTAAATGTGCGTTAAGTTAACCAGCCGTACGGAGCGGCAGGAACTAGCGGTCTCACGGACGCCTTCTGTTTGTGTCGAAACCGGTATAGAATGCATAAACCGGCCGCCACGCCATAGGCACACGTAAACCAGATCTATTACATTGTTTCTGTGTTACGCTCATAACTGAAACATCGCGCGGGACATATACAAATAACGCAACCGTTTGAATGCATGATATGAAAGTTACATAAATATTAGGTAAGCAAACGAAGCTACGGCTCTTATTCCAGATTTCATGAATATTCTCTTTCATTGCATTATTTACACGACATTCAGAACACTCATGTATAATCACAGCGGGGTTAGCTTCCAAATAATATTTGTTAACATAATATCGATTTTATGCAGCATTTGCATCGACTCGTCTGCGGGGATGAACATATGTTCCGGATGTCGTCGGGGCGGAACGCGAGTAAGTGGCGGCGCAAGAGGAAGGTAGTAAGTGCTCAGTCCCCGATAACGCCGTTCGAGATCGTATCGAGCGCGTGGAAATCTGTAAATTCGCGCGCGCCCTCCGACCGCTCGCGGCGCCCGTCCCGCTCGGGCCCACTAGCGGCGTCCCGCTCGCGCACGCCCACGTGCACATGACGTCACGCACGTCGCCCCGCCGACGTCACCGCCCGCCCGCGAGCGGGAACAGGCGCGCCTCACCCCAGACGACCCGCGCTCGCAAGCGTATTCACCATTACATCTTATTACACAATAAACGCAGCACCCGATACCTTAGAGATTGCAAAAATATTACTCTGTTAACGCGTATCGTTTTAATAAAGGATCAGATAAATTACGAAATAAAAAGGTTCTGAGCTCTGCGGGTTCGATTTAAATGCTAATATTTATTGTCTACCGAGTGTCTGTTTTTGTTTTTTTTGATTCGGATATTTGTTTTACCAACTTTAATAAAGGTCCTCAAAATTTTTGGTCGTCGAAACATCGAAAAGTCGATAACACCGAACCGTTTACTGTCCAGTATTTACGTGAACGGGTCAAATGTTGTCACTTGACCAGTTTCTTTTTAGGTCATTCGAATATCAAACGTTTTTACGAGCAAAGGCAATTAAGTTTCTTAATAAACGGAATCCACAAACGAAACAAAGTAAGGACTTTCGTTTTCGCAAACGGCATCAGTTACTCCGAGGTCAGAGGTGGTTAAAGAAAAGGAGGTTCTGTAATTCGGTGGTGCAGTTTACGTCGCTCCCTCCCGCCTCCGGCAGCACGGACAGGCGGGTGGGGGGATGGTAGAGCGCCCGCGGGGAGGAGGGGGGGGGGGGGGGTCCGAGCATCTGCGCGGAGGAGCCATGCAGCTGCCCCTCGCCCCCCAAACACCGAACGGCCGCATTGTTTCTCGTGCGCGGCTTTATCATTACGCTAGGGACGAGAAGATGCTCGTGATATATGCATGCACCCCATCATTTGAGATATAGACTCCTTCATCGTAATGATAGATATTTACAAGAATTATGAGCGCTTTTACAAAACCCTAAAGCAAGATGCATAATTCGGGGCGACTATAACTGAGGCGGTACGTCACGCTTTCGTAGCGCGCAGCTCGCAACGGTGTTCGAATGCTATCGACACAAGAGACTCCGCGAACGCCATTAGAGCTCCTACGGAATGTAAACGGGCGTGAGATGAGAAGACGCTAAGCTAACGGTAAGGCGGCGGTGGGGCCGCGGGCCGTGACGTAGCCGCGAGGCCCCATCAGCACTTTCGTTGGACGGAGCGGTGCGTCCGTCCGTGTACGAATGTGCCCCGTGTGAACGGTCGCTACTCGATTTTTTTATTTCTAATTGACCCACTTCGCGCTTGCTGTATCGGCTGTTGACGGCTCGTTTAGCTTTGAAGCTAGAGAGCACAGTATTCTAATGCGAGTCCAATATTTATATTAACGAACGAATAATTCTTACTTAACTTTAATAGAAAAGGACGGTAGGTAGCATAAGTTATTTGTATTAATAGTGAAACTATTTGTTTTATGTTTCGAGATATCTTTCTTTTTAACCGGCTTCAAAAACGAAGGAGGTTTCTCAATTCGAGCGTATATATATTTTTATGTGTGTTCGCGGATAACTTCGTCGTTTCTGAACCGATTTTGATGTTTATTTTTTTGTTGAAAAGGAGATATCCCAAGGGTGGTACCATGATAAGGAGACCCGGATCTGATGATGTTTGATGGTCAATGATTGATCAACAATGTTTTTTAGTTTCCGGTTTGAAGTTGGTTTTTTTTTTGTTGAAAATTATATGTTATTTATAGTTAATAATTTTGTGGTAAAGAAAAAAAAATTAAGTTATCTTGCACACGTATGGAATATAGGTGTTCTCAACTCTTACAATTAGGACAAAGACGAGTGAAGCACAATGTAATTTTTGAAAACTCCCAAAGCAAGTTTTCGTTTCATTTGCATACCAAAAACCTCTCATTGCAGTTCGGAGCTCGCCCTGGGTAGGGTTTGAGGAACTTAAGTAGCAGCTTAAACTATTATTTGGCAACATCGGGTCCGTACCGGAACTCGGCGGTTGTCGCGACATCTTTACATAGGCACAGTAAAAAACAAAGTCGCGCCCCATGTTTGTACGCTTAGATATTTTAAACTACGCAACGGATTTTAATGCGGTTTATAGAAATAGATAGGGTGATTCAAGCGGAACGTCTATATTTAGGGTGCGTGCATATTATAGTAGAGAAAAGCCGAGACATACAATATCTAAATTGCACCCGTGCTTATTCGGGGCGGGTCGCTAGTTATAAAACGCAGTCACGCCCCGTTGCTGAAACATTGATCATCGTAGAAGTTAACGATTAGTTAGTTACCTGTCAAATAGCTTTTCATTCATTTCAGTTGCCAAAAGGATGGTTAAACTCTTTGAATAGATCATTCTGATTTTTAAGAAGTTCAATTCAGAGACTTTAACTACCAAATCAATTTGACAACTGATTAGTTAACTGCTACGACGTTCAGTGTTTCACAAACCGGGCGTGAGTCTTGCACGTTCAACAGCCTCGCGGGAGGACGGCGGCTCCGCCGACTTTTACATACGCGCCGCGACCGCCCCGTAGGTGAGAATTCGGTCGACTACGAACGGAAGCTCGAGCTACATTCGTTTGAAATCTGTTTTAATATTGTGGGGTGGAGATATATCAAATAAATATATACAAAGATTCGCATTACTAACGCTACGACTATAATATGTTACGCTTCTTACCATAGATGGTAAATGATCCGTTGATCAGTACTACGAGCAAACGCGGCACAAACGAGAAGAGTACGCGATATTCCGGTATTTTTTTAAGGCAAATAAATACGTACCGATTCTGTTAAACGATTAACAACAACTGATTTCCCCACAATAGTCGTGCGTAGCCGTTATTTTTGTGAGAAGTGCAGGGCGGTGAACTGCTAAACATTAAGACTGCAATGCTTTTGGTAACATCAACGTTCTACTCTTTACCCATAAAGTCCTACAATTCATCGCTTTAGCGTGCATACTTTCAAACTATACACGCATTTGTCCTCGTCGTAACACCGACGTGTACCAGAGCGTTCCGCGCGCCGACTGCTGTTACACCGTTACGAACCGTGGACGGCGCGCTCGCGCAGCCCGACTCCTTTCCCACGGCCCCGTCGCGGTTCCGTTTCGATCCCGAGCGCGCTTTACACGGACGGCTCACAACGCTAATGTTGCGGCCACCCCGCTCCAGGACGCTCGATGTACCGCGCTACGGTGACGTAGCATAATAACGATTTCCGAGGTCGCGTCGAAAACGGGGCGCCGCTACCGCTGCATCATTAACCGTAGCCTAAAGAGGCATTACGTTTGCTCGAGTGCTTACGATTGCACCGTTTCGGAAGCGGGCTCGCATCCTACTGCTCGCTTGCAAGCTCTAGTTTGCTCGGATTGAATACTCTCGTTTAGCATATCTACGATCGGTGTCGAAATTATTCCTGTCGTGAACGTATAAACTTTTCTTATGGAACTGCTATTGTTTGTGTTAAATAATTAGTTATATTGCTTTAGCGTAACAAAATAAAAATAACTAAAAGCAATTATCTGGTGTGTCGATTTGATTTTTTTATGTGAAAAAGTGGCAAACGATCTGGCGGTGCACCTGACGTTAAGTAATAACCGCTGCCCATGGACATTTGCAACACCCGTAGGGTTGCAAATGCGTTTAAAAAAAAACTTGTACTTTAGGCCTTCTGTCTAGGTCGCGGTACTTTCCGTTGCGTCGAAAAGTTGTTAGTGGTTACCGTGGTAACACCATGAACTCGGTGTCTCTTTTAGATGTCGCGCGTCGTAAAAACTCACTCTCATTATTTTCGCCAAACGCACCAAAACAAGTATAACTACAATCACATTACGCGAGGTCGCAGAAGTGGTGGTGCGCGGTAAACTAGCATCGATGTAGTGCAGTCAACTTGCACACCATTTAACTAGTAGTACCAGCATAGCTCAAGTAGCGGTCGACGAAAAAGCCCGTAATTGTCGATAAGTGCTCGTCTAGTGTGTCTTCAGCCGGCAGTGAGCGCGGGCGCAGTGAGCCGCCGACCCACGCCTCGACCTACCCACCCGATTAGTCGGCCGACGGGCCGTTTCCACGCTCGCGAATTTATTTGGCGGGTCGTGACGGTGTTATATTGAGCCGTTCTACGAAACACTCGCCGGAGGTGGTTCTTTACGTTGGCCGTAATAAATTGCGAGTCCAAGTGTTATCTGAACATCAATGTGTTTATAATAAGAAGTGACTTGGTTAGAATCGAGTAAGTCTTATAAATCAAATAAAATACATCAATTTTTCTCCTGGTTTGAATATGGATTGAATATGTATTTTGTTCAATTAAATCAAATTAAACATATAATATATAATGTTCATTCGATGAAAAGGATTTAAAAAAAAAAAATTTAAAGTCATTAAAATCTGATTTTTTTTTAGAATGAAAAGACACCGGTTTTGAGCGATAACTTATAATTATATAGTTTACAATAACAGGAAACTGCCATCAAATTTACCTCGATTTTGCTCGAGATAGAGCCAATTTTTTTGTTCCGCGAAGTTTGGTCAACCAATCCGCAGTTATAAGGGAACAGATGTTCCTACTCAGCCCATAGGTAAATCAATGATAGACGCGAACCAGTAACGTCTGATTTCTCTGGTTAAGAATCAAAGAGCGAGTCTACTCGGCCCTTTGGCGAATCCTCTACAAAGCAGTAACATGTGTCGCAACCGTAGCCAGGGGGGTGAAAGTTGCCGTGAGCTATTTATTCTACACCGGGTGCTAGGGCCACGGCGGATTCGTCCACCACCTCCCATGGCCCCACCAACCTCGCGGTTATATGGGCCGAATCACGGGAGGATGCTCGCGGTCCGGCCGCGAGGCTTCGCGCGCACCGTCTTGACTCCCTACAAGTTCTTTATTCTCTGTCCTTGTCCCTTAGTGTCACTCTCCCCCCATGGGGGCTTGGCGATACATGGCGGATGGGGCCATTGGGCGGGCGGCACTTTACACGTGCACACAACGCGTTGCGGCCGCGCCTTTTATCGCGCCACGTCGTAAACAGATCGTCGCCGGCGAGATAATTTTCGGTCGTGATAGCGCCCGTCAAAACACCGACCGGACCGCGTTACGTGTAAGCCGGTAAGTATAGATCAAATAATTGCTTAGAGTATAGCGGAGTGGAGTCAGGGCGTTAAATGAATCCCGGAAAAATAAACTTTATCTAAAACACTGTTATATTATTTAATGATAACGTCACAAATTACCATTTCTGACTTTAGTCATTAATATCACCCCTCAAACGTTTAAGGGTACATTACGGTTGTATTGTATATAATCTTAAGGAGACAAACAATTTGCTATTTTTGACATTTTCGCACAATCTACATGATCCTGTGACATTTATTAGTTCCATTAGAGTACCTAAATATTATCACACAATATTTAAACTTTCATAATTCCACCGTCTTTTACAAGTAATATTATTATTTAATAGTACTACAACCTTGTAATAAAACGAAAGGACACTATACACGCGGAACTTGGCATCAGAAACGCGGAAGCGGTACGACTGCAAGAGTGTAGTGCAGCGATACGCTTGTGGAACGGCGGGGGATCAGAACTGAGCTGAGCAGGGCAGGGCAGGGTGATCCACGGGCGAAGTGGCTGCGGGTCGACTGCGCCCGCCGCCGCATTTGGCGCCCCCGGCCCATCTTGCCCGTTCTCACTGCGCCCATGCCTACCCCACTAATTGCAGTGCCCCGCCGCTACGCTATTATCGAATTCCTCCTCTTAGCGGCCGAACCATCCGTTCGCAAGCGCTCAACTAGTTTGTCGAATAAAGTTTTTCACCGCCCCGATTACACGGCGACTCCAATTTGGATTCGTCGTTAGACGTGCAGTCGTAAATGTTAAACAAGCTGTTAGCCATCAAATGTCTCTGAGGTGAAAACATATGTTGTGTTAGCTGTTTAAACGCTTGAGACATCTCGTTGGTATTCATATAAAAGCGTTACGAGTCGACGCAAACGGTTGAAACGAGAACGATATGCAATAGCGTCGTGTCAACACAAACCAGAACGTTTAGCGAGAGGTCATTGGCGCATCGTTGGGCGCATCGCCATCGCATCGCGCCGCAAATCGGCGCCGATTTTAAGCTCTCTTGGAATGAGGGAATACTGAGAAGTTGGAATGGTCAATTTGCGAAGACGTTTCCGATGATGCGCGGCTATTTTGTTTTTTTTCGCAATTCGATAGCGGCGGAGATGCGGGCCGCGCCCCGTCTGCCCTTGGGCGGTGGCTCGCGTGGTACGCCGTTGCTGGGACATGTGCGGCGTGGATCAGGTGTCGTACTGACCGCGGCGAAACCAGTCGGCGGCCGGCCCCCTCGCCCGTCGAGAGAGTTAGAAGCCGATACAATTCGACACGGGTTATGTCGTTTAGAACGGACTAGATGTTCTTAGTTGTTTAGTTGGATAGTGCTGGCCATTAAAATTAAAAGTTGACAATGTGTACGAAACGAAAAAATAAAATAAAAGAAACTGGTTCGTGACCGGACCGACACCATTAAATCATGTCCAAGGATTACCCTAGACATTTTAATATAGTTTTAGAAGATTTTGATAAAACGCGGTGGTTTTTATGTCATAAATTGAAACATCACTCGAACACAAAGTTGTCTAATCCTACGTGCAGCGACGTTGACGGTAATCAGCATAATGAGGAGTGCAGTTGCCGCATTGTCGCCTCGTCTCTTAGATCTAGCGAAGCGGACCGGTAATTAGAAAACCACTGCAATCCAACACCCGTCTAGACGTATTCCGGTTCACTTAACTACAAGAGTTGGGAGAGATGCAGAAGCTTTCAGAGCGATTGTCTCCCACGTCTTCGGCAGTTTCACAGGGCTCGTGTAAAATACAAAAAACCGGCCAAGATGGGTTCTGTACCCCACTTTTTAGTATTTGTTGTTATAGCGGCAACAGAAATACATCATCTGTGATAATTTCAACTGTCTATCACAGTTCATGAGATACAGCCGAGTGACAGACGGACAGACAGACAGCAGAGCCTTAATTATAGGGTCCCGTTTCACCCATTGGGTACGGAACCCTAAAACGAGTCGATAATTTGCTCTATCTATTAACACCACAGAATTCTCGTTTAGTATTATAGTACAACTTTGAATCACCGCACTGAATGAAACTTGTGCATTTTGGCAACGGTTCAAAGATGGCGTTGGCGCAAGACATATGATGTGTCAGTCCGGTTTGTTTCTTTAAAACGAATGCGGACGCTTTGTACTTGTAAGTTTGCATATAATTTCTGTGATGTGACGAGGCGTGTTGCTTAGCTTCGTTAGAATATTCGACCATCTCGATTAGAAGGAGAATTTTACATTTCGCTTTATAAGTTCAAGTTACAATGACGGTTTGATTTCGCAGTTAGGCGACGCGATCTGAAGAGCATTGGAATTGCAGGGGGAGTGACGCGAGGTTCGTGTCCCTTTTTTAGTTTTCGAGTGATTGGCACCCCATGCTTCTGAAGTGCCGTTTACTGGCTTGAAAGACGTACGCGTAATAAAAAAAAGCGACAGACGCTTTCGGCAATGACATTTGCTTCGGTAGGTTTCGTTTATTTTAACTTGATGTTACATTTTCCCATCAGTAAGTAGGCTTCTGAAATCTATATTCTTGGCTGGATGGATGTTGTTTATACAAAATTACTCTTTAAGGGATTAGTAGCAGTGATTTGCAAACTGTAACTTTATTAGATAGATGTCTTCACTTTTGAATATTAGGAGCTACTCGTATGTGAGTATTCAATGGTCACAAGGGGCTGCGAAAACGGCCGCTACTTGTGACCAGTACACCGCCTATAAACCAGTCGCGAACCACACTTACATACACACTCGTAGTGTATATTTTGTTCATATGTTTCTTCTATCAACTCTACCATTGACGAGATTAGATTCGACCAGAATCGAATAGACCCGCCCTTTTTTAAGAGCACAGTGTCCGGCCGCTCGCTTTTAATCCAACACACTCGAGCAACCCGAAGTCGAATCCCGGTGGCGGCCAATAAAATTATCAACTTCAAGTGCCGACTTATAAAGTTTTCAGCGGTGAACGAAAACATCGCGGGGAAGCCTTGCATGTTTTCGTAAAATACATTTCGAAGATATGTCGCGTCCAATACGCAGCGATGTCGCGTGGTGGGCTATGCCCGCATACCGTCTATATAGAGGCCCTTGTCTTCGACACGTATGGGCTGTTAATGTACTACACTTCGATTCTTAAGGAGTACCCAATTCGGACGGGCGGCGGCGTCTTCCTCGCGCTATCGATCAGAGGCCGTGCGGCGTGGCCCGTGCCACTTACCGACGTCTTCGCACCCAATTTATCGCGCGCCCGAGGAGTCGACGCGATATGCTCGACCCCCCCCGCGCACCCCACCGTAGCGTCATATTGCGATGCTCGTCTGCGGCGGAAAATGAAACACCGCCTATCGGTACGCGATCTAGACGCCCACGACACGCTTTTTCGTTTAAAAGAAAAGGTATGGTGTTAAGGGTGCTGCTCCCCATTTAAATGGGTCAGCTACGTAATTGTTTCGATTTCGGTCGAAAGTTTAATCTAATCTCGCCCATTAATGAAGCTAACTTTTTTAACGCAGCTCAGTATGATTTTCAAAAGGCTGCAATAAGATTAATTAGAATAATTTCGAATTAATTTATGAAACGTTCAATGATTTCTGAACATAATTATGATAATGTAATGTAAACCTAACCCGCAGTAACCTTAAGTAACCTTTCCAAGCCGAGCACGACCTTTCTACCAATTTAATATTTTTTTCTTTTTTTTCGATTTTAGTACATAAATGAATACAAAAAATAGACTTTTACTTAATTTTTATAACAAAAACTAAACCAGAAACTAATTTTAAGTAAAGCGCAAGACGACCATTATTTGAACGCGGTTATTATGCGATAGGAGAAGGCGACACTGACAAATATCGCTTTGGCGCATGCTATACGTACTCTAGTAGAGAGTATTATCTTAGGGAGCGCCTTTAACAATTACGTAACTTATTTATATGCCCCAGAAAGTTTTAAATATGCACCTTTAATTAAAACAGTAATTATTATATATCTTGTGTCTAAATAGTACCTGCTTAAATTCATTACAATGGCTTATCTATCTATCCTACCTGCATCAAATAAAGTAAAACAGACAATTGCGTCCATCGTTTATAAATAGTTCTTCACCACGCAGAGACCGCATCGTTACGCAATATGAGGGTGGACAATTGGCGAGCGTTTGGTACCGGAATATTGTTGGTGCAGTGTGACCCTAACGCTTATGGCGGGCTTCGTGTTATATGTGTCCTTGAGGGGCATTCGACACGTGGCAGCGGGCAGCACGGGGGCCCGGCCCCGGCCCTCCCCCGGGAGCCGATCGATGCGACCCGCGCCCGCGCCCGCCTCCGCCTCCGCCGCCGCCTCCGCGCCGCACTCAACGCGCACCGCCCCACGACTATTTGCATATTCCTAACAAGAAACCGAAAGATTGATCTAAGCTTTTCGCAATACACGATCGTGTGTGTATTATTCGTTTGTGTTTTCGCATTAGCATTAGCACTGACATTACTCGAGCGTCTTAATTAAGAAATACAAAAACAGAAACCTTTCTGAGAATTAAAAGTTCTTATGAAGAGTTTTTCCTTATACTCCCGAAAACAGTTTTCTTGCGGATAAAAAAAAATAGGAAACGTTAGAAAGTAATAGACAGTCCTTTTAACAGTCTCGTACTCAATTCTAAATCAACAAATACGTAAACATAAAACTGATATATGTTCGTTTTGTTCCGTTTCTAAAGTGGCCCGGGTCGAAGAGGCGAGCACGTACCTATGCGGGACGGGACAAATCGACGCGTGCGCCGGCTAGCAGGCCTCCGATGAGTTTGCGCCGCGCACTACATCGGCCCGTTAATAAAGCCGGGTTCAGTAAACCGTCGCGCGCTCCACAACATACAGGGCCATTCTGTCGCCGCGAAGCATTGTTATTCAAAGGCCCGAGTCAGACGGCGACATACCTAGCCTAGCTGGGCTACGTATCGCTATTGGGCAATGCACTAATGAATTCTGGATATGAAAACGATTACGCCTCGCCTGCCCAACCTACCACAATAAATTTTCAGTTCACGAGCAATGTGTTGATTAGTATAAACACCGTAAGGTTGGTTACTCTTAATATTCATCTACTACCTATAGTTGTGTGTATTAACAGGAGTCGCAAACTATATTGAAACTTTATTCGTACGATAAGATATTTGTTTTTATAGTAGATTAGAAAGGCTTGAGCATTCTAAATCTATGAGGTTAGCACAAAATGCGGCAACGCGGGCTCAAAAATCGATAGTGATAGACCAATAGGGGCTGGGTGTCTGAAGCGTATACAAGACGCTTTCTTTTTACAGAATAATAATTGGTAGTTCTTTAAAAATCAAAACATAAATGTGTACATGATGTTTATTATCGTAAATTAATCATTCATAGCTTTCTGAATATGAAAGTCTCGCGCAAATAAAACATTTATATATTGTAATCTAATTAAACGACGACCTTGTACACTCAACATTAAATTGTCCCAGCGTGCATAAACCCATGGCTGTAGATGGGGTTAAACAAGAATCGTTTCGAAACACGAGCGTAACCTTTGCAAATCGTTTATGCGCCGGGGCGGTGGAAGCTACGAGAAGCGGACTCGCGCATAGGGCGGTTGGCGTAGAGGCGTAGGGCGGGGGCGCTACGGAGAGCGGTGGTGCAAATATCGTAGCGCAGCCGGCGCGGCACCACCTCTCCAACTAACGAGATACGCCAATCGTGGCAAATTATGTCGATGACGCCACTGCGCTCTCCTCGTCCGTCGACCGACAACTCACTTTGGAAATGAAACTTCATTTCCGACACGAAAATATTCGGCGCACTCGAAACCGCCGTGCTCCGCGATGAAAGTGATGGCCTCACTGATTTTATTAACAAAATAGAATATCATGAATAACTCGCGGAAGGTCAACATTTGTCTAATCGAGGCTAACGCGCGACTGCACAATAAAGGAAACACAATGAGTGAATTATACATTCCCGTCCATGCTGCGCCGGCTACGTTGTTAAACATTGAATATACTAATTGATATGCTGCCACGGTAGCGACTTCGAATCAACTAGCTGTTGAATGGTGGCATTCCTGGTTTCCTTTCCTTAAACGTAACCCATACATTGTTAGTAAAACGTTATCGGATATCTTGCGTTATATAATAATTAAATATATTACACTATAAAGCTAACGACCTAAGAATGATTCCTGCGGAGTATTGAAATTATGTTTAGAAAAAAATGTAAAGAATGGAGTACCCATGTGCGAATAATTTAGAATTTCTTAAAATTGACACATTACACTTAATGCACAATAATGACGCCTGAATACATATATCGTTGAGAGAACCATTCAATCGTTTCATGAGGTGCGTCATCATTTCATTTCAGATGACTCTATTCCCCATATTAATACACCGTGTTAATCATCCAATTTAAAATAACAAGCAATGTAAGTCACCGAGTCCTAGTCACTGCAATCTCGAGCGCTTATGCATTTTGTATAATATATTAGACGAATTATGTAATTCATTTATACAGAATGTACGTAACGCTATCGGCGCTTATCAAAGTTAGTTTCGGTTACATCGCGATTTGCGAGCGGCACTATATCGACGAGCGGATCGAACAGGTAATTGAATCTGCGTAGTGTAACGTTGATATTACGCTGTAATTAGGGGTGCGACAGATCTCGGCACGGCGAGCGGTCCGCCCCACGGGGCGGGATCGGGGGGGGGGGTGTGTGTATTAGGCATTCGCCACCCTCTCCCTCTAGCCGCCGCCGGGTCGCGAGCATCTTGACAATAATCGCTTGCACGTATCCTTCGGCATCGAGTGTCCCTGTGGGCACCACGTAAAGGCGAAACGTTCCTTTTTGTACCTCAAGTGTCCGTATGCCTGTGCATACCCAAATCGGGGACTGCGATAAAAATCCATTCAACGTCGAACTTATGATGCGAATTTCATTTCTTTAATCATGATGACTTTACGTGAAATTTTCCTTACATTTATTACCTACATTTTATTAATATAAACATACATTATGTCACATAAGTTTATTCACACTGGTCCATTAAATTATATGTATAGACAATAATTTGTCTAATAAAGATATTAAATATTGTTAAATATCAACATAAAATGTATGTGTAATACATGGTTACGGTGGTAGGGCCACGCAGCAGCTGTTGCACGAATGGGCAGGCCCGTCCGGGTTAGTACCACGACCTCACAGAACACCGGCGTAAAGTGGAAGTATGACAAATACTTTCGCGTTTCGTCTGGTGAGTGAGGTAGCCGGAGCCCAATTTTCAAAAGGTTGTCAACGCATCTGTAACCCTCGGGTGTGGCAGATGTCCATGGGCGGCGGTATTCATTTAACATCAGGTGAACCGTCTGCTCGTTTGACCACTTTTCGCATAAAAAAAACACTATATAGGTTATGAAACGGTGGTTTTTAAATTCTAGTAATAGAACGATCGAAATGACTCATCAATTTTCCCACAAATAGAATCATTATAAACCACGAACTGTACTTGTAATATTCAGCTATATGTTATTTATGAAACATGTTTATCACTGACTGATACATTGTGCAATGGTTATACATCAATTTTTATGTTATTTATATAAAATTACATTTTCGCATATTCTTTGTATAAAATGTGAAACCAGTTCTTTTGCGCGACTCACAACGCACGGCGCAGTGACAGTGTTATACTCTCGATATGTGGGCATACTCCCGTTTCGCTATATAAAATCGTTCTTCACTACATCCCACTGTCTGTCCCCATATATGCTTAGACCTTTAAAACTACGCAACTGATTTTGAGGCGGTTTTCTTTAATAGATAGTGATTCAAGAGGAAGGTTTATATGTATCAATGCATTAAACTCGTGCGAAGCCGGGGCGGGTCGCTAGTTAATTATAAGAGTAATTGTTATATTAATTGTGTCGTACGAGGACATGCTTAAATTCATTATAATTGCTTAACGCATTTCTTGAGAATATATCTATCTATCCTATCTGCATCAAATAAGGTAAAACAGAAACACTGATAATTATAGAGGTTTCTAATGCGATGTCGAAAACTTTGCACCCGTTTCAATTCATCACTGCACCCGTGCGAAGCCGGGGCGGGTCGCTAGTATACTAAGCTAGACGTAAAATGCATATTATTCTCAATGTTTAAATAACTAGAGATATTAAAATATAAGGATCTCTATTGATTTTTGTTATTGAGTTTGAAAGTTATTAAAGAGTCATATTAGATAGACTTCTCTGATTTTTATCTTGTAAAAATTGTTGTCATTTTTTTTTTGAGTCTATAGTATTTTTAAATGTCACTCCGTTTATTGTCTTGTATTCCACATGTAATATAATACGCGTGTGAGACGTGAATTTACCATCTTTTTCTTATCTTAAAATGTTCCTCTAACGCCATCTAGTGTTTTAATTCTAATCTAAAATGTAAACAATATATTTAGTATTTCAATGATAGTAATAATTCTATTACAATTAATGAAATTCAATAATAATATTTGTAGTAATGACAGTGCTAGCTCTAATACTTCAGAGCACGACACTGTAGAGACTTCCTCTTTCCAAAGGCAGGCACCGCCCACCATGAATGTCTGCCTTCTACTCACTGGCTGACTATTCGGCAACGAAGGACCATGTACAAATTCAAAGCGGTTGTATTTTGGGTCCGTGAGGTTTATTGAAATAAACAAGGTTCACGTTGCAAGTATTTTAATCAACAATTTTTGCGGACCCTCATACTAATTACAACGGTCAAACCATAGTGTGTTTTAATTTACTACTAACGCCACCTATGTATTACAAATAAGAAACTAAATATTATACAAAGCTAAAATGAAATAATTGTAGAATTTGTATTTATGTTTATATTTGTATACTTTTATTAAACTAATATACAACTAATATATAAACTATATATCTAATTTAACTTTATTTAACCAATTTCTGTAAAGTTGCATATAGTAAATTATTTTTAGAAAAATAACGTCATAAAAAGTTTCACTTCTTACGAGTGTACGCCAGTACACGCACACATTTTTTTTTATTTTTATTTATTTCCCCTGTATCAAGGAATATATTGGTGAACTATACAGTCAAATACAATGTGTTCACGAAGCATTAAGAATTCAATAACAATAACAGAATTTATGAATCACAATTGTTCATTCGGCGTCGACCGAACAAGATATAGTACGCGACGCTTTTTGCTCGTGACGTAATGCTACAGTTGTTCCATTGCACGTACAGCGACCGAGGATGATTGTACACATAAAAGCATTGATGTTAAACGCATATATTCTAGAGAATGAATTACTTTCATATTATGTCAAATAATGAATTTTATATCTGACAAGCCTTCGCTGGAAAACAAATATATATTCTGCGTGTTATTAATTTCTTGCCCGAGTGACTCAATGGTTTTGTAATGGGTACTCATAAATGATCGTATTTGTGTCTGTTAGTGGTCGTGTGACTTGTGAACGTCCCTTACGATTGAGGTTATATTCACACAATATTGTCACTGGAAAGACAAAATTACTTAATCGCCAAACGTTTATTTGTTAAGTAATTTTGCCTTTCCAGTGACGATACATATTTATTATTATTACAGGCAATGTGTCTTCACAGTTAAGTGGATGTAGTAAAATTTAACGCAAGCAGTCCTTAGAATCGTTGCATTTTTAAAAGCATTGTCTCTTGGCTCACACAAATCAGTATATGGACAATTGTCGGCCTTTTTAATTGATTTTACAAAACAGCGCCTAGAAAAATTAACAAGAAACTCCCTTAATTTTTATTACATTCTCTTATTAAAAGAAAATACAAATAGACGACGTCCTCTCCGACTGTTATATGGCCTACCACGGTTACGCTATGCGAATAGTTCCCAATTACTTTAGGGAGCGTAAACAGATTAGACCGCGACGCGCCGGCCGGCGGGGTATAGACGGCAATCTTGGGCCAAATAGGCTCACGTACTGTTGAGCCAAATTATGACCGGCGGCGATACGGCTTTAGGGCGGTTGCTGCCCCTGATAGAGCTAATGAGATCGTGAGTAATGGGTTCTAGTGAAGTTTTCGGGACTACAATATAGTGATATTAGTCTTTATGCATAAACATGTATAATAATATATTTTATTTTTTTACATATCGTTATTCCAGCGTGTTTATTTAAGTTCAAGGTGTTTCATTTAACTACTGCACGCTACATGTTTCTTTTTTTAAATACGGTATTGCTTTTAAAGTAATATAGTGATCAACTTTATTAATTTCGACTGAATCTCGCATTAAAGTAATATTGGAAAAGAAATACGGTGCGACACATGTTCCGTATAAACAATTGTATACGTAAAATAGTCAACTAATAACCGGCCGTCGCGTCGTACGCGTCGTTTCGCGCACGACGGGAAATTGTCGACCGTTCGCCTCATTTCCGTCCGCGGTGGTTAAGCGGAGACCTTCGATCGAATGCAGCCCGTCGACGCAACGCGTGCTGACCCTAAAGCCGCCCGCCGATCGACTGTGGCCCCTATGCGGCCGCAACAGCGTCTAAAATGGGCCCGCACTTCTTTCAAGCGCGTGGTGCTCTTTCCGAAAATCGCGAGGCGAACTGATCCGGCCGGCCTCTCCCGGACACCGGCAGAGTGGTGTACGGATAAAAATTTCGCCTCCACAATTACAAGCACGCAAGCCTCTCGGGGAAGCTCGTCCGCTCCGAGCAATCAATGTCGTCTACGCCCCTCAACGCGAGACCTTAATTTCGTTGAAAACGAGTTTTTTTAAACTACTTTGAAAAGAATAATGTCGAGTGCACTGTCGTATCGGACCGAAGAAATATTTCGTTGAGATAAGGATTTGAAGTCAGGCGAAAGGCTATAGCGCTCCCCTCGCGTCTAGACGTCGTATATTACATCCACGAACCTATTACAAACTAACAGTTAATCTAGGCACGCAGACTGCACAACAGTAGTTAGTTTTTGGGTATTATAATATGTACACATCTTATATATACGGTGCACGTTACTGTAAAACCAACTCTCGCGTACAGTTTACATGCTTCAGTCTTAAATAAATAAGACTTTAGCTTGTATTTGTAACGTTTATTTGTCAAGTAAAAATAACGAATTTAACTTTAGTTGGGTGTTGGTTCAAGCCCCCGACTGTGGCTATATGGGGTGATATTGTTTTAGAAAAGGTGGTGTGTGTACAGGCTCGGTTTGAAGGATACTATCTTCAGGCTAACATGTTCATGCTCTTCGGATGGAGTCAGAGAGAGACGGTGGACGGCGAGACCGTCCTTGCCGCCCCGTCTCGCCTTATAAGTAGAAAGTGGGTGACCGGGAGTAAGATTTATCGCTGCAGTAACGGTTTTTATTTTTAGCGCGGTCCGCTCGAAATCGCACTCGAAATATCTTGAGGTCGATGCGAATGAGAATTCATCGGTGATGTGGAATTGCGGGGACCTTGGAGGAAATTCTGTTCGGCTGCATTCGAGTATTTGTGCATCTATCATTGTGTCGTTAGGAATTGTAGAATGGAGTAAGCGGAAACGAGTCTTAAAATAAATAAAGTGTTCAAAAATAGTAAGTATTAATGTGTATGTATTAACAAATGAAACATTATTTTTTATATTGTCGATCATATTTGATGTATTAATTACCGATTTTATGACAAAGCTCAATGATTTCCAATACTCCCATGCTGCGGACGTTAAACGGTTGCTAATCGTGACTTTGGACATGGTTACCGTTCGCAACTTTGCGCTAAACCTGATATCGCTTATTTGGTCCGACCGAGTAGATCTCCTCGGTTGGCTTTGTAATTAAACCACTTTTACTTTCAAATCGCCAATAAGGATATGTATCACGCTTTGATACTTCAATTCGAGTATACCTGACATCTAAGTACAAACATGCAAACTTTGTTAGTGATTTGGCCACACACCGGTTTAACTATACAAGCTGTACCTGTAATAAGGTCACGAAAAACTTTTTTATTGCAGGAACGGCCAGATCCGACCAGGTAAGTACCACGATCTAACAGAAAACAATCGTGAAGTGAAATACTTTTTATATATACATACTTTTACGTTTCGTCTGGTGAGTGAGTGTAGCCGGTGCCCACTTTATTATAAGGTGGCAATGCATCTGCAACCCTACGAGTGTTGCAAATAACAATGGGCGGCGGATATCAGGTGAATCGCGAGTTTGTTTGCCACCTTCTCCCATAATAAAAATACAAGCCACGACGGAAGCAGGGCGTTAAGGGGACAAATTAGCTAATGATAAGTTATCAGCGTGATCATTCCATAATCGAGTCACTGATTAAGGGTCGTGTTTATCTCGACGGGTGGCCAAACGGCGCTGCTCTAAATGAGTGCGCAAGGTTGAAACAATTGTTGCGGCCGCGGTCACGAACGTAAAGCGACGACCGGCCAATCCTGCCAAAGACAGTAGGTAGCAGAAGGTTAGCGGTTCGAAACCCGTTCGTGTTCACACTCATATTCAGTTCTGCGAGTATTATTAGATTCAAGAATCGGTGTCTCACACGGCACACAACTTGTACTACAATACTGGATCAGCCGGTTAAGAGGATAGCTACATATATCTCTTCTCACTGGCTATTTCTGGCTACCTTTTTCGTTATGAAGACGGGAGAGTATGTTGTGTATGCAAAGATACTGACTGACGATATAACTCTATTATTCCTACGCAGAAACGCCCCGAGTAACTCTTAAATAGCCAGCAACGATAACGAGGTACGGCGTCCGAGCTTGCCCGAGTCTTGGAGAGCGGAACCCGCCAATTTATGCGAGCGGTGGCCACGTACGATGGTGGGTCGTGGACATAGTTCTTCAAGCTGCACCGGTCAGTTATTAGCTCCCGGCCGTGTCTAGTCGAACATCTTTGCGCGACACACCGATATCTACGCATGTTTGAGCGGTAGGGGGCGTAAACAGAATGCGAGCACCGAAATAAGTCCGTTTATGCAGATTTATGTCACGCTCTATTTCGGGCGGCTGCGGCACCCGCGTGAACTTGCCCGACGCGACGCCGCTGCGCCCTCCCCCGCCCCACCGCGCGTGCACCGGTAACGTGTTAGCGGGAAAACTCCGTGATACGAGGAAGCGCAATCAACACGGGCCAATTACTCACGGGAATTATTCGCGACGCGCACTAAACGAACTCTCCTTGTTCGCTCGAACCGCTTTGTGGCGATGGTCGTTCCGTGTCGCGGTTCGGTGAAAACTTTGAAGGGCATCGCTCAACGCGTCGCTTTGCGCGTTAACTGTGGCGTTTGGCCGGGGCCGGGCGGATTGTGCGCCGATCGCGTTGTGCCGAAGTGTCGCAAGCGAGCGATTACGCGATTGTATAACGGCCGAGTACGGCCCGTGTCAACGACACCACACGGCGCTCGGCCCGTTTAAGTTCGTTTTTCGAGCGCGATTTCGATGAATATGTATCACGACGTACCCGATAGAGCACTATTGAACAATAGTCTTTCGGTGGCAACTGATTTGTAATAAATTTAAATGGAAAACTACATATACAGAGCCCGAAGTGAGACGAGGGCTCTATAATAAACGACAGCACTAGATTTTCGATAAGTTGAACTACACTTTTCCGATATGCAAGGAACCAATAGAGAACAAATGCAACGAGCCGACCGGACAAATAAAAATATAATTCGCACTCGCCCCGACCTCGGGCGAGCCGAGCCCGACCACCTGTTGGATTCCAGACGTGATCGTTCTTTTAAAGCCTTCGGCGGACCTATGTGCAGTCTTAAAACTTTTGCCCCCCACGCCAAACCAGTAGAGTGGTACATCTGTCCGGCTCGCTTAAGCTATAATAGTACATACGCGAAGAGCATAAAGACGGTATTAGCGTGCGATTGCAGTGATTCTAACTGTTGCTGCGCGTAACAAAGTTGGACGTGTGTAATCCTATCACGATAATAGAGGATGCTTGAAAGCGTATTATCCTATCTTTGTGTGAACTTATTTAGCATCCATACCGGAAACTTCCATACCGTCTTAGGGTCATCGATATTTCATCAAAACTTTCTGCTTTTACTGTAAAGAGAACGTCTTCCACTTATCTCAATTAAGTTTAATAGACAATCTGTGTAACGTAACAAAGCAGTGGGAAATGCAAAATGAATATTCATTACAATGTTTATTAATAGGTTTCGCGACACTTTCACTAGATTGTACACTTTCGGCGAGTAAGAACCGTTCAAAGGCACTCGATACAAATGACTGTGAGTTGCCGTGGTTGGCGCGCTGGTTGCTTTTAACGCAAATAAATCATAAAGCGATTGAGAATGCCTCTTCAATGGTGCCGTGATTCATTACAATAATCTCAAAGCACCTCGCGCGCCCACGCGTGGTCCCGTTGTTTGTTCGAGTCATAGACAAACGGTATTTTTTAATTAAAAACAAACGCGAAATCGCAAAAAATCGACGGTGGTAGGGCCCCGCAACACTGTTGCACCGGGTAAGTACCACGACCTCACAGAAAACCGTCGTAAAGTAGAAGTATTAACACTTCAGCGTTTCATCTGGCGAGTGTGATAGCCGGGGCAAGGTGGCAATCTTTAAATAAAGTATGCAACCCTACGGGTGTTGCAAATTTCCATGGGCGGCGGTTATCACTTAACATCAGGTGAACCGCCAGTTCGTTTGCCACTTTCTCACATAAAAAAAAAACTCTCGGCCCGAGAAGTTTACTCACAGTGCCCATGACAATTCCACGCGACATGGTGGTCTGAATAACCGAGAACTTTGAAGTTGTATCATTTTCAGAAATAACATGTTTCCGTTTACTCTTATCAGAAGCATAATGTGAACCTGTCGGCGCTATTGTTAATCCTAACTTGCATGATGCAGTACCTATTGAAGCATTGAGATGTTTCAATATAAAGCTTCGTTTTTAAAAAAATAAAAAAAGTATGTGTGTACTTATGTACCACACGTAAGAAGTTGTACTTCTTTAACGTAACAAAAGAAAAATAACTAAAAATTTTGTCCCATGTGCGAGAACTTTTCGTTTGTGAAAAAGACAACAAATGATTTAAAACTTAGCATGTGCAAAAGAACTAAAAAGAAACATTTACGTCTTGGTAATAAAAAAGCCATCACCGCAAGTGAATAAAATGCTCGCTACAGAATAGACTCCGTACATTTTCGAGGAGTAGCGGGGAATTTATCCGCAGACATCCGAGCGTCGTTCATTTCACAAATTGGCGTTCACTCCGTTCTCCCGGTGCCGTAAGTCGAGGAGGCCATTGTTCCGGGATGACTTGGCGCGATCCTAATCTTACGCTTAATTGTTACCGATGATACGACAACTCGGGGTGCGGTTAACGAGCTGTTAAGTTGAGACATTAATCCGTTCGCTGTCGCGAGGGAGGGCGCGGATTACGCAGCCTAGACATTTAAAAATGCGCCTGCTTCCTTTAGCTAAAGAGTTAACAGACAAATGTTAACGAAAGCTGTCGTGAGTAACCAGGAAAAGAGAAGAGTATGTAACGTCAACACCATCACAACGTCGAATGGTAGACCTCCTCGTGAGTAAGGTTTATCCTTCTTTGGGGCGTGCTCAAACGCAGTATCGAGGGACACCGGTGCGTTCCGTAAATTCCGGAGTCCCTCCAAATGTACAGAAGTTGGCCACTGAGAGGGTACGAAACCCCCATAGCCCTGTCATGTGAGAAATGACAATGATATTTCGAAGATTTTCCACCCGATACAAGAAAAGGAACCTCCGCATATCAATCGAGGGGGTTAGACAACAAGAGAAAAGAAAGCAATCTACTCACGGCTGGCGATGAGCTCGGGCGCGACGAGACCGCTCAGGTCGGGCTCCTCGCCGTACCAGAAGATCCAGAGCTCCTTGGCGGCGCGCAGCGAGAGGGGCGGCGGGGCGGGCATGTCGTAGATGTCCGTCTGCTGTGCGGGCACGCGCCGCCACACGCACAGTATGTCGCCGGCGAGGCAGCGCGCGTAGCTGCTGATGACGGGGTCGGCCAGCGGCGCGGCGCCCTCCTCGCCCTCGACCCCCCCGCCGCCCGCGCCCGACTCCCGCTCCCACACGAGCTTACGCCATTTTATGCCATACAGCTCCGTCTGCGAAAGGAAATGCGAGATCAGCGCCGTTGGCTGCACCATCGTCCACTATGACGGTGACGGTTCCGACGGGAACACATCGTCGTATGGAAGAGAATCGCTTTTTGCAAATGGAAATTTTCTTCGATTAATTCCTCGCTAATTCAAATTGCGCACAATGCTCATTTGATGCACGACAAACGGTTCCAAAAGCAATAAATGAGGTAACGGGCTATTTAACGTGCACTTCTTTTGGAAAAGTGTAAAATCACCAATTCATAACTGATGGTATTACTGATTTATATGGTATCGCTAATTCACATTGTTTAATATTTTGAAATTCTTTTTTTTATACTTTAAAATGCCCTGTTTACCATTAGTATCTTACTTAACTAGTCCGAATTTGTATATATATACTTAAACTTTTAGAAAGCAAAATCTTACCCCGCTTGTTTATTTAAAACCGCTTAAACAATTAAAAAGTCTAAGCATGTTAACTGAGTAACTAAAAACCGAGATGGTATGCGAGACGGAACTCGCCGAGTGGCCAAGAGGCGGACGTCAGCGCCAAGCTTTTGTTATACGAGTGTGTGCAAATGACAATTGGCCGTACATGTTCAGTAAATCGTTCGGATGATGCTATGTTGTTAGCATGAGAATCTTGGCTCTGAATAAATTCTTGAACGCCGCTACACTTCGAAATGTTTTGTGCGTACGCAGAATTAGAGAAGGAAAGATAAGCCAATAGACAATTTCGTATATGTATACGCAATAAAGAGGCTTAATGTAACTGCCATTAGCTTACTGGAGATCAACAAGTGCGTAACTGCGACAGCGCAGTCATAGCGAACGCGATAAAGTGTGATGGGTGTAATCTCATTGAACGCATCGGTGACAAGATATTCGCGCTGGGACCTCGGGAACGCTCTAAAACTGGATTTGGCTCGGTGCCAGCGGCGTAAAGGTGTTACCGTTGAGGGTTCGACATACGTATAAGGCGACCGAATAGTTTTGAGCGTCACAACACTAGTAAATCACCGGAATAGAACAAAATTTTATCAACAAACTTTTTTATTCGTTTCAATATATTAGGTTCTTATAATTTCAACCACATTGGCATGCCTGTCACCCAGGTTTACTTAGGAAACAATGTAGCAGAGGGCACGGATGCAAAATATTATTTTCATACGATTTCGACAAAGAAAATTTTAGTCCGCAAGGCTGTTTGTTGGTTTTGGAATGTAAAAGAAACGTCAGGAATCTCCGCCGTATCTAAAATAAACAATCACGGCCTGAGGACGAAACGTTTGTCTAAATGTACAAATAATTAAAAAAATGAACACCTCGCATACAAAACGTCGACGAATCCATACGCGACGTCCGTCGTATGGGTTCTTTTCGCTAAGCGTCAACTCTTCAGCCGATGCCGGCGCGGCGAGATATGAGTTGGGACAGGTGTCGCGGCGACCTTCAGTGTGCAGATACAATCGGCGGGTCAGGAACCCACCGCGCTCCCCTGCGCGCGGCGTCGGGACATTCCGCGCGCAGAGGGCCCGGGGAATCTTTACAAGTTCGCGGACACTCGGGGCGGTCGTCCGTGTGATGCGCTTAGCGCGTACGACACCGCTCAATTGGTGTTTATGCTACATGCAGACAATGGGAAATGTACGCTAGTTTATGTTTTTTAAAACCCGAATGCAAGGTTCCCTTTGCAGGACAATTAGTAAGGTCAGGTTAGTTGTCTAAGATATCGTCAACACCTTTATAAATTTCATACAGCTAAATATGACAAAATTGAAAGAATCTGAAGTACAGAACTAAGTTGAACGGGTGAATGGGGTAAGGTTTCCATCCTTTGAGGGTTTGAGGATATAGTATTAGTATGATCATTTCTTGTAGAGAACCCAGACATATCGTGCACGTATTAGCGTCTCGGGCGCCGAGCGAAACGGACGCGGCGGGGGCGCGGACTCTCTCACGCGACGCCCGGAGGTCGATACAATGACGGGGGCGGGAGGTGCATTGTACAAACGGCAGCTAATGCGGCGCGGCGCGGCGGAGGCGGCCGGTGTCGGATGGCGCGCAAGCCGCGTCGCCGGGTCAACGGTCCGGACGGTGCGCGCGGCTAGGCGGCGACGACATCTGCGAGGCAAGAGGGTACTCTTCCGTGCGCGCACCTGGCAGACGCGGCGCGCGTGGGGCCCGCGATAAGCAGGGGGCGACGGGTTCGATCCGGAACGGGTTTGGTGTTAACAACGAAACGGGGGTTATTGGTCGTAATGGGCCCGCGTTAACGCTGCCCCCGGCCGGCGCACACGTTTATTATATATTACGATACAGATATCCCGGTTTGGCGTTTCGCGGGCGTTCAATTCGTTTTCGATTTGATGAGATAACGAACTAATCGATAAGTTTAGAATGATAAATGGAATTTACATTTCGTAGTTCAAATGTAAATATTCATTTGTTGTCGTAATTTTATTCAGTTTAAAATTAATCCACCAATTATAGTGATTAAACTGTATAATAGTTATAATCGTAGTCATAACAACGATATAAATACATTTTCCTGTTCATTACTATTATTAAAATGTTCATCAAAATTAGAGGCACATGTTATGGGTTATTTATTCCTTTGGATGGGTTGTTGTGGCCATGAATAAATATCAATCATTTTCAATAACTTTTTAACGTCATCCTAGTAGCTCGACTGCTATGTTTTGGATAAAAAAACTTTTTGAGTACGCATAACAATGATTAACATATTGTCAAACTACAAAATAATATATTCGGCAGTTTTAAATTTAATAAGATACTAGCTAAACAGAGAAAATATCGAAAATTAACGTGGCATGATAAAGTATCAAAAAAAAATTAGCTGAATGGAAACAACCGTAAGCGACTCGGCAGTGCTGGAAATTACCATATGTTAGTTCGTGTTTACAGATCTCCTTTGGCAAACTAGCACGAGATGTCATAACACGGTTAAACAATGCGGCAACAATTGCGCAAGGCCACCGGTTAACGGCTTGGGGCGGACTCCATATAGGCATTATGTCATTTAAACTAGATATGTTTCGAAAATGTTTTGTATACGAAGGTGTTTAGTATTTGATGGCAAGCTTTTGTATAGAAGGTGGCAAGCGAGCTGTCGGTTCACCTGTGTAGGTGATAACCGCTGCCCATGGATTTGCAACACTCGTAGGGTTGCAGATGCGTTGCCACCTTTTAATAAAATGGACCCCGGCTACCTCACTCACCAGACGAAAAGTATGTATAACTTTTCACTTCGCGCTGGTCTTCCGTGAGGTCGTGGTAATTTACCGGACAGACCTGCCCATTCTGGCGAACTGTTGCGGAGCCCTACCACAGTATTGCGTGGTCCTACCACAGTAGTAGATATACTACATACATAATCGCACGTGTCTTCCACGGGGTTGAAGGGAGATCACCATTTTCTTACCACTGTCCTTGCTCATGTCCTAAGTCTAAATAACAAGCAAAACATTTTCAGAAATAAAACTGAGTTCAATTATTTCACTCACTATACTTTTTCTATTTGGTCTTGAGAAGTTCCCTGATGTGTCTCCAAAGTCCAAGGGCCAATACCAATGATATTAATATGAAACTAATGGGCAACTAAAACGAACCAAATGTCAAAACTAAACCGAACGCAATGTAGAAAGAGTTTATAAAATCGCTTCATAAATCATGAAGTTCTAAGGTAATAAACATAAAAGAAAGTGCAACGGAATTGAGAACATCCTAAATTTTTGAGGTCGGTTAGAAATTATTAAATGCATGGACACGGAAAGGGCGAACGATTATCTGTGGGTCACACAAACACATGTACCGTGTGTGAATCGAACCCACGACCCCCGGCGTGCCAATAAATAGCTTCGTAACTGCGTCACAAGAGAATATAAGAGCCGCAACGGCATTGCTTACTGTCTGTCAAAGGTCCGTAGAGTTTCGCGATCGCCGGTATGATAATGACGTCAGTTTCAGCAATCATTAAAGCTTAAGTACGTCATTAAAACGACCGCTAGTTCGTACAGATCTGCGGAACCGCGGCCGATAAATCAAGCAATAAATCCGCACTCGTATTCCCAATTAAGTTTATACTTTGAACCTTATTTCAGTTAAGAAAACATGCATATTTTATCTGAAACAAAATGGATTATACTGATTTTGATTACGTTGTCACCAAAAATCTTGCCTTGCGTCTGACCGAGTTCGTAGTGTTTGTTTTGCATTGCTCGAAACTTGCTCATAAACTTTAGATCGCTTTTTTGATAGCCTACCTGAATTGACTTCATTGTAATTCTGAATCGATTCATGAAAGAACCTTGGATTCGACAATGCAACATCCGTGAGAGGAAAAATCGTGTGTGTGTGTTTACTTCATTTTAAATGCCAAACGCTATATTTTAAACATGTATGTGAAATGATTACAGCTATGAATAAAAGAAAGGTATTGTAATTTTTGTTATTCACTTATACATTGTTCTCAATATTTATTCTATAAATGTATTTAACAGCCAAGCAGATTTTTTACCATTCTTTCCGGCAGATGGGACGGCGATCACATCAATGAACTATCATCTCATACATTACACGCGCGATCATGATCTCGATCATGATCGCGGCAAGTCATTCAGAATTTACACGACCTCCACAATCAATGATTCCAAAGTAAAAGTAGCCCAAAAGCTAACAGAGGTCCTTGTAAATTTATTACGAAGATATTGAAAATAAAGTCTTGCCAGCAACAAATACAGTAAACTTTTTCTTTTTTTTTATTTATTTAATGTTTATTGTCAACCTTTATAAATCAGACAACATACAGCGTACCTTCATGTCCAAAGGCATTCTCTACAAGTCAATACAGGGTGCAGTAAGAGCTTATGGTATGCGTTGCAAGAGATGCAAAACTAATTTATTTTAATAATGAGAATATTGTATGATATGTACATAAATCAAAATAAGATATATATGGTAAATAAGATTTAAAACGATTGGATATAGTGTATTTAATATCAATTTACAAAATTTTAAAAAATCGTATAGGCTGTGGTAGCGCCCCGCAAGTCTTCCCTGTTGCACGAATGGGTATGTTCGTCCGGGGATGTACCACGACCTCACAGGAGACCGGCGTGAAGTGGATGTGTGATGCTTCTGCGCTTCGTCTGGCGAATGAGGTAGCCGGGGCCCACTTTATTGAAAGGTGACAGCGCATATTTATTTTATAACCCTACGGGAGTTGCAAATGTTAATGGGCGGCGGTTATCACTTAACATCAGATGAACCGCCAGCTCGCTTGCCTTCTCACATTAAAAAAACCGGCCAAGCGCAAGTCGGACTCGCGCACGAAGGGTTCCGTGTACCATTATCTATAAAAACGGCAAAAAATCATGTCTGTTGTACGGGGGCTTCCGTACAAATTAAATATTTTTTATTTTATTTCATACTATTTGTTGTTCTAGCGGCAACATAAATAGACAATCTGTGAAAATTCCAACTGTCTAACTATCACGGTGCATGAGATACAGCCCGGTGGCAGACGGACAGCCAGGCAGCGGAGTCTTAGTACTCGTAATGGGGTCCCGTGTTACCCTCTCGGTACGGAACCCCAAAAAGACGGGGGCCACACCAAAGACCACCGCCGGGGACGGCCGCGTGCGAGAGAATGCGCCTCGCGGTGCTCCCTGGTCCGCTTTCTAGCGCCGATGCGGCCGCTTCACTTTCTATTGTGTTCGCGTCACACCGCTCGAAATGCTCGGCATCCACTACGAGCCGACCAAACGATCCAATGCGGCTCCGCGGGAAACGCTCGGAATAATCAGTACTGCAGTTACACCATCGTCCGTAACTCGAACTGTTCGGTGAGATAATGATAATGCCCGGTAAGTCATCCCCTCAGATAATGCCCCTCAAGTCTGCGTTAGTGATTACCTTCTTACTGATCCTTCTACCGCGAATACTTAAAACATTTACTTAAATCGTTGAGTTTTATTTCTTACAGTTTTAAGGAATGGTATATTATTCGGTCTGATGAAATATGCATGTGATAAAAAAGTTTAAATTATCCTGTTTCCTAATTTGCCGCGTCCGATCTTATGATAAGAATCGGAAGTATGTCCTCGGTAAGCGTGAGAATATATCCCTACTTATCTGATTTGCAGAAGTTCTGGGTACAATGAGTGAATCTGGGTGAGATGAGAACTTCTTTTGCTGCTTTCAATTTTTTTTCAAACTTTAGATAATCGGATATCCAATAGTGGCTATAATTTTTCGGAACCCAACTAACTCGTTTATTCGCAAAAATGTCTTACCCACGTAATATAACAATACACAGTAACTGCTTACTCTCTTTTAAATTTACATAAAAATTTTAATATAGAGTATTATTTTCTCATAATTATTACAACAAATTAGGTTAAGAGTACACATTAGCGTGCGGCGATCTAATTTACTTCTTACTCGAATAATGGACTAATAAACGACCGCTGGATAAAAGGTTGACGAGTGACCACAAAAAAATATATAAATTTGAAATAATTAAGAGAATTGTCACCTAAATCAGTCAAATCAGAATAGCACTAAGTGAGAGAAGTAAAATGATCCAATTAATGGAATGGACAAGTAAAATGATAAAATGTTATATGTATGAACGGAAAAGATATTAATAGTAAAAAATTCTGTTTATCCGTCGATCTTCACAGGTGTTAATTCGACATTATGGATAAAAAAAATGTATTAATTTTATGTATGAATAAAGCATTTAACGTGTCGATGAATTAAGTCAAGTATTTTAATAAGAATGACTCGAATTGCGGTGATAATGTGGCATTAACGGATCCATATATAATTATTATGTATTTGTGACCAACAGATCCAACTTTGAATAACACTGTCATTAGCATCGAAGAAGTTGACGTTTGCCGAAAGTCAAAGTAGATAAATTATCATCTCAAAGATGGCTTTAATACAATCTTGGGCCAAGGTTGTAAAAACATGAAAATGGTGTCAATTAATGCGAATAAAAATAGACATTTTTAAATATTTTTTTTTATTCATCCTTGATTATATCTCATAATTGCTTATGTGGAAAATTTTAATAGATTGGTTCGTATATCGGAAAGCATTAATATTATTTTATTTTTATTTTTATAACTGATGTTACGTTTTCAGTCTTACGCTTTAAAGCAAGCTTCATCGAACGCAGAACCGGTGGGCTTTCCACTAAATAACACTACACACCCAGTGCATCAACAAACAACATAGTTCTCCCTCGCCTCCGAGCACGGCGCGACCAACTCAACGCGTACACTAGGTTCACCCGCGTTCCAGGGTGGTTCTCACCGCCCCCAGCCACCGAATAAACAAGCAGTCAACGTCCATAAGGGTCACGCACCGAACCTCGATGGCCCGTAAGCGACATGCCATAACTAACGCACGCATGAGTACATGCGCGGCCCACTGAGGAGGGCCTCAAACCCGTGGGTTCTGGCTAGCCCACCGGTACTGCGTTCGATGAAGCTTTAGTAGTCTAAGGACTGAAAGCGTAACATCAGTTATACAAAAACAAAACAAAAACCGGTGGGCTAGCCAGAACCCACGGGATTGAGCGGAAAGCATTCAGTATTGTTTGAGAATATCTTTAGGATGATGAAAAGAAATTCAATAGATCGGCAACTCTTGAAGTCCGCAGTCATGTAATAAATTTTATTCAGAAGAAAATCGTCCCACTTGAGGATTCAACAGCTTTCCTTGGAATATGTGGTGACTTCCAAGTTGCAATGGGGAGTTCATACAGAAAAACTATTTCAGCGCCGCCGTCTTTGCCATACGCAAGATCGGGCAGCTAACAAGGCAATAACTAAATTAATTTGTTATGCTTATTTTTACAGTATTGTTTTATATGGTGTTTTACTTTGGGGTTCCGCATCCGGCATAGACACGTCATTTCTATTACAAAAGCAAGCGATACGGGCTGTCTATTGTTTGGGTATACGTGTGTCACTATGGCATCTTTTTAAGCAAATAAAAGCATTATTAACGCGTATTAACGCCCCCGTCTCTATACACACTCGGGGGCCGTGGCGATATTCTGGAAGTACCGAGGTTCAGACTAGCTTAAACCAGAAAGTCGTTCCTTTGTATTTATGTATTAACTCATATACTAAAATTGGTCACATCCACATACAACTATAAACAAGTTCAAACATTTTGTAAAAGCTATCCCAATGGAAAGAGCCTATTATATTGTTGAAGACTACATTGAGGACAAAGATGGAAATTACTCTTGCATTTCAAGTCCCCTGGCTGCTGCTGATTTTATACTTAGTTTGTTTGTACATGTATCACTAGGTGTCAACCGCGGCTTCGCCCGCGTGGCCAAAGGGAATTTACAATGTTTTTTTTATTATACCCCAGAATATCTAGCAGATGGCTGAATTTTTTTACTTAGTTGACACTTATGTGTTATTACCTACATACTATTTTTGGACAATTCACACAATTTCTTTATAAATTATAGCCTATATGTTAATCTTTACAGACAAAATTGGAGTGTCTGTTTGTAACATTAAAATAATCGCTTTTTACTAAATGCATATGTATACACGGTACATAATATATTAACTATAAATAATAATTAAACTAACATTTTTTAAAATTTTTGTCTGTCTGTCTGTGTTTGTTCCGGCTAATCTATGAAATGGCTGGACCGATTTGGACGACATTTTCGCTAGCAGATAGCTGATATAATAAGGAGTAACTTAGGCTACTTTTATTTAAGATTTTTTTTTAAAATTTTGCGTATAAGAGTAACAAACACCCATCCATATATATATAAAATTATAATATTAGTAAGGATTAAAAAAGAGAAAACAAGACTGCAGTTTCTTTCCAGTTTTTTTCTGGACAGGTCTAAATTAGTGAACCGGTGGTAGTTTCTTGACGTTCAACAAGACATTATAAGCCTTTATTGAATAACGACATTTTGACTGACTTTAATGAGGCGAACGGGTCACGAAGCAAGTCTCGTCCGAGAAACAATGCGCTAATTTGGGGAAGGTTTCAGTCGGAGAGTTATTGGCAGTAGCTGGAAAGAGAAATCGGACACCGTTTAACGAGAAATTACTCTCTGTTAATCCAGGCGCAGTAGCAAGGGCGTTAAAACTGTAGACTTTGTGCGTGTTGTGTCCGATGAAGCTTCGAATAAATAGTCCTTATGATTGAAAGCAACAATATACCAACGAAGACAGTCTGAAAACGCTTTCTGGGGCGCCGTCGCTGTAGCTGTACCACAGCAGTGAGGACACTCTCTCTACTTTTTTTTTAAATATTTTAGGACACATGTCATATTGAAGTAATGATTTTAGAAAGGAAACGTATTTGCCATATTCACATCGCCATGGAAGTGTACGACGTGCTTTTAAGATTTAAACACAACGTATGTATGTGGTTAAATCTAAAAGCTCGTCAATGTACATAACGATTCAAGTATGGAATTGTTTATATCGTTGTGGATAATCTACAACATTTTTTTAACATGTAAATTTAATATCCACCAATGTGAATATTAAATTTACGAGTTACAAAAAGTTATACTACAAATCCTACCGATTTAAGGAAATTAATTTACAATATTATACACTAAAGAAGTTCTCGTTCATTAAGACAGTATAGATGTGTACCTAACACACATTTTACGGAGTTCAAGTATTTGGAATACTTTTACCGTGGACGATTGTATAAATTTATTGCTCCTTAACATCGAGAGCATCGTTTAAAGTGTGTTGAGAAGTTTCTAATGCCCAGATTAAATCAATCACGTGAAATATTTACTTTGGACACGCATACAACTTTCGAGAGTGCTCCAAACTTTGTAGTGCGACGAAACTGTTCGCAATTCAAGGTGAACCTCCGACGATACGGCCGGATTTCATAAACGAGTATTACAACGAGCGGCGGAACGGTGACGTACAAAGATGGCTGGCGGGAACGGCCAACGCACAAATGTGTAATAAAACGGCTCGACTACAAACAATAGTAGCGGGTCGGTCGAGTGAGCGCTCGCGAGCGGGAAGGGGAAGAGTGCGCTCCCAAAAGGAGAAAAAAGAAATAGAAAAAAAAATCGGAGCACCGCTACACCGGCGCGGCATCGGGCCCGGGACGAGCGCGGGGCGGTCGCGAAAGTGAGAGGAGGCGCGGCAACGTCGCGTTACGTCGCCGGCCGGCCGGGTAAACAGTCGGGCGCGCTGCGCGTGCGCCCCCGCCCGTGCGTCGGCAGAGCGCTGCATTTATGTGCTGTGACGTCACGCCGCGCACGCACAGATGCTCTCGCCCGACTAATTGGGATTTTATACAGCTCGTCAAAGAGAATTATCCAAATTATGCATACAAATAATACAATTGGCGACACGGACGAGATTTTAAATTTATACGTAATATTTTTAACACTTCTTGCTCTTTATTTAACAAATTTAATTATCTTATTTCCTTTTTTTTAGCTCTAATTCCCTTAACCTTATTGTCTAGACAGATATTGTTTATTAATGGATTGAAACTGGAAATTCTTACAATCAAATTATATAAAAAAATCAATTACCCTAGCTTTTAGTTTATTTTTCCATCGCATCCAAAAATTAATGCGTATCCTTAATAAGCCAAATATTTTCCTTTCTCCTCTTTACTTCTAGAACGGTTCGTGGGCACGAATGCATTTGACGCGTTCGAGATCTGACCCTCAAAACATATTTTGCACTCGCTGATCTATTCTATCACACGCGAGGTCGTGTTGTTTGTAAACAGAGGTGGGCTCGCGACGCCGACACGACTCGCCGCGGAGAAAGAGGCGGCTTGTTTATGCCGCGATAAGTCAAAATATAAGGGAGTGGATTCGACGAACGACATAAGACACAACAACATATTGCACAAATCAATTGCGCAACGAATGATACACTGAGCCGAGCTCTAAATGAAGTAAATAAACTAGCGAATTGATATAACTTGTTGTTCGCATTTCCGAAGATGTAATGTCTGTGGATAATTATGGTAATGTATTTTCGCGTTTTGTTATGAAATATATGCAACCATTGTTACTGGTCTGACTTTCGGACTATAAAGAAGATCCGTAAATAAGTTTCATTTAACGTTCAAAGTTTCAATATTTTATACGGTGGCAAACGAGTAAACGGTTTACTTGGTGTTAAGTGATTACCGCCGCCCGTGGACATCTACGATACCAGTGAGACAGAAGATGCGTTGACAACTTTTAAAAGGTTGGCTTCAGGTACCGCAACGAACCAAAAATGTATAATACTTCCACGAGTCTTCGTTGTGTACCACGTTCTTCCCTGAATGAAAATTCCCGTTTGTGCAACAGAAGTTGCTGCGTGGCTCTACTTAGTTATGAACGTACTTGAGGCTGCGTTCTGGCGCATTCCTTTAAACAAGTTTAAGTTTTAAATGAAGGTGGTATCGTCTAACAGTGACGTATGTGCAACTGTTGACATTTAACGCGTTTTGCAGTGTCTCCAAAATGAAAATGTCGAAACTCCGGATGTCTTGTTTTGATAGGGGTTCCACCAAAGATGTTGGACACCTAAATATTACTTCGACCTATCCGACGTCGGATGATGCCAAGATGATGTTCAACTTAGGTCGTTTACTTTTAAAATAATAGCTGTTGAATGCTTGTAGCTTTTACAGATTTTTACAAATTTTGTCGCTCAGCGAGCAAGCCCTCGTGACGAAATAAAAAAAAATATTATGTTACATATGTTTAGTATTGCCCATCGCAGTGTGGGACTAGACGAGTGAAGAGTGACGCGCTGAGCAAATATGTGGAAAAGAGATGGACACAGTGGTTCAGGTTCAGGACTGTGCCTCTTTGTAGTCAGTGGAGGAGACCTATGTTCAGCAGTGTGCTCTAACAGGCTGAAATGACGATGATGAAGATCAATTTCCGATTTCAAGCTCAGTTCGAACTGGATAAAATTCCACCATTCCATTGAAATTCCATCCGCACAAACAACCACGGCAATATTCGATATTACATCGCAAACCCTCCACCCCATACAGCTCCACAAAGCGACCTCACACAAGCTCGGTGCGTGACATCGGCTCGACGCGCTTCTACTTCCGCGAACCTCATCATTATTATGGATTGCGCGTTTCATATTACCCACTTTGAGGAGCCACAGCGAGTGTCATCGTCGAGCGATTGTCACCTTTATACCATAGAGACATTCACCATGATCGCGTGCGCGCTCTCGTAGAGTTGCGACGTCGTTTATGTGTCGAGCAGTACTGTTACTAGGCGTCGAGTTGAAGCAGTAAGCGAATGCGTAAATCAGTTGATCGAGATAAGACATGTAAGTAACAATGCAATGTTACCATTACATTATAATACGGAGATACTGTTATCATTTATTGGAGTCTAAGACGGCTTTAAGGCATCGGGAAACCCTCAGAATAGATTTTGTATAAATAAATAAAAACTATATTCCTTGCCATTACGTTGAGTTGCGTTGAACTGTTTTTTTTTTTTTAATATAAACAGAATAGTGTTATGAATCTCATATAATAAAAGTATTCATGTGAGACTTGTTATTTAAAAAAAAAAATAATCAAGAATCTAATGTTTAACACATATCTAATGGATTTAGATGTGCTGGATCAAGATAAAAAATCTCTTAGATGAAATCACGTTTTTCAATCGTTTATTGACGCATAAAAATAGATTATTACTAAAACAGTTCTCTGGTATAAAGTATAAAAAGCACAATTATTTTAGAAGGTTAATTCGACTCCGAAAAGTTATCCGAAAGTTTCATTTGGAGCTGGCATTTCTACGTTTGTTCTACAGTAGCGGTTTGGAGGTCGGGAAAGAGTTATATGGTTTGAGGTCGTAGCGAATGAAATCATTTACATACACAAGGAATAAGAAGCACTGATTGAAAACGAAGTTTAATGGGATTATAGCTAAAGCGTTTTTCCATTAATTAAATTCCGCAACTGATACTGTATTGTCTTTTTTTTTTTAAACATTGCCCTTACTTTGGGATAACATTATCCTGTGTTGTAAGGACGTTTTACAATCATAAATTTCACGCGGACAAACACCCAGATAAGAAACAACTGTCTGTGGATCACACAAATAGTTGTCCCGCGTGGGAATCGAACCCACGAACCCCTACGCCGAAGCCAATACCTTGGCAACTGCGCCACGGAGTCATCTCATGTATTGTCTTATACTATAACTTTTAATTAGAATTGCAACAGATAAGTAATATTTCGGATACTATGTAAATAGTTAAAATATTATGTAGAAAAAGTGCGAAAAGATTGTCGCCGTTGTGGGAATCGAACCCACGTCTTCGGCATTCGCGGCCTGACGCTCTAGCCACTGAGCTAATCAGCCGTTTAGTTTGTTTATAGTGCTAATCTTAAGTGCAAAGATTAGCACTATAAACAATTTAAATTTATGTAAATAGTTTCATAATATTTCAACTTAACTGTGCTAAGACCACACAACAAACTACACTGTTGCACGAAAGCAAGTCCGTCCGGGTAAGTATCAAGACCTCACAGAATACCAGCGTAAAGTGGTAGCCGGGGCCCATTTTATAGTAAGATGGCAACGCAACATGTTGCAAATGGCAATGGGTGACGGTCATCACTTAACATCGAGTTTGCCACCTTCTCACATCAAAAATCTCGTTTTATAAAATGTGCCAAAAATATGTTACAAAATACGAAAATAATAAAAACTATATTTTACACAAAAAATCATATCTAAAAGTGTCGATTATTTATTTCATACGTATATTTGATTGCTAATCAATAGAGCATCGACCGAGATATTTATCATAACAAAATATCGCTAGTTATTGATATATCATTATAAAAAATGTAGCCGTGTCTACATTTAGTTTTGGATTTCAACTTAACTGGCGATAAATCCGCTTCATTAGATTAAAAAGAAAATACGAAAACAACAATGTCTAACGCACATTCAATTGCGGATCGAAGGAAAATTCAATGACTATGGGCTGTTTTATGTCTGGTGCATCTATTAGTGCCCGAATCCACGCATCAGAAAATTGTTCGATTAGAAAAGATCAGGACTCGGAAACAATGGGCAGCCTTGACGAGCGCCACAGTCCACGCGCTGCGGCGACCGAGCGTCTACTAGATGTGGGCCGAGATAAAACGGCATCGCTAAGCCAGTGGAACCATTCGCTATTTAGTGTTATTACCCCGAAAAGCCACTTTATCGCGGCTCGCATTTCTCGTATTTATGTCAAGGATTGCGTTCCTTTTAATTGGGAGCGAATATTTTAAGAGATTATTTAATTAGATGTTCGATTTGAAACTAAAAGAAATGCAAAGATAAGATTCGATGCGGTCGAAAATAGGTGTCGATAGTAGACAACATCGATTTATTTGATGTCAACTGGCTATAACGTATAGCAATCCACCAGACCATGGCCTGTGTACATGTTGCGGTAACGTCAGCACGTGGTATGAATCGCTTCGCAAATCCATGCAAAAGTCATTATAAACAGAGTGCGTAAGTAACCGGGGCCATGCTATTCTTCTCCTCTAACGACGCGACGTAAACTTGGAGCAGGCGGGCGAGCGTGGCGCACGGAAGGCGCGCGCCGTCGCCTCTACGCCCACTCCACAATACATTCTTCCGACTACCGTGTTGCTTGTTTCGCGTGGGCGGCATCCGAACGTTGCACAGTTATCGCTCCATATCCCTCGCTCTGTCCCACACGGGTGGAGGAGGGTCCACGGGAACGGGACGCCCGTATGGCGCGCCGCAGAACGCCACCAACAGATATCTGCGATACGGTGATAAAACAATTACCTCTGACCCGCAGATACACGATAAGGCGTGACTATGACATCAAAGGATTGGGCGATATTTGATAGCATCGCTCTACTGAACGGAGGCAAAACTATACACTCCCTACATTATAATCTCAAGCTACATCCTCAAGTAAATTTATAGTCATAAACGTACCTATGTACTCCCAATCTAAGGCGTATTTCCATTCTGCCTATCAACAGAAAATAGTAACAGGCCATTTTCGTTCTCAGAATAAATATTATGCTACCATCGAATACACCTATCCATCTGCAGGAAAAAGGCGAATCCAATCGGAATCGAAGGCCCTACTAAACGGACATACGGACAAACGGCAAAAAGTCTCCATATTCACAGGCTCTGTGACCAATGAAGCTTTAGACAGTTTCTGGTATCGAAGACCGTGGTCCGAAAAAGTTCGTTCTGTGCAAGAGCGGGGCGAGCGTAGCCCGGCACAGGTAAAAGTAAAGTAACAGCCTATAAATGTACCACTGCTGAGCAAAAACATCCATGAACAGAGGACATAGTCCACCACGCGACCCTACTACGAATGGGCGCACTTCACATATCTTCAAAATATTTATTTTTGGTATGATAAAGATGAAGATGAAAATATTCCCATTTCCTCACGAAGTTATCCCTCACCGCTGATCACGTAATAAGTCAGCACTTAAGTCTAAAATTAACAATTTCTTTGGGGCCGACACGGGGGATTGGCGAGGCCGGGTGGTAGCAATAGTTCGGCGGCATCGCTAGCGCTGTGGACGGGGCACGGTGCGCGATATCGTCATGCAGCCGGCAAGCGCTTTTCGGGGAGGCCACACGACGGCCGTGCCTGACCAAAGCGCGCGGCGCCGATCGATTGTGCGACGCTTGAAATACGGCTAATCGGCAAGTCGATTCGACGAATACAAATGCAACGATAACATTATCCTATGATTTCACTAATAAAGCGTGTAACGTTTGATGGAGAAATTTAGTTTATTATTAATTTTGGACGCTTTTATTATCAAAGTTTTTTTTGTTATTCGTACTATTTTCAACTGTAATATTTGCTTACATGCGTACGAATCATTGACACACTACTAGTAAATTTTACCTGTTGGTATCAAATACTTTACTTTCATCATGTTCAAACACTGATTAGTGTTACTAGAGGTAATTGGCTGATTTTTTTTTTTCAAAAACAAAATTTATAAATTACACAAACCTACAGGGTAGACGAGACAAACTATCGCCGAGTTTATTGTTATCAGTCCGTAATATGTAATGCCCACACTATTCATTCACAGATTGCCGCGAGAGAGAACTTCAAGCAATTAATCGACGCCCACAAGTCAGCGATATACACATATAAATATAGCGATGGTACGCCGACGTAATATCCAAAATGTTTTCGAAAGCGTAGTAAAAAATATTTATTTACTTTTTCTGTAGTTCACAATCTATGGTTACTTTAGTAGTGTGTGAACTATAGAGAGCACATTCTTATGTATTTCCCGTCTTAAAGTCGGATAAGCCAAATAAAGCATATTAATGTTAGAACCTGAACAGAAAATTATAAGTGAAATATCACTTACATCATATGAATTCAGAACACAAAATAATACATCTTTGACGAAAATATCACGTACAGCGAGAAGAATTGGCCAAGGTATTGTTCGCACGAATCAAAATTATTATCAATTATTTCGATATGCTGTTACCTTCGTATTTTCAATAAGCTGCAGCCAAATGGTTGCGACAGTCGTGACGAGGCTTTCGGGGAAGGTTAGTACACGCGCATATAAGTCGGTGCTCGGCCCTTTGGTGACAATATGTTTGCGACGCGCGACAATTTGGCTGGCCGCTCCATCGTTTCGCGCGCCTCTCGCGTTGCGCTAATCGGGCGAATGGGAGACGGCGGGCCGCTGATGGGGCGTTGAACCACCGCGCCGAGGATACGAGGGCCCACCAGGCTGAGCTCCGCCCAGGCGCCGGCCACCCGCTCGGGCGCCTCGGAATTGGGACCGACACGTCCGTAATTGGCCCGCGAAGGGCGTCTTCTCGATTTATTAACGATGATCGTCTCGCCTAGTGCGCTTCGGCCGCGTATGACAAAGACGATAAGATACATATAGAACGATACGTTTATATGCAATAAGACAAGACAGAAAAATATTTACATTTGTTGAGTAACAAAAGATCAAAGGAGTACTACTACTTCAAGATATTTCGTGTATTGGGTGGTAGGGCCACGCAACAATCTTCGCTGTTGCACGAATGGGCAGGTCCGTCCGGGTTATTATATATACCTCAGAAGACGGGCGTGAGGTTAAAGTGATATACTTCTCTGTTTCGTCTGGTGACTGACGTAGCCGGGGCCCACTTACAGGTGGCATGTATCTGTAACCGCGGCGGCGGCGGCGGTTATCATTTAACATCAGGTGAACCGCTAGCTCGTTTGCCACCTTATCACATATTTTACCACATGCGCATTGGTATATGGCTGCACCCTGGTATTGTTTAGGGCCGTAGGTAGGCCGTGCGCTACCCGGACTAACGGGTCGGTGCGCGCCACCCGAGGTCAACGAACCTGCGCCGCGTGTACATCTACAATTTTCGACGATATGCCCCAGTTTTTCATCAGATCTCCGTGAGATTACATAATGCTTTCGTAACGCGACGCCAAATTTTAATATTCGCTGTAACACACCTCTCGAGGTTATGCAAGAGAGTTTCTTTGTATTATTGACTTATACTACAAAAATGATTACAATTGATTGCTACGAATCGGAAAATGAAAAAAATTTCTGTCGTGTTTTTGTTGTTTGTATTTTTCACGAGTTTCCAATGGTGAGTAAGGAAACTGTGACGATGAATAACCTTCGGGTATACAGTTCGGTTCGCTTGCTTACGAAAACCAAAACGGACAAGAAGACCAAGAAGTTTCACAAAGAAATTGCATTGAATTGCATGAACTCACGACACATTAGGAATGATCAGATGTGAACGATGATAAAGCGAAAGCATACGAGTGCGATCAGCAGCGTCAACGACCCGCTGATAATAATCGGTCGCGGTGTTTGATAACAGCCTGTAGTCCCGAGGTGGTTTCTGTCTCTTTTGTAAGGAGTCGTTTGTCAACATACCTCTAATCTGTTGTCATCGAAACCAGGATGAATTAAACGACGTCAGTTTAATCAAACACATGCGCCTTGTGACATCCATACTAATATTATGAATGCGAAAGTAACTCTTTCTGTCTGTCTCGCTTTCACGCCAAAACTACTGAACCGATTTAAATGTATTTTGGTACACAGATATTTTACAGGCTATTTTTTAATTGGAAAAACTTTGAAATATATGTATATTTTGAAGAAAGATATTTATTTAAGGGATATTTATTCAACGCGAGCGGAGCCGCGGGTGAAAAGCTAGTTTTTTATATTCTTATTCTATCTCGCCATGTTACATGCGCTGACGATATACATAAATATGAAATAAACTTTACTGTATGATCATCCTATCATAAATATAACGCGTTGTGGGTGTTCATTTGTACGTGAACATTCGCAGGCGACCTACACGCCGTTCTAATCTTTCTAAGCTAGGTGGAAAGCCAAAGTGAAAGGAATCAGTGACACAAAATAACGTGAAATATTTAATAATAAATATATAAATTCCAATACAATGTCACTCGAGTCACAATTATAAATTGCGCATAGAGTAATAGGGGCTATGAACCAGAAATGCGGTTAAAGAACTCTGTATCACGAAGTATCTTGCGCATGATGTTTGAAATCATACAAAGAATGTAGTGTGGACAAGTTTGCGACGCAATGCGGATTCCGAGGCGCGCATGCAAAGCGTTTATGAATACAAAGCGATGTACGACCGCATACGGGACTCTGTAGCTAGCTACCCGGCCTTAAGATCCGCATCGACCTAACACACTATTGACTATAATAATATATAGCCTGATCAGCCTGATAATAATTTGATATCACGTTTTAATAAAAATTTAAGTTAATTTAAAATCAATTTAATATTCGATTTTATTAAAAATATCATTAAATAATAAAAATTATTTGTTAAATTAGGTATTTGTACTTTGCAGCAATCAGTTGAAATTCGTTATATGTATATGTATCGTTTTTTAACAATCTCAATCGTTGTGCGACGCAACAACGGATATAATATAAAAAACAATATTATTTCATTCGAAGTATTACTTGTAAATAATAAACTATATAGATACAATTTTTTGAAACTGGTAATAACTGCGCTATACGTTTGAAACAGTAGGTACTCGGTAAAAAAACATACGAGAAAGTTCAAGACTAAAACTAGGTACCTAAAATTATACTGATTAATTGTCATAAACTTTGCAAATAAGTATTGAATTTTATTTTCGCTTAAGTATTGCGTTCGTTTTCGCTCCAACAAATAATAGATAAATCGTTTGCAAATACATTCGAAGAAAAATTTAAAAGATTGATATCAGCAAATTAAAAAGAGAAATTAGGACACTTTTGACTCTGTGACAGTCACTGATTCTCAGTGATCAAATCAATTATTAATCGAAATTAGAAACATACATTTCGTCAGTCGATAGTCACTTTTTTTTAAATCTACCACCGTTTTGTAATGAGGTTCCTCTAAAGGAGAACAAATAGTAGAAAGCAACTCCGTAGGTATCCTCTTTCTTATGAACATATATTTTGATGAGATTTTCCAATCTCATAAAATATATGTTCCACGGTAAGGTTTCCACCAATAGTTGTTGTGAATGCAGATCGAAAGGCCAATTTAAAACAAATTCATCTGCGAGCCAGCTAAAAACCACAGCGTCGCGACACACAAATACAATTGCACGCACCACTACTCAACTGTGCCGCTAGGAGCACCGGTACAAATGATACCACTCCGTAAGACTACCATTCCTCGATGTATCACTGTTCGGCATGCCCAAATATCAACAATATTATTAATTGTTATGGATGGTGGGATATATGGCTAATATCCGATAACGATAAGGTGAACAAATTGACAACACAAGGCATTTATTTTGTTGATGAATACGATAATCCGTTCATATTCATGCATCTTCAAATATTTCGACTGAATTGATTGATAAAATGATTAGTTTAAATTTTCATAAGATATATCGTTTAAATAACCAGTTAAAAGCATGATGAACATAGTGTTTTCTGTGTCTGGGTGTTTATATGTATATTTTATGTGAGAAGGTCAAGCTGTCGGCTCACTTGATGTTAAATGCCGTCAATAGACGTCTCCAACACCCATAGGGTTGCAGATGCGTTGCCACCTTTTAATAAAATGGGCCCCGGCTACTACACCAACCAGACGAATCGCAGAAGTATAACACTTCCACTTCACGCCGGTCTTCTGTGAGGTCGTGGTACTTCCTCGGACGGACCCGCCTGTTCGTGTAACAGCAAACACTGTTGCGTGTGGCCCTACCACAGATGTCTATGATAAGTATTTTTTACAAAAGTATTTTTAGCAGTCACCTGGTAGCAATTGTAAAATCTTTGTTCAGTTTGGTACTAGATATCACTGTGTAAAAATATGTCCAGAAATATTTATTATTTTAAAAGTTATCCTGAAAATGCTTATTCAACTTGTCCAACATAACCAAGACTAATTTATACTCCTAAAGGATACGGCATTTTTTTATGAATTTATGTTCAAGAATTACAGAGCTGCAATTTGATCTAATGCAAGGGACAATTCATTGACATCAAAAGTACCTCCTCTCGACCAATGGCTATGAAAGGTGGAAAAAAGAAAACTGACGAAATCACGAGATGAATTCATTAATACGAACCTTTTAAGAACCGATGGCACTATGAGCCAGCGTAAAAGTATTATAAGTCTCGAGCAAATAAGATCAATGAGGCAAATACAACGCTTACAATAAGTAGACTATTTCATTCAAGCGTCTCTCGCAACTCACAAAACTTTCTCGCTCGGTAATACAATCTTTGTTACGCCCTAGTTACCTAGTGGCTCTACTTAGAGTAAGGCCGCGCCAGTCTTAGTCCCTGAGGCGACGCGCAAAACGTACTTGCTACATGGCTGCAGCCGGGCAAATGAGTGCCACCCTTACGAATTCATGAGGTGTAATCTTCGGGACAAACACAAGCTGATAGCAGCGGAAATGCTACTATTTCTGGGCTCCGTGACCATGTCTTTGTAACATAATCGCTAACGCTGGAAACATCTTTCGATAAAGTTGAAGACCTAAAAAAATATGGGGCCTTTTGACCGGAGGAGAGGGGAAATCTGGGCTGAGGTTCGAGTGAAAGCGTTACAAATTTGATCGCACGCCCTCTGTCGTACGGTGCGCTCGGACTAGTTACCTCAGCGGTGTCGGCGCTTACGCGCACGTTGCGCAATTGTCTCCGTTGCAGTATCTAGTTTTTTTTTTAAATGTAGAGGAGGTAGCAAAGCTCTCGATTGAACGGCGCGTCGCGAACGCGGCGGCACAGCGGAGCGCGTCTCGAGCCGCTTGTCGCATTGTCACTTGAAATCGAAACGTTCGCCAATTGCCTCATTGAGGGCGAACGTGTAAATTGATACGACGCCGTGACGTAAGCAACGCATACCGTCCGTTAGGCCCGCGTTTCACATCACGGTAGATTCTCCTATAACCCTGGTACGGCTTAACGATTAACTAAATATGAAATGTAAATTTTTTTAGCGCCGATAGCGGAACCGGTTCACCGTGAGCCGAGGGCCGGAATCAAGGGCCAAGGCGACTGACTATCCGATAATGTCGCGTCTTATTTACCTACGTGGCTGTGTTTACTTACGGAAAATGAGAGAACTATTTCGAACATCTCTCTATTATTACATTATCTAAAAATGGACACAATAAGAATATTTCACGTAACAAGTAGCTTCATTTAGAAGCGGCAAACGGAGCGGAGAGTCCACAGAGTGGACACGGAAGATTAATCCTGAAACGGCCGCCGAATGTGGGGCGCGGCGGCGTGCCAACCGCCGCAGTCCTACTCGCCGCCCGCCTCTTGTTTACAAAACAAAGTGCGGCCCAGTCACGTTCGACCACACTTCGGCTCTCTGTCAGCCATTTTTGTCTTCGCTACGGCGAAACACCGTGCATGCTTTCAGCGACCTAGATGAACGATGTATTAAGAACTCACACGGGCATTTGGTGGATAATATAATGTACGAGGTTATAATGAACACAAATTTGCGGTAGAGGTTCGTTCAATGCGTTAAGCAGCGGTAGGTAGTTGAATGACAAAATGCGGGGGCATTATTAATTCACGCGTCCGAACGTGCTAACGTGCACATAACGGTGGAGGGGGTGGGGGGAAGAGGTGTTCACTCCTGTTATCTTGACCCACATAACGAGACCGCGACCGCGGCCGCCCCACCACCTCGCTAATCAAGCAGATGGCCTTAATTGCGACCAGATACGAGACACCAGAATCCACACATAAGGCTCCCAACGGGTTACTTCGTTTCCGATCCAACATTGAAGTAATCGAATTTCGAATCGATCTGGTGACACGTGCAATTCAAGTGAATTGCATGTGTCGAACATTTGGAAATACCAGATAACATACTACTTTTCACCATTAAGCATAATAATCCTTACTTCTTTACTATCCTTACTAATATTATATACGTGAAAGTTTGTATTCGTATATAGGGATGGATGTTTGTTACTCTTTGACACAAAAACTACTGAATAGGTTTGAATGAAACTTTACAATAATATAGCTTATATATCAGAATACCACATAGGCTACAATTTATAAAAATATATGTGTGAATTGTTTAACATATAGGTACTGATAAGTGTCCACTAAGTAGTAAAAAAATCAGCCATCTGCGAGATATTCTGGCGTACAATAAAAAAACTCATGTTTATCCCCTTTGGCCGCGCGGGTGAAGCCGCAGTAAACAGCTAGTCATGTATAATTTACAAATCCTAGAGTACGTGTGTGCATAATTAATCATTATTTTTTTTACAAAAATAAAAAGTTATAAACGTCACTGTAATTTATAAATGAAGCTTAAAAATTTTGCATGTCTAAATATCATCGAAAACATTTAAAACTGCACAAAATTATGCACGTAGGACATATTTATCCATATTTATCCGGTTCAAAGGTTATTTGTAACCACCACCAAAATCTATACGCAGCAAAATTTACAGGTCGCAATGACGATATGCTCAAATTAAAATACATGAATATAAAATTATGTTCCGTTAACTTAAAGGGTGGTCAGTTAACAAGGCTCCAGGGGTGAGAGATCGAAGACGTTACGATTGGTATCGGATATGGCGGGATGACATAAGGCGAGTGGCGCGAAAGTGTCCGGCGCCGTTTTCCTCAAGACATCAAAACACAACCTTGACCCGGAATGTGTTACTCATAACATAACGAAACGAGAAAAAGGACAACACACACACACACCGAACGCAGTATGGAGGTCAGGGGCTCGCTCTGGATAACGATAATGTAATTAAAGTACGTACTGTCATAACAGCATTCAAATTCCAGTTGATAGGGTCGTCACTCAAATATATTAATTGCCAATAAAACAAAGTGAAAAAAAACCTAAACACTCACACCCGGCATCTAGAGGACATACGGACATAGGACATATTTATTTACACAATCCGTGCTCCTTATACAAATCTTTGTAATTTCCACATAATTATACAGCGTGTCGTTACAACCGCGACAATAAATGAACACACATATAGAGGATAACTTATTAAAATTGTATTAAACATTTACATTTTTTAAATATCAATATTTATCGAGTTATTAAAATTTTCAAAACAAACAATTTTAGAACACCCTTACTCTTACGTATTAAACTGTAACGTAAAGTTCATTTGTAAAGGTCACAAAGCATACGAATGGGTTGAATGAATTTAAAAGAGATAAAACATACTGTTAGAAGGAGAGATTTGTAATGCAACGCTGTGGAAAAGAATGAAAAAGTATCTGAATGTATGAATCAGTCAGTTGTGGTTGTATAGGCTGTTACAAATTTTGTTTCTTTATTATTTAATTAATTTGATTGAAAAATATTTTAACGTTTATATTTTTTTATGATTATTGGCAAGTAGCGTTAGACGTGTGTTCATATATTGTCGCGGTGGTAACGACACGCTGTATACACTTTATAAGAAAAACGTGTAAAGAAAAATAAATAAAAATTTAATTTGTATACGTACCTTTCTGTATTCATTTAAATCCCAAATAAATTATATTTGTTTTTGCAGTATTAGAAATACAGCATATATTCGTGGCTCAAATTTTAAAGGTTATTTTTATTTGAACTGTTAAAGTAAAATGGTCGACTATCATTCAGATTATTGTAAAGATATGGAAGCAATTACGTGTAGTATGTGAGAGTAGTGAGGGCGAAGGACTCGTAAAACAGGCACACAACTGGAGCACGACCTCGTTTATATCGCACTGGTGAAAAACAAAAAAAACGCTCATATTATCCACTTATGACGTATTGCAGATAGCCCGATAGGGTTATGGCGACATTAGTATTGTTTTCACAAATGTTAAGTGAAAAGGCCTTTTTTTATGTGAAAATTTGCCAAGCGAGCAGACGGTTCACCTGATGTTAAGTGACTACCGCCGCCCATGGACATCTGCCACACCCGAAAGTTCCAGCCTGTTTACTTACGGATAATTCAAACAAGATTATCCTTACTAATATTATTAAGGCGAAAGTTTGTATGTATTGATGGATGTTTGTTACTCTTTCACGCAAATACTACTGAATGGATTTTAATGAAACTTTACAATAATATAGCTTTTACATCAGAATAAGACATAGACTATAATTTATATACATATTTTATGTATATCTGTCTTTCTGTCAGAATCTTACGCCTTTAGCCTATTGCCGTGTTAATTGTACTCTACGCAGACGTCGCGTTCAGCAGCTAGTACGCAATAAAAATAAACGATTTTTTTTGAAAATATTTGAGATTTAAACATTCTAACTCACAACACCAAACCAAAGTAAAGTGGAATGAGTGTTTAAGAAATCTTTAGTAACATAAACACCTGAAAAATATGAGTAACTGTATGGAGATACTTAAAACACCTTTCGGGGATGACATAAAAAAATAACTCTAATATATTCATTACGTAACCAAGCGATACATAACAAGTAAACAGATGTTACAATCGACGACATGATCGCCGACGTTCCGGAGACGCGGTAGTTTTCCAAAGCGGCGGTGATTTGGAGAACTGCGTCACGTCTCTGCTTTCCAGGTGTTTCGGCTAAAGTGTGAAGTCTCAAGGGTAGCCCAACGGCGCTCGGCTTGTTTGTTGCTCTTTACGCGCGGACAACTTGTACATGATACGTACTTAATTAAATACGAACGCGCTTGCCAGCGTGTACTGCACGTCGAAAGGCCGAAACGTAGTGTAATTAACAGATTGCGCTTTCCGTATTATATTAAGGCGAGCGATTGATCGTCACGCGAAATCGTATTTAAGTATAAAATACGACGAAAAACTGCCAGAGTGGAGGCGATACGTTTCCTGTTTATTATCACAACAGATAACGAATGTTCGACACACGAAATTCGATTGAACATATCTCTTTTCGTGACGTATTCGCGGGCACGAAAAAAAACTAAATCGAAATCAGTGATAGAACTGGAAACGACAAACTACTGCCACCGGTGTGGCTTCGTTGTAGTACTGTGGAGATTTACGGCGGCGACATTTCGGGTGGTTTGCGGTGGGCAGAACGGGACGCGATAACGACGCCGCGAATGCTCCTTATCGACAGTGATAAGGCGGTCGGGCGGCGCTCGCGGCCGCCGCTGCCGTGTAGGTCAACCTACTGACACTGATTTTCGCGATACAAGCGTTGATGAAAAATCCAACATCACTTTTGTTCGTATTCTACTTGTAATAAGAAACCTGTCCGCCTTATTTTCTCTACTCGTAGAAACATGAACTCTATTATACAGTAATATAAGCAGCACTCTATTTAATGGAATATTAAATATGTCGATATATTATTTTGTTAATCTACAAGACAAATATAATATACTATAATTTTTGCACTATGTATACATGAGTCGTGCAACAAAAAAGGCTAAATATTAATAAGGCTTAAGTAACACATAAAAATTAAAGCTTATTAGCACTTAAACGTCTGATGATTTTAATATGTATTAGAACGAGTTAACATACCATTTCCGACTTTTCTCATTTCCGTTCCGTCCTTCTCCGTTTTAATTAAGGGCACTGTGGTTCGTAAAAATCGAAACAATAAACGTATATTAATCAACGGTAAAAATAAGACATTCCGTGTACCAATAAAGTTGTGTTCTAATCTCGTGAAACTGGCACACACAAGTATTGATCACGTTATATTTACAAGTCGGAAATCGATGATAGCTCACGAGCGTCCATTAATACACGCCGGCTCTTAAAGGAGACGTAATAGTATCTACAATAGTACTTTGATCGGCCCGTCTCATAGCCCCTACAAGGACGACACTCTTGCCGCTATCTGTAATATCATTTGTATTCGTAGTACCTCGCCCATTTCGGAACAATCGAATAAATCTCAAAAACACTTTAATATAGCGTGCAAGAACCTGAGCCATCTTCAATTTGTTATTTTGATATAATAATTGATATCATAGACATAAATAGTTTTAAAACAATGACTTCATAGTGTTATTAATCACATTTGACATTATAAGTTGTTTTTTTTTTTTTTTTACTTAAATCTTAATTTAAAAAAAAATACGTATATAATATATATTGAGTTTTAATACATATTAAAACTCAATCTCTTAATCATCACAAAGAAATGAAGTACTCGCAAGTGCTTTTAATCTGAATTTCCATCATCGTCTGATCACTTTCACAGTGAAAAAAAAAAGATATTACGACAAAATAAATCTAATGTCGAAGCAACAAGGAGAGGCTATTTAGGTATCAATATCAAGGCCTAAAGGGTAGGGTCGCCGCATATATTAATATATTGCAGGGGTTAGGCGTGCTAAATGAAGAATGACTACTAACGCGCTACATACGAACAAAACATTGCTTTCTTATGATTACAGCATGATACGTGCCTTCAATTTGATTTAAATTTAGATTATTGTCCAATTATATTGCATACATTCATTGTTTCGGGGTAAACGTAACGTGATAGGCACTACCTCCTCACTTCTGCAACGACCCAGAAATGATTGCCTGCAGAGTCGAACACGTGACACCAAAACTAAACTAATAACCATTCAGCTATAAATCGAACTGTGTCGTAGCCTCCGAAACCGGTCTGAGGCGCATCGGAATCTATGCATTTGGCATTTTTTTGCGTCGCGTCGATACCTAGGTGGGATTGAGATGAAACGTCAAAATTAAGACAAGGTTAAAGCTCAAAACAAACGCGGTAAATCGTTTCTAAAAACTTTCTGAAACTATATCGAGACATTTACCTGAGAGAGAGTTAAGGGATTTACTTAGGGGTGGTACACTTTAAAATTCGTATTCTACATTTTTTCTACATTAGATAAATCTTTCATGTGTCGAAAAACATTATGAAGATATTTAAATGTTTAACAAAGCAAAACTGAACAAAACGCCTATTTGGGTTCAAGAGAATGTCTTTTGGAAAAACCTGAATAAAACTCAACATATTTAATGTGATAACAGCCTATACTGTACTGGAAATAAAATCTAGCTTTCTCGGACAAAGTTGTCTAAACCTTTCGGAAGCGCATATGCTAGCAAAGCTAATGGTAGATGGGCCATATTGTGTGAATTTGACCTCAACGTATCACTGCGTTCAGAAATTAAAATTAACACAAAGAGCACACACCTCACCGTTTCATTTACAAATAATAACAAAAATCCAAGGGAACTAAAATACAGAGAATAAATATATTTGAGATTTATAAGTTTTGTAATAAATTTGCTAGATTAATCGTGGATTAGTTCGAACCGCAACGAGGAACCGACAGTCGACACCGCGTGGGGTCGCACCGACGCGGCGGCGGACGGGACCCCTACTACGGGTTTCGCGTCATACCCACATTCCTGTCCAGTCGTCTGCCGAACGAAAACTGTGAGCATAATGGCACCGGCGACCTTAGTACCACTTGGAGTTGGCTGTGCGCGTTTTTTGCGCGCTTGTTTGGGCCTGCGGCGTAGCGGCGCCTTGGCGACGGCTCTAGAGGCGTTTTTCCCGCCGCGGTGTCGGAGGAGCGAAAGTGAAACTCCCTCTTACAATCGCGCGTCAAGCGCCGTTGGACGGACATTAATCATTTGCGAGATTCACGGTCTCATTTTCGGGCTAGCGGTGGTTCCCTGGAACTCTTTTTGCGTTTTAACAATTCGGACAGGTTGTAACTAATTGCAGGGGCGGTGCAAACATGCGGTTAATTGTATAATAAAATAAAATATATAAAAGTAAATAAAAAAAAATACAAATTACCTAATTCAGTAAACTACCTTTTTAAGTATGATACAATTGTATCATATTTTTGCAGCACGATAATAGCATACGCAGCTAGGTAAAGTATTATAACAATATAACTGAACAAAAGAATAGCAGGTAAATTTTTATATCCCGGATTACTACATTTTCGCTTCCAAACGAAAACCGGCGCGTATTTTCAAACACAACATGTGGTCAGTGTCATATTTGATAAGGAGTAAACTTCGCTAAAAACCCACGATATTCTCATACGAAATGGGTTGAAATTAAAAAATAAATAAATAAACCGCATGTCAATCACGCCTTGCCCGCACTCTGTGACCTGTACTCTAAAATTAAACGATTTCCATCTAACAAACATTTCTTATGGCACCGGGGGATGATGAACTCATTCAGGGCGTAATAGAAAACGTCCTCCGTATGCATAGAAGATAGGGGGTGGGCCGCGTTGGTTGCCATGAATAAGTAAGCTGCGAATTTCGGCGGTCTATGCACAATGGAGCGGAGCGGCATCGCCAGATATGAATTGTGAAATATTCAATTCGCCATCTCACCTTTAAAGGGAGTTCTTTAAAAACTTGCCTTGCAATTTTGTTACTTTTCCCACGTAACCTTATCTACCAGGCAAGGAGCTGTTTCAATCATTTTTCCGTACATCAAAACTGTTGAGACTGTGTTAATCGCTGTCGATTATCGTCATATGAAGCGTAAATCGATTCGTGAGTCTAGGAAAAGATACAACAGCACGAGGGTGGACTATAGCTGACGGAGGGGTGGTGGGGGGAGGATGCAACGCGATTCGCCTGCCCATGGGAGAGTCACGATCGATTACGACCATTCATGGACGCTTGAATGGGCCGCGGTGCGCGCGCGCAACGGAACACGACCACTCACAGGCCCTATCCGCGCGCCCGCTTAGACTACAACATGCCAGTGACTGTGCGGGTGAGACTCTTGCACATCGAAGAATAATACCATCCCGACCAAACGATTGGTGATAACATTGTGACTATAGACTAAATTACTAAATAAATACTACAAACCAAAGTGCTCATTTCAAATAATAACATATTACTTGAGGAAATAAAAACTATACTGCACGGTTACTTTAATACTTTATAGATTTGTTGGTTGTTTCTTAGGCAGCATCCGATTTTGGAACTGGTTAAACACGGTTATACAGAAAGAATCGCGGATATTGCATAAAGTTAGTACGTACAGAAATATTCAATTTAAGATAAGATAGATTTGTACTTGCTGTACATATGCAATAATTAACAACGAGGAAACCATTAAAATTTAATTAATGACCGGCTATATTTTTTTTAAGTTTTAAATGGCAAAGTTAAAGTTATAACACACGAATAAGATTTATGCAAAATAAGAAAAAGAAACTGCATCAACCATTTTGCATTTATTAGCCTCTAATTCGAGGAATATTTACAACATAATACCTATTACACGCACTAAATTCTGACTTTGAACAAAAATAGTAAATAACATTGGAAAATTACCAACCACCATGCCCATAACAATGTGCCTATCAGCATAACATTCAATTTCCCATTAAGTACCTACATATTACATTTTATTTTAAAGTTGACGAACAAAACACGTGTATCATCGACTAAGCTAAATGCTCCGAATAAGTATCTACCTACCTACCTACCCATGAAAACTATGCATCTGTAATAAAGCGCGCGAAAAAATCTTACGTGTCATCGGTTCCTTGTCGCACGCGATGTGGCGAGCCGCGTCGGAGCGAGACAACAAGTGCAAGGGATACTGTAACCCGCCCCTAGCAACAGCTGTACTACGAAATCTACATTCCCAAGTACATCTGTGGAGGTTCCCGTCTATTGTATGGTTACATTACAGTAATTTCTAACGTAGATGGTATATAGGAGTACAATAAATTGATCGCTTTTGTAATATTATTATTAATCATAAATAAAATTGTTGTTATATATCAGAATATTTACTGAAGAAAAACGATTTTTTTCTTAACATGTAATAATTCTGCTCGATCAAATTTGTAAAATATCTTTGCGACTAATTAAAACTTAATTTTACAGTTTATATTGCTACTTTGTCAATTATATGCGATTTTTTAAAAGACTGAATCACATACCAATAATCGATGTACCTACCTACTCGTAAGATCTTCACCTATATTCATTAAAATTTATATAAAAACGCCACATTTTTTCTTTTTATAATTCGCTGTAACTATATTTTTGAGCCTTTAAATAAATTCACACATATTGCAGCATATATTTCTATAGTACGAAAACTAAAAAAAATGTTACGTGAAATGATAATACACGAGGCAATGTTTAATGTTTTGGTTGGTGCAGCCGGTATAAAAGTTGATGCGAGTGCGATCTACTAAAGAGCCGAGTGTATTGAACCCGGCGCAATGTCAGCCTAGGAGTTCGATGCGTCACCGATTTCGTTCGGCCGATCCGAGCGGGAGAATTCCACGCGACAAAAGGCGCAGTGTCCGCAAACGACGCATAAATAATTAGACAATAAGCAAGCAAGGCAAGAAATCAGTAATTTGTATCGCGTCGAGATAGGCGGAGCGGTGAGGGGGGGAAGGTTGGAGGAGGCGCGCGCCGCCGCAGCGCGGAGATATGGCAACGCGTCAGGTGGAAATGGCGCCGAGCTGCTCTCCGCCGAGGACAACCGACCGCCCCCACCCGTCCTCTCGAACCCCCTCCCCACTCCACCAACGAACCCACCGCTAATCCTCACCCGAATACAATCTGATAAAATTCGCGCCAGCTATAAACGTTACGCAAAGCGACTCCACACTACAACGCAACGATAATGAATGACCCGACCGCTTGTTAATACCCAAACATTCTCACTATCATATTATGCCGCAGTATAGTGCCGAACACGGCCGTAAGAATGTAAGTAATAAGAAAGTTATTTCCTCGACCTGGCAAAACTAGTCTTGCGAACGCATTACGGTCTACGTTACGGCCAGGTGAATTTAAAATGACCTCTATGGGCCGGTGGCTTCTTGTGGCCTCGCTTGCCGAATGCGATGACATTTTGTGGGTTAGCAACGCGAAATGACTCCACCGTTGGGAGTCCGATGCCAGGATGACTAACGGGTGAGCGTCATTATCCGACTGTGGATTGATTGTACCGTACAAGAAATTTAACGCAGTAGATCGATTCCATACCCATATCACACTAAGGCGATTTTTGTATATCAACGTACACTGACGATAACTGGACCGTTTGGTATCGTGGATTCAGGTATATAAGAACCACACACATTCTCTAACATGAACTTACACCATACAATGCAGTAATATTATCATGATAATCACAATGATTTCGAAAGAAAAGTACCTACGAGTTCTTTCATCAATGTAAAAGTGACTTACCAAGGCGAAGAAGTTTGTGTGGCAATCCTCGAGGCTAGCACCGTTTGTTTGGTGATTTTGATGCGTCATGGTAGTCCAGGGCACTTCATTTTCATTTCACAACACTAAAAACGGGTTCAATCTTAAAGAAACCACTCAAAATCTTAAAATCATCACCGACATTTAGTGAAGTTTTCACCTTTCAATGGCGACTGGAAAATGGCGGATAGGAAACAACAACCCAAGCCGATAGTGCTGCCAGTGACGGTAGAAATATGTACTATTTTCGTCCAGAAATATTCCAACGTTCTGTTTTAAGATTGCACGGTCATGATAGTAAAAAGCACATTTTAAAATATTAATTTTCTTTTATCACCCCCATTATTTTTTTAAATAAACTAATAAGAAAAATTAACAAAACTAAATTACTTTGTATCTGCATATCGTAGTTATGTTTAAGGAATTTTAGAAGTTATGTATCTTATAAAACTGTGTCATCTTCTTCAGTGCGTAAAACGAAAACGAATGACATTTGTAATGTCAATAAATCTGATGTGTATTTAAACATTTAGAAGTGGAATAATTTTAACCTTTTACTAATAATTAAAAATTTATTGCTTTCAAAATAACTAAACTGCTAAAGTTAAAATGTTAAGAAATGCTTTAATAAGTTTACCACGAGCAAATTTTCAGGTTATGTTTAATCATGTACATTTACTTTACAGTTTTAGTTTACTCTTAGGTTTTTTTAAGAATTTATTCTCATTTTCCCCATTGTTTTACTTTCAGATAATTGTTATAAGGAATGTACAGAAACGATACCCTAAAGTTGACAAAAAGTTACAGGCTGCTGCTGAATCTTTAGCCGCAAGAGGGTATAAAATAACCTTAATTATTTGTAGTACAAAATGTTTATCCAAAAAATAAACTAATTATAAGCATACCAATTTTTGTCGTATTGAAATTATTATTGTTTGAGATTAGCAAGTTTATCGGTCTAAACGCTATTTTTTAAATGAAATAATAAATTTAAGAAATATTATTCCAGATTTCTACGACCAAATAAACCCTGGGAACCCCCAGCAAATATAAATGAAACCATCCTTAAAATTTGTGTAGACCATGGTCTTAAGTCCGATTCAGAGTTTGAAAGTCTTGATGTTAAATTTAATGTCTTGAAAGCATGTTTTGATGAAACTGGATATGGTGTTCCAAATTCTCTACTGCACACTATAGAATGTGTTGGTAAGTTTTAAAATAGATGAGGATAATTAATACTTAATAAACTTTAGACTTAACTAACTCTATAATACTTATGTATTGAAGCTAATGATCCTAATGACCTTTCGCTAGTAACCAAATCTATTTGTAGATAGAATATTGAAACCAACCGTTAGACAGATAATTCATTTCTTTTGAACAGAATGATTACAAAAAACAATCCTCAATTTAAGGGCAATCTTTAATATTAATAAAAATATTTGTAATTATTTATATTGAAAAAATAGGGGATTTTAAATATTTTGTTTCTTCTGACTTTGTGTTTCAGAGGACCTACAGGTATTTTATGAAACACCTGTTAATGTCTTAACTCCATTTGATGCTTTAAAGAAGATGGAATTACCAAAGAATTTGCATGTACAAGAAGATTATGTTCGCTTTCATCCTGGTAAATATACATTTTTATTGTAAATAACCATGAAAAATATAAGTAGGATAATTTTTATTTATAGTGCCAATTTGCACATAAAATTAAATCTAAATGTATATTTTAATAAATGTTGTGAAAGAATTTTCTGGTGCTGTTAGATGTAAAATTGCATCTTGTAGATTACGCATCCAGTGTAGGTTCAAATCCTGCACCATGAAAATTAAAATTATAAACTATTTTGTGCTGATCTGATGCTGATAAAGTAGAGACATGTATTTTGTTGTTAAATTGAGCCAGCTGGTCTTAATATTGAATATTCTTTTTTCCATTATTACTTTAATTTATGTGAAGTTATGTACTTTCTTTTCTACTTATATTCCACAGACAAAGATACCTTATTCAATGGACTGTCTGCATACCCCAAGAGCTCTACCATTGTTTCTGGCTTGAAGACGAGAAAGAAGTATGAAGGTTATTCTGCCAAGACTACCTGGCCCTAGATTAAGTTAGAAACTCAGCATGAATGTAGATATTATAGAATAACAACAAAATAAATTTAATGCTACTTTATAAGACTTCACTTATTCCAAGTTGTATTACCGAGTTTTATGTACCCATATTGAATTAATTATGTAAATTTTAACTGAAACAAGAAGGAAGTTAATGTTATACAACTAAAAACATAACCTGTGATGCTTAGAAGCTTGGCACTGATTGAAAAAATTATTACTTCATTACTCTTAAACACAAGTCTTAAACATTCAGAAGTCATCAATGATCTATCAGTAGTCTTGTGTACTTCACTAACTATGTACGAATAGGAAATGTATCTTTGTACTGTACTATTAGAAACATCTCCAAATGCTAACTGTTAATCGGTCGAATGGCTCCTACCGCTACCTGTGCTAGTCGTACCGAACGAATCGAATGCAAGTGAGAGAGAGAGTTGATTGGTGACCGCTGACCAAGTAGAATGCGTATATTGGAAATGAGTGGTTAAATTGAGACTATAGAGATTTATGTTGTATACCAATGCGATAACGACTATTTTAGCTTAATTATGCGAAAAGTCGGCAGACTCGGGTCTACGTCTATGTGATAAGTACAAGTGTTATAAAAAAAACAAGTCAAACTTTGAGAATGTAAGATAGTTAAGGTTAATATAGTTAAAATTAATACACTATCTTTGATGTGTGAATAGCCTTAAGTTTTGGAAAATAATTTTTCTTGAACCTTAACTTCGGGTGGTGGACTGAATCTAATGTCAAAAGTCTACACTGAAGCTAGATGTCTTTGTGAGTGTGCTACAGTTCTTCTCACCAGAAAAGTTTGTAACCACGTACAAATGACAATTCCAGGCATATTTGGAAATTTCATAATTGACTAAGCAGATATGGCAATGATTTATGTGCTCACTTTCATTTTACTTTTGGATTTTAACATACCAGCAGGCATAAAAAGGATTATAGGAATCATTAACAAACATAGAAGACATATACTCATATACTCCAATATATACATATAATAATAAACCGGCCAAGTGAGAGTCGGACTCGCGCATGAAGGGTTCCGTACGATTATATATAAAAACGGCAAAAAAGTCATGTCTGTTGTATGGGAGCCCCATTTAAATATTTTTTATTCTGTTTTTTTTTTAGTATTTATTGATATAGCGGCAACAGAAATATATCATCTGTGAAAATTTCAACTGTCCAACTATCACAGTTCATGAAATACAGCCTGGTAACAGATGGACACCTTACCTGTCTGTACATGAGGGTTATGTGGGGTTCTTACCCACTAAAACCACCACCTTCTGTACATTTGGAGGGACTCCGGTGTCCCTCGATACTACACCTGAGCACGCCTCGGAGAAGGATAAACCTTCTCCGTTTCCCTCACCCTCTTGCAGCAGCACGAGACTACTTCGTGATGCTGCCCAACCGTGTCCTCTTTTAGTCGCCTTTTACAACAGGCTGGGGATACCTTAGGCCTATTCTATGAGGCCGGTACTACAGGGCTGTGGGTGCGGAAGCCTAAAAATAAACCGTTTTGACACTTCAGATATAGTTTTGAGGTCAATCTTCTATGTATATCTTCTGTCATATGTAATAACACCTTGGCTGCGGCACATAAAATCGAAAACCATAATCTGGTGCGGCGGCGGGTCGAAATATGCCCCAACAATATTTTTGTGAGTACGTGGCGGGTCTTTCTCGACCAACCAGCACTGGGTAGATTAAAATGGTAAGTATAACATTGCAAAAACATGACTTGAAAATATTTTATATTGTTACAATGACCTTCTTCGTTAGGTTCGATTCGCACCTGGATCTGGTAAACAGGACATAAGCATGAGACAGAAAAAAAGGAAAGTGTCGATATTGACATCAACCGCTCTAGAATGTATTTTTAACAGTGATGGGACGGACAAAAATAAGAAGATATCTCTACTAATATTATAAAACTGAAGAGTTTGTTTGAACTTGCTAATCCCAGGGACTACTGGTCCCCTTCCGACCGGGTTCACGCCTTTACGTGGCGGAAGGGTTTAGTAGCCATGGCTTGGCCACCCACGGCGAAGCTAAAAGGAACCCATACTGGGCTGGGCTGTGGCGTAAGGCCAGCCTGAGAGGGCCGCTCCGATTATTAAGTCCACTCTGGATGCTTGCTGGAGAGGACAGGTCGCGGGTGACAGAGGAGGAGCCACTTTCCCTGTCTTCTGCTACCGAGGAGGAGTCGTGGGAGAAGAGGAGTATTGGTATTGCGTTTGGCCGCTCCCGCTCGAGGGTAGAGGAGTGTCCGTATTTTTATGCACCGTTCTCCTTACACTCCACATCCAAAACTTGGAGAGTGGTGGAGCCACAGACCAGGTCCGCGGCTGGGGGCTGGGAGGCTTGCTGCTTATTACACGCTCTCCTGGTTCCCATGGCCTCTGGTCAGCGAACTCAATGGAGGGCTAAGTATGAAGGCGTGCTGAATGTATCTGGAAGAGAGGGGAAATTCTCCCCGAGAAGGGGCTGCTGAGGCGGTAAGCGTTGGCAGGGTCACGGAAGTGTGCAAAAGCGTTCCCGTGGCCCAGGCGATATGCGCCTATGTGGGACACCTAGGTGGAGGTTTTAGTTGGCCATGTAATTAGCGACGCTTTACCACGCTTGATTGTCGCTACGTTTGTGGTGTTTTCACTGATTACTGGTTCTTGACACTTATTACATGAAATACAATGGTTTTCATTGTTACTAATTATAAATCATTTTTAATTTCTAGACGCATTATGTTATGTCATTTTTGATGTTTGTACAAATTTCAAGATTTCAAGGTTATTGGACGAAAAGACGTCTGAAATAGATGATTGAATTGGTTGTTTATTAATCAATATTTTGGTGATAAATAAGGGAAATGTAATAATTATACTAAAATGAGTGTCCTGCTTATACTTTCGTTAATTGTCATAGCAGTTTATATTTGTGTTTCATGGTTAGTATAATTTTGCCTTAGTCCTTAATCAAAACAAACAACTATTGTTTTGAAGAAAACGAAATATATGAAACAGTTTTTTAAAATATTTAATGAATTATTATTCCGCCTCGTTTTTAAATTATATTATTTAATTTCATTTAAACTATCGGCAATTATTAATGACACATAATACTATCTACAAATATTGCAAATGTTAATATTTACAATATAATGTATTTTCAACATGCATCCAGTAAATAGTATTTTGTTATGTTTATCGTTGACTTTAAGTATTACATTTTAAAGACAATTTTGACTTATTTAGTTATTCCAATAAATTATTTATGTATGGTATATATTATTTTTTGTTATAGGTTACTGCCAACTCTATTGGCATGGTTGTTCAAAAGGAAGTACCATATCAAATTGAAAATAGGTAGAATAGCAGTACCAAAGCTAATTCTAAGAGATGTCAGTTTGTCTAAGGATGGATATTCTGTAGTAAGTTAATAATTTTAAAAATGCACAATATATCAAGAATGGTTAAATAAATTGATTATATTATTGTACTTTATATTGTTTTTAAATTCCTGAAGTTTTGTACTATTTACAGAGCTTATAGTTATGGGGCAAATGCCCACAGCATGCAATAAAATTTGTAAAATAATTTTATTTTACCATGTGTAGTATTTGTGTTAAAACAAGAAATCATTAATTAATAAAATTAATATCTAGCAATAATTCAATAAGCAATAATTCATAGTAACCACAACTTTAAAAAAACAAAATAATAAATAATCACATCACACATTACAACTTAAATTCCATTATTTTTAATTTGTCTTCATTTCCCCTTTGCTCAACAGCAGGAAAAATATTTTATATAAAATAAAATAACTATGGGGAGCCTAATTTGTTCCTTTCTGTTGGTTACTAATAACTAGATTTTAACATAACATAGTGGTATTATTACACCTGGTAATTACTATGTAAAAAAAGAGTAAAGTAACAGCCTATACATGTCCCACTGCTGGGCAAAGGCCTCCTCTATACAAAGTGTATCAGGGCATAGTCCACCACGCGGCCCCACTACGGATTGGCGGACTTCACATATTTTCGAAATATTATTTTTTTGTTATTATTTCGAAAATATGCAGGTTTCCTCACGATGTTTTCCTTCGCAGCGGAGCACGTGATAAGTCAGCACTTAAAGTTAAAAACTTCATTGGTGCCGGATTGGTTCATTGATCGCAAATTTATTAAATATCTAATTCGGTAAAAAAATTTCAGCACATTGGTGAAGTATCTTTTCGGAGCAGCTTTTTTAACTCAGACATCAATAAACTGGTATCTGTAGTCATAAATAAGATTCAAATAACTAACAATGCGGAAGAAAAGAGAAGTGCAGTTGTGGAGTCTATCCTTAAACCATTGTTATCAAAGCAGAATTCCACTAAAACAGACGGACTTGATGAAGATGCTACTGAATCCCAAACAATTAATAAAGAATTGGAAAATTTAATTAAAAAGAAATTGTTAGATTTTCGAGATAAGAAGTTACCGCCAAGTCTGATTATGTTTGCTCAGGTATGTAATGAAGAAAATCCTCCAGCCTATGTTTTATATGTGTTTATTAAATATATACCAGATGCAAAGTAATTCTATTTTATAATGTAAGGTAAAATATAAGGTTTATACAGCGTGTCGTTACCATCGCGACAATAAATGAACACACATATAGGGGATAACTTTTTAAAGTTGTATTAAACATTTGAATTTTTTAAACATCAATATTTACAGGGTTATTAAATTTTCCAAATCAAAGAATTTTAGCACACCCTTACCTATAAAAGCGTAACGTAAAGTTCATTTGTAAAGGTCACAAAGCATATGAATGGGTTGAATGAATTTAAAAGAGACAAAACATACTGTTAGAAGGAGAGCGAGAGGAGAAGCTTGTAATACGACTCTGTGGCGCGAGTTGTATAGGATGTTACAAATTTTGTTTCTTTTTTACTTAATCACTTTGTTTGAAAAGTATTTTTTTTTATTATGGATTTTGTTTAACGTTAATATTTTTTTATGATTATTGGCAAGTAGCGTTAGACGTGTGTTCATTTATTGTCGCGATGGTAACGACACGCTGTATATGTGCAATTGAGTCTGATCAATGACTATTAAGCATTAAATAAAATACCATACAGTTTAAACTATAGTGATCTAAGACTATTGTCATGAATTGTTATTTACATGATGTGTGCAAAATATTTTACACTCTTTATTAAGCAGATACAATTGACAGCAAATTTCATTTATTTAAACATTACTAGTACTAAGAGTACAAAGCCTGTTTCTAGCCATGGCGCAGATGTAAATAGGATGTTTTATTAATATAAATATATTTTATTCAAATTGATTAATGAGTGATTAGCTAAAACGTTAAAATATTAAAAAGAGCAATATCGTCATTGCAGAAATGGTGATTGATTTTCGGTGAGGTGCTCAAAAAAAAATAAATTAAATTGTATCCATTTAAAGTTGGAGTATTTACCGCCAGCAATGTACTTTGACTATGTGGTAAAGGTCCATTGATATTCATTTCCTACCTGTATGTTCTTCTTCTTCTTTGATTAATGGCCTCTCTTAAAAGAATTCTGCCAATGTTATGTCAGTCATGGGAGTCACACTTATTGATAAGTTAACAAAAAAACGGTACTTCCGAATCAACAAAAAGAACAAAAAAAAAGACATTTATTATCCCATTACCAAAGTTAGTTTATAGACTTATATTATTAATACATATAAAGTTACACAAGATATTTATGAACGGAGTTAAAACCAAGGTTAATAAATAAGGCCCATTTACAGGACGAGGAGTGTTATAATGAATTTCTAAGCTTGGGCTTTCTAAGCAATCAAATAATATAGTCGTGTGTTCCAGTTCATGGGCGTGCACGTGATGGACGCGTCGCTGACGGTGGCGAGCGGCGACGCGCGCCGGCCGTGGGCGGTGGAGGCGGCAGCGGGGGAGGTGCGCGCGGACGGGGCGGCGGGGGGGCCGGCGCGCGCGCTCGCCTTCTGCGCCAGCGCGCTAAGGCTGCGCCTCGCGTGCCCGGCCGCCGGGCTGCTGGAGGCCGCCTGCTCGCTGCACGTCGAGGGCACCGTCAAGGCGGACGGGCCGCTCAACGTCGAGGTGCTAACTCTCAACGCTTACGCTGCAAAGTAACAGCCTGTAAATGTCCCACTGCTCGGCACAGGCTTCTTCTGTACAGAGGGTATGGGGTAGTCCACCCGCTACCCCGCTGCGGATTGGCGCACTTCACATATATTCGAAATGTTTTTTTTTATATTATTTCGAAAATATACAAGTGTCATCACAATCTCCTTCTTCTTCTTCTTTTAGTTGTGGTATGATCATGCAGCTTCGGCTGTCGCACTAATGGGCAGGCTCGTCGAGGGAAGTACCACGGACTCGGCTAAGGCCGGTGGGAAGTGGAAGTATGACACTTGCGCGTTTCATCTGGTGAATGAGATAGCCGGGGCCCACTTATTTTAAAGGTTGTCAACGAATCTGCAAACCCTCAAATATGACATATATCGTGGGCGGCGGAAACGGGTAATGCTAAAGTATAATACTTACATTTCACGTTTGTCTTTTGTAAGATCTTGATATTTCAGCTGCTTAAGTATAGAATGCAATAATATATTTTTTATCCCCGTTGATTCCTATCAATATTGAAGCCCTTGGCTATAGATAAATTATAAGGAAAAATTTTTCACCTTCCACCTTATTAACCCATCCACTTTTTTGCCACAACAAGAAATAATTTTAAAAGTGGTACAAACATTTTACAACAGTGCTTGTGATACAAATAAAATGGTTATGAATAACTCTTTTATTTACAGAAAATTCACATAGCTATCAGCAATCCAACAATTTCATTAGAAGATGAAGTATATCCTTTCATACAAAAGTTGAAGAAAATGAAAACTCCACAACCCAAACAAGTTATATGCAGTGATGACCACCTTAGCACACTGATTCCCAGACTTTCTCCTATTATACCAAAGGTAATTTATGATTCACTACAATGTAATTAAATAAAGTTATATGACATATACTCTGTGTTTAAAATACATATAATTATATTTACAGATTTTTAGTTTGAAAATCGATAAAACGACTATTAGCACAGGAAATAAAACAAGTACGACTACTCTGCAAAGCTTGCAGGTAAAAGGGACATTATTATATTTAATTAATATTTCAATTAAAACATGTAGAAAAAGTACGAAAAGATTGTCGCCGCTGTGGGAATCGAACCCACGTCTTCGGCATTCGTGGCCTGACGATCTAGCCACTGAGCTAGACGGCTGATAGCCACAGCGACGTAAATCTTAACGCCTTCTTTCTACATTGTTATTTTTAGTATTTGAAGCAATGCTTGGCGCATCTATTTTTATATCCTTTCCAGCATACAAACAACTTCGAATATCGTTTTACAACGATAATCCGAACGAGAGATGTCGCCATTGCTTTTTATAAATTTTAAAGTTTTTTTTTTTAGTTAATTCTGCATAGTTAAAACTGGGAATCGAACCCACGTCTTCGGCATTCGCGGCACGCTCTAGCTAGAGCTTGAAAGCCTTCTTTCAATCTTAAGTGCAGAGATTAGCACTATAAAAAAAACTTTAAAAATATTTCAATTGTTAATTTGTTTGAAAGACGAATGCAGTTGTTAAACTATTTTCCTGATGATCAGTAGTTATAGCTGGTGATACTAATTACAACATTAGAAGTAAAGCAGGTGTGGTACTTGACTTTTAAAAAAGATATAGAATGCAATTGATAGTTCAAAAGGTTGTTATATCACAAGTTGATGTCACTATCAGGTGTCGAGCATCGTAAAAATTCACGTATCATTTTTCCCAAATGCACCAAAAGAAATATAAGATCAAAAATGAAAAATGACGTCATAATCGCAGGTTAACTCGAGGTTCAGTGCTGCACTGGTGGAGGGTGTGGGTTCAGGCGTGCCGCAGGTGTACGTGGCCTTCCAGGCTGACCAGCTGCAGCTGGCCACCGGTCAGGGCACTATATTCTTTCTTAACAAGCTCAAGCTGGATGCGAAGGTTCGTGCTCAGCAAATACTAGTTACTCAAATTAATTTTTACAAAATAACTTTATATTAATTAAGAAGCATTAACTAAATCATGCAAATTAAGCCACTGTAATACTTTGTAATATATAGACAGTCTCTGATTTTGATTTATTTTAAATATGGGACGGTGGCAAGCTAGCGGGCGGTTCAACTGATGTTAAGTGACAATCGCCGCCCATGAACACTTGCAAAATCCGTAGTGTAGCAGATGCTTTGCCACCTTTCAATAAAGTGGGCCCTGGCTACCTCATTCACCAGACGAAACTCAGAATTATAACACTTCTACTTATAGTCCCTGGACGAGTTGAGAGAGTCTGTAAAAACAAAATTAACCATTTTTTTGAATTTGAATTGATTACAATAAATTTATTAAATAATTTGATTTTTGTATCAATAAAGGTACTTGCGAAAGTTTTTATAACCAGCATCCGATTATTTAGTAGTAGTTATTGTCATATTATAATTATATTCTATTCTATAATTGTATTCTGTTACCTTATGTTTATAAAAATTGTTTCAGCTGGAGAAAGGGGTGCTGAACTTATACTTGATAATTAGTACACTGAAGGTGTCATACAATCATGAACTTATATTTAAATGGTATAGCTCGATTCTACAAGCTAAAAACAAATCAAAGCCCATGCAAGTTACAGAAGAAAGCTCATCAAGTTAGTATTTTAAAACCAACTTTTTACATTGTTGTGAGTCAAATTAAGTTTAAACAAATGTCTGAAACAATATTAATAATATCATATTATACTTTGCAATATGGTGAATATAGATAGGTCATGTATATCATGTTCAGCCAACCTTTTTAAATGGAAAAGTTTTAGACTTTATTGGTCAAATGTGACAACAGTTCTAGTCTAATTAATATAATAGTTGTAAAATTTAAAAGTATATTTGTATGTTTAGTAACATCTGCTCAGTTACTCAAATAACTTTCGGGGGGAATTAATTTGGAAGTTTTTAATTTGTGGTTTAAGTTTGTTTTAAGGTTTTGTGTTTTGTGTGGAAGGGTTTTGGCTGTAAGTCCCAATGACCACAGCTACCTAGAAGATCTTTTATAGTCCCTTTGAAAGTTTTACATCCATAGAGAATGACATAAGTTTTAAGTGGACAAACGGCTAGATCCGAAACAATAACCTGTGGTTCAAACGATTATGTGTTTTGTGTGGGAATCGAACCTACGACCCCCGGCGCCGAAGCCATACCTTGGCAACTGCGCCCCGGAGAAATTAACGGGGTGCTGCTATTGCAATTCTGTGTTCATTTCCATCGGAAATCGAAATCATCGATTAATTTGTGTGGTTCATCAGGCGGCGAGCCGTCTGCGTGGCTGCGGCAGGCGCTGGGCAGCTGCGTAGTGCAGGGCTGCGCCGAGCTGCGCGCCGTGGCGGTGCTGGCCAGGCGCGCCGCCCGCCGCCCGGCGCTGGCCTTCGGCTGCGGCGGCCTCAAGGTCAAGCTCGACCAGCTGCTCGACACCAGGGGTAATACACGCACGTCATTCTTTCTTACACATAAATATTTTTACCAAATGTCCTAAACCAAGCAAGGCTTGAACTACGGATTGGGGATCGAACCAACACCGTCTGGTGTAGGAGACAGGTCCACTATCCACTACGCCAATCGTCGAACGTTACGGCATAAAACTTATTTCTACATTGGTGTTGAAAGAAGACTGCATAATCATGGTGTGCCGCAGAGGAGGCGTACAAATCGCTGGTGGCGCAATTAGTGGTGGGCGCGCGCCACTGGAGCGCCGAGCTGCTGGTGGACTCCGGCTGGGCGGGCGCAGCGCGGGAGCCCCCGCCGCGGCGCCACCACAGCTGGCGCTCCGCCCTGCTGGCCGTGGCACTCGTCAAGTGCGGCAGCCACGGCCCCCACGACTGCAAGGTGACGCGCGCGCCCTCTGCCCCCCTCTTCCCGTTCCCGCTTACGGCACACGCCGATGCTGGATCATCAAGTGATAATATCACTCACACCTGGAACGTACTGGTCTCATGAATCAGTGATTCATTATTGTCTTCCACGTAACCAAACGAATCGTTCCCAATGAGAAAGTGAAGTTCACAGTAAACATTTGAAGGCAAATTTTGGACGGAACGATTGTATCCTATGCTTTGTGTGTTAACTGAGTTAAATTCAAAAAATAAATACCTCGCCTATTAGTAAAATAAGAGTATGATTTTAATACGATTGTGGTCCGAATAGTACTAAAAACAGCAACCCCGTGTGATGTGTCCGAGAGAGCAGTTTATAGTATTCTTAGTGAACAAAGGGGTTTTAGATGACGTCGTAGAACTCGCAGAAGAAAATTCTTTTATGATAAAAACTAACAAATATATTAGTTATAGTGATAAAGATATGATATTAATGACTTTATTTTCATTTTTGAAGTTAAACTTTAAAAAAAATTTGTTTGTATTCTGACACAACGGTGAATTCATCTTTACTCAGTTAAAGACCGTTGTGTTTAGAGGGAGTTGCATTGACGACTCACTGCGTTGTTAGCGAACAGACGGTAGCATTTCGACTTGGTGCATTAAAACGAGTGGTCGCGTGACGCGGCAGGTGGAGGCGATGATGGACTGCCTGCGCCTGGAGTGGAGCCCGCAGATCGCCGAGGCCGCCGTCGAGCTGGCCGAGTGCCTGGCCGACTACCGGCCGGGGGCGCCCCCCGCGCCGCCCGCCCCTCACGCCCCTCCCCGCCCCGCCCCCGGCGCCCCCGCCGCCGTGGCCGTCAACGTGGCGCTGTCGCACATCAACCTGTTCCTCGTGGTCAGCGAGCGCGTGTGCCTGATGGCGAGGGTCGACGCCGTCACCCTGGAGAAGAGCGCCGCCAAGACAGGGGCGCTCGTTTCAGGCCTGAAAGTGGTCGAAATGGTGCCCTACAAAGGTGACTGTTGGCTGTTGGTGCGTTTTACGTAAATGTATGGGGAACGATCCTCGGACGCCCTGATCATCGTGGAAATTAACTAATCAGCTGATAAATGGATTTTCAAAGCTCGTTTTGGTTGCCAAAAGATGGTTAAACTTCCTGAATTGATCAGAATGACCTTCTCAATGAACAGAATGATCAACTCAAAGAGTTTACCATTTGTCAGCTGATTAGTTGATCAGTGTTTCAAAAGCCGGGCGTCAGGATCTCAATAAGGATTGGGAAGATTGAAAGTTTTTAATAGATAAATGTTTCATACGGTCAGTTTCCACCAAGTTGACTGGAAATAAGTCAAGTCAAACTGTGGCAGGGCCACGCAACAGTCTTTACTGTTGGAAGAATGGACAGGTTCGTCCGGTCAATTAACACGACGTCACAGAAGACCGGAGTGAAGTGGAAATATATAACAATTCCACTTTCGCGTTTCGTTTGTTGAGTGAAGTAGCCGGGTCAACTTTATTTGCGGGACGTTGCAAATATCAATGGGCGGCGGTTGTCACAGGTGAACCGCCAACTCGTTTGCCACCTTCTCACATAAACAAAAGTGTTATGTATGTTAAATATATATGTTATATGTGTTTAATTGTTGAAATAACTTTATTCTCAGGTAACGTCCAATGCCATAGGTCAGACGAGATCGGTTCCTCGTTCTTCCACGTGCGCTTAGCGAGGGTCGAGCATGTGCCTCGCAGGGAGAGGAACTCGGCCCTCCTCGACTTCCAGTTCCTGGAGGCCGTCGACTTTGAGTGGAGCGCCAACATGCACCTGAAGATACTCACCTTCTTCAGGGACCTGAGGGAATTTAGGAAGGAGTGGGATGCGGCGATCACTAGAGGGCTCGTGAGCCACGTGCCGCGGAAGGTGGACATCGCTAGAGACTGGAGGGTGTCTTTTAAGGGCGACACGAATCTGATGCTGCTGTTGTCGGAGGAGAACAATATGCTGTTTTCGACTGGTAAGCAATCTACTAAAAGGGGTGTCGATTTTACTGCCCACGGTATACAGTAATTTCAATATTAAATATATCATTTGGAATGTACTTGACGCGCCTAGGTTAATAGTGTTCGTTCAAACTCGCCGAATATAATACATTCTTAAGGAATAACTTGGCAATTAACTTAACGTGTACTTTTACATTCGATGGTGAGCACCACGGCTTCAGGATATTTTGCGATTTAATCGCGACGCATACTAAAATCGAGGGAACGTTTACGAAAAATCGAATAGCGAAAACAATAAAAAAAGTTGAGAATTGATCGTTTACGAGGAAACTAAATAATAGTTTCAGAAATTGCAATTTAATCACAAGGCATACTAAACTAACGTCGAAAAATCATATCACGAAAACGATAAAAAAAAATCATTGAACGAGTATTAATTGTTTACGAGTTCACAAGATTTACGTAAAGAACAATGACCACTTCCCATACATTTAAAAACCTGATAATGAAAGTGTATGTATAGTTACAAGGTATAGCAGAAAGACTACCTTTAAGTTAGTAAATTAATATCATATAGTCATTTTTACGATTGCTGGTCTACGAAGTCCAAAAATTTTTAAAAAATGTTACTTTTTATGTTAGGATTTGCAGTTACCTAATATAACGAAATAAATGTGCTAGAACTAACTATTTACGCTCAAGTTTATTCTAAAATAATAATATTAGCCTATCTAAGGTCTAAAACGTCTTTTTTACTTGTGAATTCCTAGAAACCGACTGCCCTTACGTGACTGCTTAAACTCGATTATTGTCAGAGTCAGTCTATAAATTGAGTGAAGAGCATTATCTGCTGTTTCAACAGCTCACATAAGTACTTACTAAAAAAACGTAAGTTAAAAGGGATCATTTATCTGCTCTACACATTTCATTGGCCTGCATTACAATACATAATAATCGATGATTATAATACCTGATGAATAAAACGGGGGAAAAAATAAAACACTATGTTACAGTGGAATGCTTCATTAATCATCATTTTTCATAATCATCTTCACTTAAATGTCTTATAACTATGTTATCCAGAAATTCTGCTATAACAGAGATATTTTCTTGATAGTTCATCCGAAGTACCACACTAGTCATAACATGAGTGCAACATCCTGTGGTTCACCAACCAACTAAACAATTACAACAATATTCAACTATACTAGCTCTGCCAGACTCATTATTTTCTATTAAAATGTAGACATAATATTGTTTTCTTTAAATGTGCCAGGACTTAATTTTTCCTTTTATTAGTGTTATGTCACCACTTCCTCTCAGATTATTGCTAGAAAACTCCTGTGTCCCTACATATTTCTATTCTATATGATCCATGGAAGCGAATATGTTCGCCATAATAGGATTTGGCTTGCCTTTTTTGGTACCTAATGCAAATAGTATAAGTTCACTAATAACTTAATCTCAGAAACAAAAAAAAATAAATTATCTTCAGTAGTAGAAACACCACAAACTTCAGCAACATGCCTAATATGTGTGGCAGCACTCTTACAACTCATCCAGCATGAATGGCATATTCTATCAGATGATGATATCTACAAAAAAAAACTATCTACAAAAGAAGTAATAAAGCAATAATTATTATTCATCTAAAAATATATTAAAAAAAATATATTATGTATTTATTTGTGGTTAAAATTATTGCAGCATCAGTCAATTAATAACAGATATAATAATTTACATCTAAAATACAAAAGAGAAATAATCTAGAGTAATAGTATCAAGTTTTATACTGGCAAATGATTAACAATGTAGAAACATGAATATGTGATGTTGTGAACTTGTTTGTATAATAGCATTTATCTGTCTTTGCTTTTCTGAAGGATTATCAAAAACTGTGTTCTTCGACTTGGTTGAGATAATCCTGAAGCTTGGGCAACATCACAGCTTGTTAATTCCTGGTTTATTCTTCTCATAACTAGTTCATTACAAGATTTACAAATGTAATCTTCCTCAGTAATCTGAAATAAAAAAAACATATATTGAGTTTATAATACATATTTTGGATGTATAGATCTTTTGAACAGTTGTTTTTGTTATGTCACAGGTATAATTTATAGAAGCTTTGTTAGTTCGATTAGGACATGATTGATATTTTTAGATTAAAAATAATGAACATAAATTACGTCAGCCGTGCGAACTTTATTACATGCTGCATTAATTATTATTTTATTTTTAATAAATCTGTACTACTACTAAGATTGATCTTAATTTTTATACAAATACTGTTAATTATGTGCTTACTCACTTCTCTAAAACGTAAAATCACGTACAAAACTCAGAAAAATGTGAATACAGTCAAGTAGGTAGTGTGAAAAATGGAACGTCCTATGCAAAGGATTGTTAAGGTGCGTTCAAAACATAGTAATATGTTTACCCTTGAAGTAAAATAAGCGTAAAGAGGTATCAAAAAATATTTTTTTTCCGACCTTCTTTTAACATTGTGAAATTAGCTAAATTTTAATATTTATTTCACTTCTATACACAATCAGGTCAAAAATGGGCATTGTTCTTTCCTTTTACGAAATTTCTCTCACAATACTTTTTGCGTGTATCAATCGCAGAGGACATGACGGTGGGCTACGCCCACGAGGCGGGGCTGTCGGTGGCGTGGGGCCAGCTGCGGGCGGCGCTGAACGGCGACGAGCTGGTGACGGTGGACGCGTTCGGCATGGAGCGCGCCCGCGACGACCCCGGCGTGCGCGTCGAGCGCAAGGCCAGCGAGGGCTTCGTGCTGCCCTGGAACAGGGTGTGGTGCGTGCCCGGGCCGCTCTGCGCGCCGTGGGAGAAGGCGGGGACGCCCGGTTCCTATGTTGACAAAACGAGGCGTTATGAGAGTTACGAAGCTGTGTAACTAACACATCAACCGAATATGGGAACCGGGCGTTAGTGCTTTTCTCATATAAGTCCCTTGGCGCACATCGCTCACGCCGGTCAAGGGTTCAGTGTACAAATCTAGCAGTGTAAACCATCGGAAACGATGATGGTGAAACGAAAAATTTAAATTTAAAAAAATTGTAAAAGAACGTTTGTGTGTTAAAGACTACTATAATATTAATGATTATTTAAATGATAACACACTCTGGTAATGAACTGATCGCTCCAGGCTCTTTCAATCGGAGTTCTTATATTGTATTTTTAATGAATTTATGTCAAACTGCTTATTTAAAAAAAAACCCGCTGAGTTTCTTTCGCCGGTTCTTCTCAGTACAGTGGCTTTCTTTTCCGTACCGGTGGTAGTGTTTTGACTATCAATAAGTGGGTGTAATGCTCCTATGTTGAATAAATACATTTGATTTTGATTTTGTTTATTTGTCATTTGGATGAGTGAACGATTCGATATTTGTCGCAGGTCCGTGAACGTGGGCTCGGTGCGCGTGATATTCCCGTACAAGCACCGCTTCGCCGAGGCGGTCCAGGGCGACCTGGTGTCGCTCTTCAAGTGGCTGAAGGTCGTGCACGGCGTCGAGAGGAAACCCTTCACGGCCGACAGCCCGCTGCCGAGCGACCTGCACATCAAGGTCGGCTCAACTATCTTCTATAATAATAATAATAAATAATAATAATAATAATAGTCATAATACATAAAAACAATAAAGTCGTCCCGCTGTCTATCCGTCCCTATATATGCTTAGATCTTTAAAATTACAAAACGGATTTTGATGCGGTTTTCTTTAATAGATTATATGCATGATACACTGCACCCGCGCGAAGCCGGAGCGGGTCGCTAAATATACATATATATACAGCGTGTCTTTACAATCGCGACAATAAATGAACACACATATAGGGGATAACTTTTTAAAATTGTATTAAATATTTACATTCTTTAAACATCAATATTTACAGATTTATTAAATTTTCCAAAACAAAGAGTTTTAGAACACCCTTACCTATAAAAGCGTAACGTGAAGTTCATTTGTAAAGGTCACAAAACATATGAATGGGTTGAATGAATTTAACAGAGACAAAACATACTTTTAGAAGGAGAGACTTGCAATACGACGCTGTGGCGCGAGTTGTATAGGATGTTACAAATTTAGTTTCTTTTTTACTTAATTAGTTTGTTTGAAAAATATTTTCTTTAAATTATGGATTTTATTTAACGTTAATATTTTTTGATGATTATTGGCAAGTAGCGTTAGAGGTGTGTTCATTTATTGTCGCGATGGTAACGACACGCTGTATATACATATATACACCGGTCTTCCGTGAGCTCTTGGTACTTCCCCGGACGGACCCGCCCATTCGTGCAACAGCGAAGACTGTTCCGTGGCTCTACCACCGTAAAAAATCTTATTAAACGAGACTTGATGAAGTCTAAGAAATTTAGATGAATTCAATTTCTAGTGGTTTTAATTGATTTGTGGTTTTTACTCAAATCTCTAATTTAAAATTAAAACTTATTATTTAAAATTAATTTAAACATTCTTCTGAATTTCATGATATGAGATTTGGTAAATCACCACACGTAGTTCTATTAATTACATATTCATAAGCTATTGTGTTTGTTTGTCTCGCAGATCGAAGAGTTGCTTATAGAGATGAGCGACGATCCGTTCGAAGTCAAGCTCAGAGACAACTACGAGCTTCTGGAGGACGAATACAAGGAGAGCGAGAAGCGACGGACCATGCTCGATGCTAAGGTGGGCTATTGCTTCTATTCTTTGGCTATCGTTATTTCTACCCCGCTCCTGAATTTTTTTCGATCGATTATTAATGCTAATCTCTTGTTTTCAATCGACTTTAAAATAAATTCACGTAGGATCTTCTCAATTTGTTTTTATGTACTTTTTTATGTTTGTTACACCGCAACCCTGTCATTTGTGAATCAATTTTAAAAATTATTTTTTGCTTTGGCTTCGATATATCTCTCACGTGTCTCTCTCCCGTACTATGGGATTCGTTTGGCGATTTCGGAGGGGATTGAATTTCTTAAAATCAAATAGAGAATGTATGGTGAGCTTATGTTGGAGAGTGAGTTAGCCACGGCCCGCTTTATAAACATCGGCGATGCTCAGGCGTGGTAAATGGGCATGGGTGGTAGTTATCACTTGTCTCCGGGCAAGCAACAGTCGGGGTCGTCTGTTGTGTGTCGCAGGTGCGACGGTTAGAATATATTGGCAGCAGTAGGAAGTGCCCCCGTGCTGGTGTAAGACGGTGAGGGAATCGGGCAAATTTTATATTTCTCCGAGGCGTGCTCACGCGCAGCACCGAGGGACACCGGAGCGTTGCGTGGGTACGGATGGTGGTCATCGAGGGAGTTTTAGTGGGTACGAACCCCATATAAACCTGTCGTGGGAGAAATGACGGGGTGTCTTTTGAAGATTTCCCCTCGATTCTAAAAAAGGGCAGTGGTCGTGGTGACGGTGACAGTCCGTGGCTCGGTTTTCGAGGGATTAGGGTCTGGGCTGCGCAGGTGCAGGAGCTGTGCAAGCCGCACCTGTTCCTGCCGGCGGGCAAGGTGGAGCAGCTGTACGCGGCGCTGCGGCAGAAGGGCGCGCAGATCTACGTGCAGCGGTGCCGCGCCGCGCCGCCGCCGCGCACGCGGCTCGTGGCCTGCTGCGTCTCCGCGCTGCGGCTGCTGGCGCTGGCCGACCCGGCCGTGCACGGCGCGCAGAGGGCCACGCACCGGCTGCGCCAGCTCGACCCCGACAGGTGACCGCTATAGCATTTCACTGTCTAGCTATCACGGTTCGAGAGATAAGATAGGGTCCCATTTTACCCTGTGGGTACGGAACCCAAATAGAAACCGGTGTAACAGATGGCTCGGATCGGCCTTGAGCTGTCCTGGTAACACTGCAAGGCCGATTTATCCATTCGTTGCAGGCGCCGGTAGTGTTCCGAAAGAAAGTCCCTCATCTAAGTGGCTAGCGACCACCGTAGGGCTTTGGTCGGTGCGAGTCCGAAACAACCCGGAGTTCCCATCACGGGAACTCGGATTTCTGTGACAGACTTTCCGCGAGAAAAATAAAGCCCTCAGTACTACTCGACTACGACGCCCTCTATGCTGTGAACGAGCGAATGTAAATGTCGCTAGGAGCGAATGTGAATGTCGCTAGGAGCGAATGTGAATGTCGCTAGGAGCGAATGTGAATGTCGCTAGGAGCGAATGAATGAATGTCGCTGAGTGATGTAAATGTCGCTAGGAGCGAATGTGAATGTCGCTAGGAGCGAATGTGAATGTCGCTAGGAGCGAATGTGAATGTCGCTAGGAGCGAATGTGAATGTCGCTAGGAGCGAATGTGAATGTCGCTAGGAGCGAATGTGAATGTCGCTAGGAGCGAATGTGAATGTCGCTAGGAGCGAATGTGAATGTCGCTAGGAGCGAATGTGAATGTCGCTAGGAGCGAATGTGAATGTCGCTAGGAGCGAATGTGAATGTCGCTAGGAGTAAAAAAATGAATTTTTGTGGCCCACTGCTGAGTATTGGGAATCGATTAACGAACTTTTACTTTTTCACTTCACATATATTCAATTATGCACGGTTCCTCACTATGTTTTCCTTTACCGCTGAACACGTGATAAGTCAGCGCTTGAAATTGTAATTAACAATTTGAGAGACCACGTGACGGCAAGCGCAGCGTAGGAAGGCCTCCTACGTTGACGGACGACCCAAGATCGCACTAAGCCCGTGGAATTCCTATGAGCAGTGGGTCCTACGGCTGATACGATGATGGTGTCTATAAAATCTACGAGTCCCACAAATTTTTGTCCTGAGTGGGAATCGAAGCCACGCGCCTTATCGTCGAACCGAACAGCTAAGCCCGTTGCCCCCACAGCCCGTGGCCGGAGGAGGGGATAGAGTTCACGACGCTGTGGTGCCGCAGCGTGAGCGTGCAGTGCGCGCTGTGGCAGATCCGGCTGCGGGACTTCCCCCAGCCGCTGCTCAGCATGGCGGAGCTGCGCCTCTGGGGCACGCTGCTGGCGGCCGAGGAGCAGCCGCCCACGAGAGGTTACCCCCTCTGTCATCTGTCGTTGTTCTAGCGGAGAACAAAGTATGCAGTTTGTTATGTTCGAAGTACGGAGCATAGGGACTAGTGAAACACTCAAGAGCTGTCAACGCACTGGCTTTAATTTGTCAACAATATCGGGGCGCGGACGCAGCCACGCACACATATACAATACAGTTGATGTAAAGAGTAGAACAATCAGTTTCAATTGCTGAGTGTAACCGTAGGCTGAAAAATAAAAACTTGTACTTATGTCTGCACATTAGAATTTATGCTTATATATGGCATAACAAAATAAAAACAACTCCAAACATTCACTCCACTTACATTACAATTTAAAACTTGTATAACAATGTACGAAAAGTCTTTCGCAGCTATGAGGATCGATCTTCCAATTCTAAATGCTTATCGATTGTCAACTCCTCAGAAATTTGCTGATTAATTTTCGCATCCTTTTATTTAACAGCATAAAGATTTATTGAAGTTAAACTTCTACGACTACGATGCGAAAATTAGGCGACACTTGTATATATTCAATAAATACACTGAAATAATAAGGACGCGTCACGTGGGCAGACATTGCCTGAAATGGGAGAAAAAAAAGATATAAAGTAGAAAGAGAACGATAAATACCCCAATAATAATTGCAATAGATTCGCGTATGCGCGTTTAGATTTCTATGCATTAAAAGCTAAATATCCACCTGTGTTCTGAATTCGTATTTATCATTTTCTTATGATTAATTACCTTGTAAGAACTACTATCATGCGTCATTTGTATTAAATTTACAGCGGTCAGAACAGTGATCATTGACCAAGGCGAACCTTGGGGCAAGTTCGAGCTGGAACGCAGCATGATGCCTCTGAAATGGTACTACGATCTGTGCTGCGAGATGTCCGAGTACAGCTACGCCTTCGGACCCTGCTGGGAGCCGGTTATAGCGCATTGTAACCTCGGTGAGGGCCTGTTCTTTACTCCAATTTTATCACTAGGTGGCAAATGAGCTGGCGGTTCACCTGATCTTAAGTGATGACCGCCCATAGAGCTGTCACTGTCCATGGGTAAAAATAAAAGTATAACATATAAAATTTAATTGATTTTATAGTGCTAATTTCCGCACTTAAGGTTAATCATTGAAATTTGTAGAAAAAAAGGACGAAAACTTTTCTTCTTTCTTTCTTACTTTTTTACTTTCCTTCAGCGGGAACAGTTGATGCAATCAATCAGCCGTTTAGCTTAGCTGCTAAAGCGTCTAGGCGCGAATCTGAAATACGTGAGATCAAATTTTATTTAATTTTGCAGCATTCGACCAAGTGTCCCGCCCCTCGCTGGACCCGTCTGCGCCGCTGGCCTGGTGGGACAAGGTGCGCCTGCTGATGCACGGCCGGCTGACGGTGAACTGCACCAAGTTCACCTGCCTGCTGCACGTCTCGCTCGACCCCTACAACACCACCGAGGAGATGGAGGTGACGTGGAACGACCTGGTCCTGGATTGGACCAACGGTGAGATGCTGGATTGCAACAATCCAGTGTGGTTATAATGTATAACATCTTTGAACTTTTTCTAATTCGTGTATCAATCATGTTCGTTTCAAAATTGAACGAACGATGTATCATAAAAATGAGTTCATAATTTATGAGGCTAAGAAGAAAGTAGGCATGATACAATTTCCGTCAATCCGCAATGGGGTCGCGTGGTGGACTATGCCGGAATATTTTCTGAACAGAGGAAGTTTTAGTTCACCCAGCGGCCGCTAGATGGCGCTGGAAGCGAAGGCGCTCGGTGTTGCAGGCAAGCTTTTGTTCCTGGGCGAGCTGAAGGTGTTCGCGCGCACGGCCAGCAAGTACGACGACTGCCGCGTGCTGCGCGTGCCGGCGCTGCGGCTGGCCGTGCGCCTGGCCTGGCTCTGCGTGGGCGACGCGCGCGACCACCACGCCGTGGCGCCCTGCGCGCCCACGCGCCTGCCGGAGTACTCCAGCAACCAGGTGCACCGCCCCTCTCTGCTGCCTTGCCTTAATCCCACCCCCGACTAGGCGTCGTCACGATATGGCTTTTGGTTACATCTTTACGACCGCCCCTCTACCTGACGTCCACTTATTTTCACGCCATCGAGTCACTTTGTCACCAATACTTACTAATATTATAAAGGCGAAAGTATATATCTATGGGTGGATGTTTGTTTATCTTTCACGCAAATACTACCGAATGGATTTTTATGAAACTTTACAATAATATAGCTTATACATCGGAATAAAACATAGGTTATAATTGATATACATATTTTATGAATATCTGTTTTTCTGTCTAAATGTTACACCTTCAGTCTATTCTACGCAGAGGTAGTCGCGGGCGGCAGCTTGTATTCAATGTTTACGTTGTAATGGCGCCACACTTCGCAGGAGCACGACTCGTACAGGGCGTTCCGCTCCCAAGGCCTCGAGCTGCACCTGGGGATGGACACCAAGCCCGTGGAGAACGACGGACCCGTTCTCCTGCTGTACGGCAGCACGCTGAGGTGATTTTTCATCCGTAATCGTACGAAAGAAGGTGGGCAGTGAGCCCTAACGGCCACTGTGTCTGCTCCGGCAGGTGGTTCGAGAGCCTGAAGCTGATCCTGTCGGGCGTGACGCGGCCGACGCGGCGCGGGCGCGTGTTCGCCAACGTGCGCCCGCGCAAGCCGCAGCTCTCGCGCCACTACCGCGACGTGGCCGTGGCGCTCACGCTGCACAACCTGCAGGTGACCACCTCCGCGGCCTCTGCCGACTCTCCTCTCCCGAGTCTCGCACTTCTTCAACGTTCGATGACGGAAGCCTCGCGTATTCTACATGTCCATCGGTGGTTACTTAACTCTTACTTAATAAACCGTATGGGCTGGGTATTCGTGGGGATCTTTATCCATGTATAGAGTCGTACATTACAAATAGAACTCGAATAGTATAGAATAGGTAAAAATAAGCCTGACGTAACTATAATAACATCGGGCATCCCACAAGGTTCGCGTTTAGAACCTCTTCTATACAATGTTTATCTTTATGTAATTAATAAATGTTTTCAACATACTAGGTTCCTAATGTTTGCATACAATACCAAATTATGCGAATATAATAAATTCAATGAAATAAGTGTTAGGGAGAAAAATTTACCCAAATAACTTTTCCAAAGAAAATAAATTTAACGCGGAATGGAACTAACAAACAATGTTGTGATGTGTTGTGTCGTCAGGGATCAACCTTTTAAAATATTGCCGATCACAAACGATTACCTCGCTACCATCTTGTATAAACAATAGACCGTATTTATCTATGTGAGAAGTTATCAAGCGAGTAGGCGGTTCATTTCCAAAGTCTGAGAGTAGGATACTTCCACGTGACACCAGCCGTTCCCGGACGAGGTGTTCGCAGGTGTTCTACTGGTCGTCGTCGTCGATGCAGCGCGGCATCGAGATGCTGGGCGTGCGCGTGACGTGCGGCTCGCGGCACCGGCTGGCGCTGGTGGCGGCCAGCGACGGGCTGGTGCGCCGCCCGCGCGCCTCCTGGGCCACCGTCTACATCAACTGCGACCTCAACGACGCCGAGATCTGGCTCAAAACGCCCGCGCCCCGCTCGCCCGACGACCACCACGACCGCCGCGACCACGAGGTACACCCAATGATACCGATACGAGGTAGATTCATGTCCAATGCCTCAGATAGCTAGACTAACGCAACGAAACTTATGCACCCAAATTATGCCAATTGGTGTAATCAGATTGCAATCCTAAATATCTCTCTTTAAAATATACATATATTTTAAAGTTTTGTATCATCTCTCAGGCTCTATACTATCTGTGTACCAAAATTCATTTAAATCGGTTCCGTAGTTTTGGCGTGAAAGCGAGACAGACAGACAGGGTTACTTTCGCATTTATAATATTAGTATGGATCGTTGATTGCACCCTCATGTCCTCTTATGGTTACCACTTACTGAAATACTATAGGACTATGCCCTAACACTTTGTGAACAAAAATATCCTATGCCTATTGGTGGGACATAAATACAGTTTGTTACATGGAATTTGATTTTTGTAAAGCAAAATATATAATTTGATTTTTGTAAAGCAAAATATGTAAGAATGTTGAATGAATGAAATTGGGCAGGACTCGGTGCTGAGCCCGCCGGCGATGGAGAAGTGCTACTGCCTGTCGGTGCGGCGCGTGTCGTACGGGCGCGAGGCGGACGGCGCGGGGGCGGCGGCGGGGGCGGGCGGGGCGGCGGGGGCGCCGGCGCCCACGCACCGGCTGGCCGTGCACGACCTGCGCGGCGCCTGGACCAAGCTCAACCGCGACCTGGCCTTCGCGCTCATCGACACTTACATCAAGACTCAGGTGACCATCAAAGCAGGCTTTAGATCATGTGAAGTTGCCAAAAGCCCCTCAGTACAGGATGTAAGGACGCAACGATATTGTGAATTTTTCCAGCAATTGAAGAAGAATTTGTCGACCAAAGCGCTCAAAGAGGAAGAGAAACCGGACACCTCTCCGAAGCAGCAGCGGGAGTCTGACGTAGTGTCACCTCCTCCGGTGTCTGCTCAAGTTAGTGGTAACAGCTTATTATTCCACTACCGACTCGCTCCGTCTTCGCACGGATGCAATGCTGAATGTTTGTTTTCGACATCGCATTAGGAACCTCTAAAGTATGAGTGTTTCTCGACTATATTATGCATGAATTATACACATAAACCCCCTTGTTGAATCGCTCTATCTATTAAAGATCTACGCATATATAAGGACGGACAGAAAATGTGTTTGAGAGAAGTGTCAGCATTGAGCGGGGTGTCGGGCGGGCAGGGCGGCGGCGGGTGCGCGGCCGGCATGCTGGCGGCGCTGGTGGCGGAGGCGGGCGAGGCGGGCGGCGAGGCGCCCGTCGTGTTCAGCGACGAGCTGGCGGGCGCCGAGGGCGAGGCGCCGCCGCCGCACGCGCCGCTGCGCCACGCGCTCGACGACGACAACGCGCACACCGCCTGCCTCAGTCAGTGCCCGCCTTCTCGCTCAGCGCGCAGGCCGCTCGCGGCCCTTCGCGCCGGACACTATCTAGCGCGAAGACAATATAGCGCAGCGCCTCTTGCTCACTCTCGAAGGTTACTCGGTGGACACTCGCAATACGCTGGCGAAGTCGCGTTAGAGTCGCAATATATGGAGTTACCGAGTAAACGTCTTTCATCACTGTTATTATTACGATAGAGTGTTATGAATTAGGGTATAACTACAACTATAAAAACCGGCCCAGTGCGAGTCGGTCTCTCGAACGAAGGGCTCTGTACCATTATCAATCAAATCAACAAAAAATATATCTGATTCTGTTGTATGGAAGCCCAACTAAAATATTTATTTATTGTATTTTTTTAGTATTTGTTTTAATAGCGGCAATAGAAATACACGAACTGTGTGTTCGAACGAATCTGAGTGTTTTTCTACCACGGTTCATGAGATACCGCCTGGTGACAGACAGCGGACCCTGCGGGTACGGAACGGTAAAAACCCTAAACTGTTCCCGCGCCGTCGGTCCTCGGCGTTGGTCCTTCGCGCCGGATAAGCGGCGCGGGGCGGCGGGCTGACGTTGGCCGTGGTTGCAGTCGAGCTGGTGAACTCGCAAGTGGTGCTGAAGGGGTGCGAGACGCGCGGCTACGTGATCCTGTGCGCGGCGCGCGCCGAGGTGCGGCAGCGCGTGCGGCGCGCGCCCGCCGCCACCGCCTGGAGCGGCGCGCTCTCCGCCATGCAGTACTACGCCACCGTCAGCGCCGCCGACCGCGACCAGCTCGACGGTCGGTGCCGCTTTATACAACTGCCTCGCGGCGGTTATCATTTAATACCAGCCGCCAGCTCGATTGCTACCTTATCATATAAAAAAACAGCTTTTCGCCCGCGGCTTCGCTCGCGTTGAAGTGCTTAAAATAAATATCTTTCTATAAAAAAAAAATCCAATTAAAAAATAGCCTATGTCCTTTCTCAGGCTCTAGACTGTGTACCAAATTTCATTTAAATTATCTGTTCAGTAGTTTTGGGGTGAAAGCAAGACAGACAGACAGAGTTACTTTCGCATTTATAATATTAGTATAGATTAGCTGTGAAAATTTATAAAGCCTTCTATAAATGTGCTGTTGATGCCCCAAATAGTGTAGAAATTGTCATCATCAGCCTGGAAAAAAAGTTGTGAGATACAGGTTTGGCCTAAGATGTAAAATTACTTAGAAAATTATAAGTTAATGTGGTTTTCCATTGTTACATTAAAACAAATGAAAATAGTTTTTGGTAAATTTAGGGTTTTTCAAGTATTAATAAATGTTATTCTAAGACTTGTCCCGAAAAGAGATGTGGTATAAAAAGTACTCTAAAGAAAATATATTTAATGAAAATGTAACAAATAAATTAATATCAAGATAGAACAAAGACCTACTTTGTTTAAACTATCATCAAAGAAATTTTATTTTAACTATTTTTATATTATAAAATATTACGTTATGGTGATAAATTATTATTTTTTTAAGTACTGATTTTTATGGTATATCGGTAAAACTTCTATGTAATCAATAATTGTTCAATTGAAGTAGTATTGGAAATATTATTTGGTGTCTCAGTTGACGCCGTTGTTAAGCGTTACTTCGATCTCCACAACTATTCGTTTGTTTTTCCTTGTTTAATTTTTGTTAATAAAACCTCTTCACGACAGAGGACTATATTTTAAAAGACCGATATACAATATAAACATTGTAGTTGTGCTGTGTATTAATATGGCGACATGTACTGCATAGGACAAAATATTTATATCAATTCTTTGTATATACGTTAATGCGCTGCGAGTAATCGAGTATCACCCGAATTAATATTGGTAGTATGAAAAATTACAAGTGACCGTTTGGTTTTGTAGAGAACATTCAGTGGGTGTCCGTGGAGGAGATCGAGGAGCGCTGGCAGGGCGCGGAGATCAGCACGCTGCCGGACGTGCCGCGGCTGGTGGGCAGCGGCCACTCGGCCGGCGGGGTCATCGGCCGCACCGTGGGGGATGCGTTGGCAACCTTTTGAAAATTGGGCTCCAGCTGTCTCACTCAACAGACGAAACGCGAAAGTATTTGTCATACTTCCACTTTACGCTGGTCTTCTGCGAGGTCGTGGTACTTACCCGGACGGGCCTGCCCATTCGTGCAACAGCCGAGGCTGCTGCTTGCTCCTACCACCGTAAATAGAGTACACCTCGATAGAGTACAATAATTTTTTGTTTTGAAAATGATGAATGTGAATGATAAGAGTGAATTTTTACGATGACCTGGCAACCTAACGTAAATATTAACCTATAATTCCAAGTACATTAAACCGTTATCATTTGCATTTAATGTCTTAATTCAAAATCAAACGTACTGGCACACGAGATAATTTTTTTGTTTATTTTTATTTTGTTACGCTAAAGAAGTATAACTTCTTACGTGTGTACATTTTTTTGGTAATCAAGGTATTACTACAACAATGAATACATTCGTTTCGCGCTCCAGCTGCAGCGCATCGTGTCGCGCTGCGCGTGCGAGTTCTACTACGTGACGCACGAGGACACGGAGGCGGGCGGGGGCGCGGGCGCCGGCTGGGCGCAGTCCCCGCAGCCCTACGACTCCTTCACGCTCATGCACCACGACCTCGACGTCTGCACCAATTCGCTGCAGGTGCTCACGTCCACTTTTCAATTGTGTTTGAAATGTTGCTCGATTCGTTCGCAAGATGGCGCGGAAATATAATATAGTGTAGTGTCCAAGTTCATTGCTAGGTGTCGCTATTTGTATATTGGTGACGTCACATTTAATTTTCTAGAGCTTCGAAAGCTTTTAAAAAAAATTAACATTAAATTTGATGCTAAAGTAGCAATTACTATTTTACTGAGATTAAAAGTGATTTACAATTATTGAATGATTGTATTAAGGACAATGACAATATGAAAAATAAGATCAAAAACATATGGAAAATTTTTACAAAATATGAATGATGCAAATTTAGAAAAACAATGAAAATAATTAATAATGCAACAACAAAAAGGTGACAGAAGACAAACCTACACTATGGTAAAAAGATGAAATGTCTCTCTCAGTACGCGATGCTACTGGACGTAGTGAACAATGTGGTGCTCCGCGTGGAGCCCGAGCGGCGTCGAGCGCTGGAGAGGCGGGCCAGGATGCGCTTCCAGCTGCAGCTGCACCAAGACCGCGACCACCGCCAGCTCATACACAAGCTGCAGACGCAGGTATGCTTCGTCGCAACAGCCTCGTAATAGGAGATGGACAGGGTTCAGGGTTCACAGCGATCTTATTTTTGCAATGACCATATACTTTTTAATAAAAGGCGTTGGCGTGAAAATTGGGACATTGGAACTGGTCCATTGGACCTCGGGACTGGTCACTAAAATACTATAAAAAATATAATTATTTATAGGACTATTTTATTTTTCATTGTGTTGTGCAATGAAAAATAAAATAGTCCTATACTTCACTTATCAAACAAATAGTTTTAAATTCACATTCATCATGATTTAAATTTAAATATTGAAAATATTGAAATATTGAAATATGTATTTTAAAAGAAGGGTTTGTATCTTACAAAAAATTTCACACGCATTCTCTAATTTTTGCAAAATGTAAACCATTAAAAGCAATTACAAATTTTTACTAATCAAACCAATCATAACTGAAAAGGCTTTTAAAAAAAATTGTTAAATTTAAACATATGGGCAGAGCAAAAATATTTTCAAAATATTTTTTCTTTGTCAATATAATCAAAGTATAAGGCTAGTAAAACAGAATATAGGAAACTAGTAAATTACAGTGAGAATAAAGTAATACCATAAAATTCACTTCAAGTTAAATGAATTTAACAGAATTAAGATTACTTTTCTATTTTAGTCTATAAAGGTGCAATTATGATAATACGTAAGTTTTTAAAGCGATAAAATATGCTTTTTCTTTAAATAAATAAAAAAAAAAGTAAAAATTACAATAAAAAAAAATCCTCTCCGGCGGGGAATCGAACCCCGGTCTCCCGCGTGACAGGCGGGGATACTGACCACTATACTACCGAAGACTTATTAGGACCGCTCAAAGTCACGACTGTATTATTGAGATTACTATTACGTCAGTCTAAAATGATATCATGGTTTTGGTTACGAATTACTGACATTGGCTTTTGTCACCAAACTGTTTTGTATTTATTACGATCATTCTTGATCTTATGGTGCTTATTTAATTTCTTTTTTTTTATCCAAATTTAAGGGAATTTAAAATATTTTTTTTTAAATTTCTTCGGACGTAATCAATTAATAAAATTAAATTATTATTCAAATCATAACAATAAATATCGACATGATACCGGTTCAATGTAGACTAATAAAATATTTCTTATATTGTAATGATCGAGTGAAATGAGTTATGTTTAGGTAAGGGAGTCACTTGCTCGGCTGCGGAGGTTGGAGAAGGAATACTACCTTAAGAACAGATCAATCACCGGCCATGACCCAGTTGCAATCGCCGAACTTAAGAGCCTCGACGACCAGGTGAGTAATTTAATAATAAAATATCTTTATTCACATAGACGCTTGCGCGTTCTTATGAAACGTCAAAATTTTACAAAGAAATTAACACGTGCGTAAGTTACCACCGATTCGGAAAGCAGTTTCTGTTGAGAAGAAACCGGCAAGAAACTCAACAGTTGTGCGTATTACCTCATCATCATAATGGTTTTTTTTTTTACATTTCTTGTCTCTTATCCTGTTAACATATAGAAACACTAAATACACTATGGTTATTTCTCGTTGTACGTAATGAACAACATCTATAATATTATAAGATACAATCTTAAAAATGATTTAAAAATATCGCTAGAATAAAAATTGTTTTTAAAGTATGCTCGAAATTGATAAGAATATTTTTAAATGTCAAATTTTATTAAATAAAAGTTAAAATAAAAACGACAAAAAGGACTCTCCGGCGGGGAATCGAACCCCGGTCTCCCGCGTGACAGGCGGGGATACTGACCACTATACTACCGAAGATGTGATAGCTTATGGCGAAACATGGAATCTATATTTCTGTGCGTATTACGTCATCATCATACTGATATGAATAAATAACGTGAGCATTTGTTTACGTTTTGAGTTTTTTTTTGGAAACAGTAAAAAAAATTGTTACAAATAATATTAGAATATTTATTAGGGATTATTTATTTGATTAAATGATTGTTAAAAAAAGGAATTATAAAATTGACAGATAATTAGTTAATTTTAATAATAACATTTTGTACATAAATATTTCGTGTAATAAATGTGCAGAATCTCAGTAATATCTAGTAATGTGCAACTTTATCGTGTTAATAAGAGGCCATCTTGTTTGGTCGTTTATTTATAATTTGATATTAAAATATCTCTGTACATATTTAAATGAAAACATATTTAACTGACTTTTTCTCAATATTGCATCAAACAAATATTTCTTCGAAAATTAAAATTTATTTTAGTGTAATTAGTGACTTCATTAATGACGAGCGTTAAAACATCTACTCTGTAGATTTTTGTAAAAGTAAAGTAAGTAACAGCTTATAGATAGATCTGTCATTGCTGGGCAAAGGCCTTCTTTGTACAGAGGGTATTAGGGTATATATAGTCTACCACGCGACAATTTGCGGATTGGCAAACTTCACATATCTCCTATTTTTGGTATTATTTCGAAAATCTATATGTTTCCTCACGACGTTTTCCTTCACCGCTGAGCATGTGATAGCCACACAGAGAACAGTCTATCTGTTCTCTGTGTGGCTATATGCCAGCAATTAAAGTTTCTTTGGCGTCGGGCACTAGGCTTGTCTACCAGGGATCGGGTTGATAAAGTATATTGAACTAAAAGCGAGCGTCTGGACACTAATCTTTCACGGCTCATTTTGGTCACACGATCTGGGTGGGTTCATGCGAGTACCGTGAATCGAACTCAGATTGCTCGAGTGTATTGAATTAAGATCGAGCCTATGGACACTGAGCTATCACCTGGATGGGTTCGTGCGAAGTGGGGGGCGGGTAGAACGTCTGCCGTGCAGGTGGACTCGCCTAGGTGGGTTCATGCGAAGTGGGGGGCGGGTGGTACGGTGCAGGTGAACGAGTGCAAGGAGGCGGCGTGGTCCCTGGGCGAGGAACTGGACGCGATGGTGCGCGCGTGGCGCGAGACGCGCTCCTCGGCGCCGGCGGTGCGCGCGCCCCACGCGCCCCCCCACCGCCACAACGAGATCTGCTTCAAGTCGGCAAGGTGGCGGCTCACCGACGCCGACGGCCAGCTCGGCATCGCGGACCTGCTGCTCACCAACTTCCTGTGAGTGCCCAAACTCAAGTGGAAGCGTCCTACTTTCGCGTTTCGTCCCGTGAGTAAGGTGGCCGGTCCCCACTTTATTAAAAGGTGGCAACGCTTCTGCAACCCTACGGGTGTTGCAGATATCCATCGGTGTTGGCATTTTACATCAGGTGATGTAAATAACCGCTAGCTCGTTTGCCATCTTCTCACATAAAAAACATCCCGTCTACCTAACCCCCTCTTCATTTTATAATGTCGAAAACCTTTTCTTTATGGATAATAATATGGGGCCAAGGGGCCTCCACTACTTTATTGCCCCGCGGCCTCCAGACCTCTAAATCTGGCCCTGCAGGTACACGAAGACGTCCAGGTCCGACGACTCCGTTGAGCACCAACTGGAAGTTGGATATGTGCGCGTCACCAATCTCCTGCCGAACGAGCCATTCCCAGAAGTGAGTCGACACAATATAGTTATGTATTCTTAGATTATGGTAGAAATAACTTTTTTTAAATGTTTTCCGTCATTGAAATTAGTCTAACTTTTTATATTGTCATTTCTATATTAATGTTCCTATCTTACGCGAATGATTTTCTTAACATGTATAGTTACTAATGTAATGCCATTACGCCTCAATAACTGGAGAAAAATTCAATGCATTGAAAGTATGAAGCAAAACATCCTCATATACAATCGTCGGTCGACCAATTGCAAATTTTATATAGCGCGTTCAAGATGATCTTAATGGAATTTCCTAAGCAAATTCATTCGTTTAATTTTTTTCGGGGATGAAACAAATCGAAAACAGGGTGCTTGTGATTAAATCGTGAGCATCGAGGGTTTTTATGAGAATTGTTGTAACTGCAGCCTTTTATGGCCAATTTAACTGTGCAACAGTCTTCGCTGTTGCACGAATGGGCAGATCTGTCCGGGGAAGTACTACGAGCTCACAGAAGACCGGCGTGAAATGGAAGTATTATACTTCTGCATTTCATCTCTTGAGTTCGGTAACTGGAGCCCACTTTATTGAAAGTTGGCAACGTATCTGCTACCTTAAGGCCGTTGCAAAAGTTCGTGGGCGGTGGCTATCACTTAACATCAGGTGAACCGCCAGCTCGCTTGCCACCTTCTCACATAAAAAATACGTTAAATACATCGAAAAAGTTCACGCTATCGAGCCTCTGTTTGGGCGTGTCACGAGCTGCGAGCGGCTTTGTCAGGTGCTGGTGCCGCAGGCGGCGTCGGGGCGCGCGCCACTAGCTAGGCGCGCGGCGTTGCGCGTTTTCTGCCGCGACCGTCCGCCAGTCGGAGGCATCTCCGTCAAGGAGCACTTCGAGGTCAACATAGTGCCCATCCGCATCGGTACGTGCCTATAACACTTGGTCCTTCGAGCCGGATAATTTTGTATCCAATCACTTGTACACCTATGTAGCACGGAGCACGAAGCACAGATATTTTCTGTGGAGTATACATTTCATTTACTGGTGGTGGTGGTGGTGGTGGTGGTGGTGGTGGTGGTGGGGGGGGGGGGGGGTTAACGGTGTTTATATTTTTTTTTGTTTTCTCCCTGTCTCACTTGTAATGGCGTCTTCTGTGACGTAAATATTTTCTCTATAAATATTTTCAGACACATTTTTACACAATGGTCTCTAGTCCCAACCTAAACAACACTTGTACTATGGATACTGAAAAACTGATAGATATACTTAAAAATACTTTTCTTTTGTAAATAAATACCAATTATACCCAGACACTGGAAAAACACTATGTTCAACTTACAATATGTTTCCAATAGTGGGGATCGAACCCACAATCTCTGGCGCAGGGGACAGGTGCACTACTCTTCACACTAATCGAGTCGTCATAGGCCACGTATTTGAAACATCGTGATTTAAATAGAAAAAGTATTATCCGTTATAATTTTTAACGTTCTCAAAAGCATGTTCATAAAAATGCTGTAGGTCTGACGAAGAAGTTCTTCAACACGATGTTGAAGTTCTGCTTCCCCGAACGCGATCCCGAGGCTATAGAGGATGGGGAAGAGGATGGTGAGCGCACGCTGCCCGCCGCCGCCAAGAAGAGAAGCAAGAAGCGCGACTCCAACTCCAACTTCTACGTCAAGCGCGACAAGAAGGACAAAGACGACGTCGAGAAGATGAAGGTGCGTTTATAATGGGTGCTGAGGCTCATTTTAATAACTTAATTAATAATAAAAATATACATATTTTAGGACACATTTTTAAACAACCTTCTCTAGTCCCAAACTAAGCATCTAGTCTAGCTAGTGCTATGGGTACTTGTTATGTTATAAACATATTTATCTTTTGTAAATAAAAACATATTATATGAAAAACACCATTTTCATCACGCAATATTTTTCCAGTAGTGGGGATCGAACGCACATCCTCCTGCGTCAGAGGCAGGTTAAGTATCCACTACGCCAATAGGGCCGTTAAAATAAAATAAAAAAATGATGTATATTATCGAGAATCGTGTCAAATCACTAATACAGGTCTTTGACAAAACAAAGATTTTTTGTGTTTAAAGGCGTGTTACCCTTCTGCGTTTGGTCTGCTTTATTCTGATTGATGTAGCCGGGGCCCACTTTATTTAAAGGTGGCGACGCATTCGCAACCCTACGGGTGTTGCAAATGTCCACGGGCGGCGGTTATCACTGAACATCAGGTGAACCGCTAGCTCGTTTGCCACTTTCTGATATTCCTCGCTCGTCCACAGGAACGCGCCGAGAAGAACAAGCTGTTCATCTACATAAAGATCCCCGAGGTGCCGGTGCGCGTCTCGTACAAGGGCAGCAAGGAGAAGAACCTGGAGGACGTGCGTGACCTGCCGCTGGTGCTGCCCACGCTCGAGTACCACAACGTCACCTGGACCTGGCTCGACCTGCTGCTGGCCACCAAGAACGACACGCGCAGGTAAGGAGTATCCCGGGGGACGTGCGCCACCTGCCGCTGGTGCTGCCCACGCTCGAGTACCACAACGTCACCTGGACCTGGCTCGACCTGCTGCTGGCCACCAAGAACGACACGCGCAGGTAAGGAGTATCCCGGGGGACGTGCGCCACCTGCCGCTGGTGCTGCCCACGCTCGAGTACCACAACGTCACCTGGACCTGGCTCGACCTGCTGCTGGCCACCAAGAACGACACGCGCAGGTAAGGAGTATCCCGGGGGACGTGCGCCACCTGCCGCTGGTGCTGCCCACGCTCGAGTACCACAACGTCACCTGGACCTGGCTCGACCTGCTGCTGGCCACCAAGAACGACACGCGCAGGTAAGGAGTATCCCGGGGGACGTGCGCCACCTGCCGCTGGTGCTGCCCACGCTCGAGTACCACAACGTCACCTGGACCTGGCTCGACCTGCTGCTGGCCACCAAGAACGACACGCGCAGGTAAGGAGTATCCCGGGGGACGTGCGCCACCTGCCGCTGGTGCTGCCCACGCTCGAGTACCACAACGTCGACCTGGACCTGGCTCGACCTGCTGCTGGCCACCAAGAACGACACGCGCAGGTAAGGAGTATCCCGGGGGACGTGCGCCACCTGCCGCTGGTGCTGCCCACGCTCGAGTACCACAACGTCACCTGGACCTGGCTCGACCTGCTGCTGGCCACCAAGAACGACACGCGCAGGTAAGGAGTATCCTGGAGGACGTGCGCGACCTGCCGCTGGCGAGCCACTAATTCTCCATTTCCCTTTTTTTATTTGAGAAAGTTAAGTGATAACCGCCGCCCATGGATATTTGCAACACCCATAGGGTTGTAGATGCGTTGCCTTTTTATGAAAAAGCGGGCTCCGGCCACCTCACTCACCACACGGAACGCACAAGTGTGACACTTCCACTTCCACTTCGCGCCGGTCTTCGTTTTTTTTTTATGCGAAAAGTTGTCTAACGAGCAGACGGTTCACCTTATGTTAGGTGAATACCGCCGCCCATGGATATCTGCCGCACCAGAGGGTTACAGATGCGTTGACAACCTTTTGAAAATTGGGCTCCGGCCACCTCACTCACCAGACGAAACGCGAAAGTATTATACTTCCAATTTACACCGGTCTTCTGTGAGGTCGCGGTACTTCCCCGGATGGATTTGCCCATTCGTGCAACGGCCGAAAATGGCTCTAACTCTAACACATGCAATAATTTCTCCACAGCCGAGTGTTTAGGCTGATTCCTCTTGAAGAGGTTCTATTTGATTGTTGTTTCAGAGCTTAGTAAATTGAGGCTGTTATCTTTAGTAAATATTTGAAACTACACTCGCACGCCAATTCTAGTTTCGTATCTAGTGCGTAGTCTCTCCCATTTGATAAGTTGATTGCTACCCATTTCGAGCTGACCTGTGTTCATGATAATTGTATCTGATTGCCTCTTGCCTTTATTCATCAGATTAGATGTTGGAGTAGATTATAATTGGATCCTCTGTATGTTATATTTTTTGTATATAAAAGTTATTTTTAATATAAAGTATATAAATAATATTATATAAAGTTAATGTTATTTTTTTTTATTTATTATTTTATTTATAATTTTAATATCAGTTTTCTTATTGGACCTGCCTAGATATCTCACCACACCATAAGTTGAGTGGTAGAGAATGCCGAAAGGCATTAAGTCCGCTTATTGTATTCCGAATTAAATGCAATGTAGACTAAATAAAAAAAATCCGCTAAAGCAAAAGGTCATCAGTGGTTTATAGTTAGTTTCGCTTCCACTCCGACCTGCATCCATCAGGAATAAGGGTGGAAATATGATAGCAGTGTTGGAGAGGTGCGGGCTCTATATTCTTCAGGGTCAAGGGAAATAAATCTAAGACATTTTTGTGTTGGTGTCAGTGCCAATGTCTTCCCTCCCTTTCCTTCATCTAGGAGCTGCCTTCCTTCTCTCTCATGCCTTGGGACCCGCCAGGGTCGGGCTGATCGTTGTTCCTTTGCAGGGTGATCCTGTCGCAGGCGATCCGGCAGAAGCTGCAGCTGGGCAGGCGTGCTGCAGCTCCAGCGGAGCCCCACGAGGAGGACAAGGTGCGCCTGCTGCTCGGCGAGCGGACGGTAAGCAGCGACGGGTCAACTAATGATTTGTTCTTCAGACACCAGTCATTATTGTTGGATAGTAATGTCAAGTGATCATTTGTTTATACGCCAGTCGACATTGTTGGATACTAACTCTTTGTGTTCTGTGACGTTTCTTCATCCCATTTCTATATAGTTATAAACCCACTATGTGATTTTGTGTCTTAGAGGCGATCGTAGTACAGAAATTGTACGTGAACAATTCCACACTTGAAGTTAACAATTTTGGGATTGGGATTTGAAATCGGGGTTATCGAGTATATTAAATTAATAGCGAGCCTCCGGACTCTGAGCGATCACGGCCTCATTACAAGCCAGACGTATTTAAATATTGGAAAAATCACAACTTCCAAAAATAGGGCACAAGACCACGAAAAACAGTTGTAGTGACTTTCTTTTTATTATACGTAGCTCTTTTTATTTTTTTTACTTATTTGAAAAACACTGCCGTCACTTTAGGATAACATTATCCTGTGTTGTAAGGACGTTTTTACAAACATAAACTACACATGGACAAACACTCAGATTCGAAACACCTATCTGTGGGTCGCACAAATAGTTGTCCCGTGTGGGAATCGAACCCACGACCCCCGACGCCGAAGCCAATACCTTGGCAACTGCGCCACGGAGTCATCAGTAGCTTCTAAAACAAAATAATTTTATTTTATTTGTAACAAAAATTTTTTTATTAGAAAATAATCTGTAACTAATATTTCCTTTAAGAATCCAAGTTTAGTTCAGAGCAATCTAAATCAAAGCTTCTATCGATGCAGGTGGCAGAAAACAAGCCGCAGAAGAAGGGCACACCGAGCGTATTCAAGTTTTCCAAATCTTAGAAGATTAATTTAATTAATTAAACCAACCATAACACTAGGGGAACCAAATTAACTCTCGGTTAAGTTCCTTTATTTTTAAGTTACAACGTGAAATTATGCAACTCGTTCGTTCATTAAACTTAAGCAAAACTGGTTGAATCATCTTTTTTTTTATTTAGACGAAACATAATAATACTTTTACCGTTGTTTTTTTTCTAATTTTTATTAGTTATTAAGCCTTGTCTAAGAAAGTATTTTTTTATGAAACACTAACAAATCATCACGGGATGTGGTTTCACGTAATGCGAATTCGTTTACAAAATTGAAAAAAAAAAAAAAAACATAATATTTTTGCGACAAGTAAGTTTTTTATCTGTGTTCCGATCATTTTATCTGTTGCCAACATTTATAGAAATACCACAAAGATTATGTGCACATGAAGATTTCGTTGATCGTTATTTCAAATTGGGCTTTCTATGGGTTCAGAATTTTAATGATTTTCGTCATGAATGTTTTTTAATAATTTTAACGTCTTCAAATACGGTACAAGCGTCCAATGCGTAATTTTCAGTTTAAATTATGTTTTCTAACATTTTGATATATTTACTTTATAAAACAAATAATCGCATACTATTATATTATGTATTATAGAAGGATAAGTGTTGTAACAATTTTCGGTAGGGAAACTATTTTTTATTTAATATTGTACTAAAAATGTAAACGTTGTTCGATTCCGAATGTTGTATATCATAGTGCTTTCTGTGTACACGGTATTTAATGGCAATTATTAAAAATTACAGTTAATTTGGGCGAGTTACTTTATTGTTACCATCATCTACATCTTACAAACGTAACAAAATCATGTTGTTGTTTAATGAAACCTGTGTGTGTTAAACATAAAAGTAATAAATTATGTTCGGCATCTCTGTAATTTCGAAATAAATTGCATTTTAGAGCTTTTATTAAACGATAAACGAACAGATCAAAAATCGGCAACACTTTATTATTTTAGGAGGTAGTTTAGGAAATTTACTTTTTTACTTATTCAATTTTATGCAAACTTTAATGCGTTTAGCGAGAAATAGCCCAAGAACAAAGCTTTTACGTGTATTATTTTAACATCTTTAAGCGAAATCAAATGCAATTTGTGGCGTTTTTTTAAATTATTAATAATCGCTCTGTAACTTGGTAATTTAAAAACATCTACTATAAAGAGATCTATTGCAATTATTATCGGACTGTTAGTTATGATTATTATTATAAATCTGCATGCACCGTCTCACGGTTTTCGGTTACTGTTGCTGAAATGAGCTATACAGTATTTTAAACTAAGTTAAGTGTTTGTAGATGTTTTAATATAGGAACGAGTATATCGTACGAAATATTTATGGACGTCTATTTGTTGAATAAACATAACATATACAAATGTTGTTTTACTCCCCAACCTTTCTCGCGTTTTTATTTATTTCTGAGGCCCGTAATGTGAGGTTTTGTTCTCAAATGCGAATTTGACGGGGAAGCGATTTGTTTAGTTTTTACTTTTGTTTAGTTTTTTTTAAATAAATAAATATTTATTTAAAAAAAACTAAACTACTGAAAACCCTCTGTATAGAGGAGGCCTTTGCCCAGCAGTGGGACATGTATAGGCTGTTACTTTACTTTACTTTACTGAAAAAAAACCTTCTGAGCTAGCGCGCTTACCATCAAAGGCTGCATCGCCACTTAACATCAGGTGGGATGGCAGTCAAGTCCTAGCCAGTTTTTGAAATAAAAAAAATTTAGGACACATTTTTACTCAACATTCTCTAGTCCCAAACTAAGCAACGCTTGTACTATGGGGTACTGGATAACTACTAGATAACTGATAAACATACTTTTCTTTTGTAAATAAATAAATACATATTGTAAATATATAAAAAACCAGAACATGGGAAAAACACTATGTTCATCACACAATATTTTTCCAGTAGTGGGGATCGAACCCACAGCCTTTGGTGCAAGAGGCAGGTACACTACCAACTACGCCAATCGGGTTGTGAAAACAATTGTTTTTTTCAAGTATCAATTACAACTTTTACAAACTTACTTGACATCCGTGCGTTCGGAACGGAAAGTCGCCTCCCTTAACTGTTGTGTTACCCTCAAATGTATGCAACGAATGTGGGTGTACTTTTATCGGTAAGTTTAAGGTTGTGAAACCCCCACGAGCCACGGTGTATCCTCTGAGAATTTTGTCCTTTAGTGAATAAAAAGTACATTTTTTTAAGCAAATGATACCAAATCTTATAAGAAATTTAAATTTTAATAGTGCTTAATCTCTGGACTTAAGATTAAACATTAAAACGTTTTAGGAAAAACGTACGAAAAGTTTTTCGCCGCTGTGGGAATCGAACCCGGGATTCATAAGTGCAGAGATTAGGACTTTAAAAATTAAAATTTCTAAAAGGCGATGGCGCCATCTCTCGTTCGAATTGTCGTTGTAAAGCGATATACTTTCGAATTTTTTGCTTGTATGCTGGAAAGGATAAAACAATGGATGCGCCAAGCACTGCTTCAAATGCTAAAAACAATGTAGTAATAAGCCGTTTTGCTTAGTGGCTAAAGCGTCAGGGCGCGAGTCCCGAAGACGTGGGCGTGGGTTCAAGTTCCGCAGAGGCCAAAAACTTTTCGTACTTAAAGATTCAAATATAAATTATAAATTGATTTATTTCTGTAATTGGTTTATTACTCGTTCTATTGCGGGAATCCTTTCAGAAATAAAAAGTTAATTTTATGTAGCTATTTGTTCTAAATTAAAAAAATTCAAACAGACAGCAAACAACATGTAGGTAATGTAATATTACCATGTTTATAAATTCCAAGCCTCCTGATTAGGACGCACCATGTGATAAGAGTGGAACAAACTCTCGGTGAGAGATCATCGGTACTAGAGATTGTTTCGAATAAAATGAACGAACTGCAAATTAGTACGAATGAGGAAAATTAAATTTGTATACTTATGTAATATTCATGTTAACACAGCAATTACGATCTCGCGAAATTGACCTCGCCGACGCCGTATATGGTGCATCAAATCGGCATATGGAACGTTTAATTGTTACACGGCCGGACTATCGCGACCTGACTCAATATAGTTCATAGCCGGTGACGCGGATACGTTTTCACGAGAAATCCGTCGTGCCGAGAAAACGCGGGAACGGCGGACCCGAGACGTTTTCCGATTTTATTCTCTGCGCGATTACCTCATTCGCGGCCTTGCGTCCGAACTGAGCCTTCGCCAGCCAGTGTTGAGTCGACCGCCGCGCAGGGAGCACGTGTCGACGGTCGCCAGCGTACGACCACGAACTCGCAACAAGGCGCCGAACGAATCATGAGGACGAATTATATAAATCATTCGAGTAAATAGTGTTTCTCTCGTGCTGTGCCGCGATTCGGTTTAATTTTGACGATGGCGCTATTTGTGTGTGTATTTTTATGCGCGTGCGCCGGTACCCTGGGCTTCAATGTGGACATCCCTTCCAGGGTGGTTTACAGGGGAAACTATCAATCGATGTTCGGATTCACTGTCCAGGCTCATGTTGACGGTAGCAGAAAAATGTAAGTATATTTATTTTCTATTGTAACTACCCACAATCTAGAATTTTTCCAGAGCATAAAGTTTACTTGTAAAGTTACTCCTGTATGTGGAGATTAATAGCTACTTTTATTTGCCTCCTTTTTCATCATGTTATTTTCCTCATGTTAATTTATTACTTAAGACATTCAAATTCAAGACAAGTCGGTTGTGCGATTACACCTAAGCAAACGGAGCTGATAAATGTTGTGTTTTAATTCCAATGTAGAGCGGGGCTGTTTCACACCTAAACATTCGTGAACAAATATTTGAATATTTGCGTCTGGTTCTATATAATATTAATCTTACAAAAAACGAAGTATAATTATGTAAGATAAACAACGAGAGAATGAAATATTTCAAACTTTGTATGTAACGAAATCCTGACGAGCCAAATACGATTCTATTTCTCATTTCGTGCGTTCGCTCTTAAAAGCTGACATCATAGATTTATTACAATGTTATTGCGTACGAGATAAAGTCAAGTAGTCGTCCTAGAAATATTTCCGAGCCGTTAGCGGGGCATTGCTCATGCGACGGTAATTAATTTTAGTCTAATCTATATTGGAGATGTCATTAGAAAATCATTGGCGCAATATAAATTGAAAGTGCATACGTTTGTCATTCTGTTTTTATGTTTTCAACAGGCTAATAAAATAATGCATTAAAAAGTAATTGCTGGATTACAAGTAACATTGAACTGGCTGAGTCGGTGTTTACGAGTTAATGTGTATTTTTAGTCATATTATTCTTAAGAATCAGTTGATGACATCATCGTTCGCCTACACGACACTTTAGACAACCTTAACTGTTCACGGGCGCTGGTAAATTTTATTGCAAAAATTATGTTTTACCGGTTCTTTTTAGCGTCGTGTATATTAAAGAATACGAGTAGTAAGGTTTCTTATTCTTTTGTTTGGTTGCCAAATAATATATCATATTATTATAAACGATTCAAATGACGGCGTAAGCGTTCAACTAAAGTTTTATTTAGTAATGTAAGAGGCTAGGAAAAGTGGGTTTGGAGTGGAGTCAATTTCAAACTGAAATGAAATTCGATTGTCAAAATTGAGGTGTTCAAAATTGTGGCCCGAAGTTATGTATGTATAAATAAATGTTAATTTGTTTGGCGCGAATCCGTCTATGCCATTTAACCGCGAAGGTTAGCGAGCTGGTAAAAAAAGCACTGCGCTCTACTAATAGTCAAATGTTAAAACTTTATATTACTATGCAATTTAAAAGGAAACTTCAATATTTCCTCAAACCTCAGCAGACAGCGTAAGTTTATTACATTCGAACCAAGTCGAGCAGGGGACGCGTAAAGGTGCGGTGATCGCGAAGGTTGTCTGGTTGTTACGGCGTATAGTTTTATCTCGATGACATCAGCGCTGGCCGAGCTTGCAAGTGTTACTTCTGCGCCCCACCGGCTTGGGGTCCGCACTGATATCGATATGTAGGCTGTTAGGAATTCGGTTTACGTCAACTCGACAATGTCGTAGGAAGTTAGAAGCTAAATACGATGAACGCCGACACGTTGATTGGATTCAAAATGTTTTGAAGCGTTTTTCGGAGTAGATGCACTGGTTCCGGCTAACCAAACGCGATCTGGTTCGACTTGTAAGAAAATTGTAAATTTTCCACTTGGCCCAATGTGACTGTTTATCCAGTACTTAGTGGTGACTTCTATACATCAGAGGTTATTGGGAGATAGCGATACCGTGGTAGTCCTTCATGAATACTTGACTATTGGGTTGCAGTTGCGTTGGCAGACTATAAAAGAGTTTCGGTTACCTTAATCAACATACAAAATGCAATCGCCAATACTTTAAATCGGCCTTTTCGTGAGGTTGTCGTACTTCTTCCGATGAACCGCTGCATTCATGCAACAGAATGGGCTGTTGCGTGGCTCTACCACAGAGTATGTTATAAATATTGTTGAGGTCTTCAGACGCTATTATCACATTTAACTTAGTATTCGTAAAGTTAGTCACCCACCATTTTAGAAGCACGCTTATTTTACTCTTAATTTCATTTCACACGAATAACATTAATATACATTCTTGTTACCACGAACAACATTTGTTGCTTTTTATTATGATTATTTTTTTTATTGTTTGACTATTCGTCCAAGATGAAACTCGAAAATAGATATTTTTAGAAATTTACAATATTTTCGCGCCTTTTCTACACATTTTAATAGATATTTTTAGTTAAAAAAATTAACTACAAAAAAGTTGTTGAAAACTTCGGCGCTACGGGATTCGAACCTGTGGCGTCCGAATGAAGCGCTGAGGCGGTTTGATAAACTGGAGCTTAGCGGCCAATTTCCGCGCTTCGCGAAAGACTGGTTTTGAATATTCGTTAACGCTAACGTTCAAGTTATCAAGTGCACTGTGTTAAAGGAAAACATCGTCTTTGCTGTACCAAGTCATTTCTTGGCTGCGAGACGTATCTACATACACATACAACTATATGATACATATGGGTCAATTAGATACATCTAGAACAGAAGTGGCTTTCATGTGATCTTAATTCACGTTGCCATCAGTTGAATTTGCGCTTCATTGTGCGCGGACATGTGAATGAAATCAATGCGTGTTCGTTCGCCTCGCAGGCGGGTTCGTTAATTTACGAAATTCGTACGCTCCGTGCGCCACTTTGATCCAGACCGTCTGCGGCTCGTATTCGCCGACTCGATACGACGCTGCCCAATAATAACAAGTTTAGTGGTTACAAAAAACGTGAAAAACATGTAATCACAAGAAGCCCTGTAGCCTGTGATAGTTTACAACTGTGTTACAGACCACAGTGTCTTCCCCTCATAGTTAACACTGTTGTTGTATGTTGTTATTGTAGTTGTTATTGTAATAAAATGAAAATGAATACAATAAAAAAAAATAAAAAAAGATGTTTCGAAACAAAGGATATGTATAATTAGGTTTAAAAATATTAAAAATCAGGAAATTACAATAATTATAACATTTGATGACTGACGGAACAGTTGATGAGCTATAGACTTCTACGTCACTGGTTGTGGGTTCGTTTTCCATCGGGACAAGTGTATGTATGACCTATATATACTTGTTCCGCATCTGAATGTTTGTCCTTGCCCCCTCCCCTATAACACGGGGTTAAGTGCCTTATCTTACAGTGGAGCTGTACGAGAAGGCACTTAATTCCATGTTGTAGCGTGTTGAACTGGTAATACATTTTTTTTCTCCTGCCCTTATGTTACAATAGTTGTGTCGGTAGTGTTGTTTATGTTATGACTTTGATAAACATTTCAAGATCACAAATAAAAAGGAAATTATTTGTCTATGAATACGTTGCGATGAAATTATGGAAATGTTTAGATTTATAGGGCCATAAAGTATTCTTCTTTCTCCGGTACTTACCCCAAAGATAGGGGCGACCCCCCACCCCCCTTTGGGGTTGTTTACGACTTGTCTGAAGTCAAACCTATTGGGAAACAAACGCCCAAATCCGGAAAAGTTATCAGTGGGCCTCATAAATACTTGTCCCGTGTGAGAATTGAATCTACTACCCGCGGTGTCGGAACCAATAGCACAGCAACTGCGCCACCGAATCCTAAAGCGAAAACGTCGCCAATTAAAATATAACGGTCCCATAAGATGCACTTGAAATCATCCCGTATTTCGTCATCGGACGATATGACGCAAGCAAAAAGAAAGCTATTAACAGATTGTGACACCATATGCTTGAGTTTCTCAACGTCATTGACGGGACATTGGGTGTTGTACCCTGTGCAATATATAAGGTGAACACTTGCTATTGTTGAACAATTTGTAGTTTGTAGCGTTACTTGAAATATGTTTTAGGATTTATTTGGTGTTGAATTATAACTCTCTCTGTGGTAGAGTTATGCAATATTCTACACTGTCAAAGTCAAAGTCAAAGTATATTTATTCAATATGGGCCTAACTTAAGCTCTTATTGAACGTCAACAAAAAATCTACCACCGGTTCACTAAACTAGACCTGCACAGAGAAGAACCGGCAAGAAACTTTGCGGTCTTGTTCTTTTTGTTATATATATATATTTTTTTTTTTAATGTAATTATACACACTTATTTGGGTATAAAATCAGCAGCAGCCAGGGGTCTTGCAAGTGCAGAGCAAGAGTCATTTTCAAACATGCTTGTCCTCACTGTAGCACGAACGGGCAGGTCCGTCCGGGAAATACCACGACCTCACAGAAGTGAATGGATTCATGTAAATTATATATGCAAATTGGCAAAGGAAAGGTCACTGTGGGAGATTGATCCCAGCTCGGTCTTCTTATATTAATATATAAGAAGACCATTACTTTTATAAAAACACCTTTTAAAAGTTGTTACAGTTTCCACGAACCGTGAATTTACAACTATTAAATGAAACTCTACAAACACATTTAACAAATCTCGCGAACGGCACGAATGTGATGCAGATATAAATTTTAAGTAAAACAAAAATTTGAAGTGTATAATACACTTCAAATTTTAACACTATTTTAGAAACGTTGAAATCGTTTTTAATAACGAACTGCCTTGACTCTCCCACATGACTGTATTTTACCCTTAGGGGTAAACGGGCTGAGTAAAAGGAATATGTACTCGAGTAAATTGTTTAACGGCCAGTTGCAATATTGTCAACTGATAGATTTGGTCACTGGAGGTAGAATTGTGACGTAACTATTGTAGAGCTAATGTCGAATACCTATCGCTAGTAGCCAAATCTATCCGTAGATAGAGCGCTAGTAAACAAATCTGTTCGTCGATAGAATATTAAAACCAGCGCTTTACACGCACGCGTCGCTCGTTTAAACGTAAAAAAATGAAATAGCACTTCGGGACGGTGCCCGATGGCCGCTGTTTTGTCCGCTCTTCGACTTTGCTATCCACCCCCGCTGTTAATGAACGGGCGAAATTTTTAATACGAAGGAACCGGAAACACAGTCGCCGTCACATGCGCGGCACATGCGGCCG